AAATTGTTTTTCTGTCGGTGCATTGCTTTATTGTAAAGAGTCCCTCGTTCTCGTTCTAGCAGCGTTTTGGTCCCCAGTTGTTAGAAGTCCTTCTTACAGCTGGAAGTAGGGACTCTGTTTAAGAGAATAATGTACCATCAGAAAGGTATTTTTGTTATGCTTTGAATGAAACAAGTTTGAAGAAAAACGGTGCAGTATGAAACTCGTAATCCTTGATTTTCAAACATCCGGTAGGTCAAAAATTCAAATTAACGGTCGAAGTTAGCTCCGCTTGATTTCGGGTGACTTGAAATAATGTTATATTTACTTACTCACGTCGAGAGCTACCATGTTAGATTTTGAAAGTATAGCTCTCCATCGTGAGGATCTCCCAGCTGAAGAATTGTGACATCTAAATTTGATCAGCGCCAGTCAGCGGCTTGCTGTTTGTCTCAAACTGTAGCCTACATATGGGCTCATATGTGTCTACTTTCCCCGTGCATGTAGGATCGCGGATGTGCTTCTATGGCGATAAGGAGTTCTTCGTTTTTTGTTCGATACCCATTTCCAATATGGCGGTTAAACGGAAATACTATCGACGCATGCGCAACTTGGGAAACGTCAAGCCGCCATATTGAATATACCTGGCCAAAACTTTTGACACGACCAATAAAATGAAGTCCTGATCGATACATAGGGCAGTGAGACGTTCTATAGTTGAGCTGAATGAAAGATGGCGATGTAGGATACATTTTCAGGTATATAATGTGCAACATGAGTCAGCTGAATTCCCTGAAATTTTCTTTGAAGTCAGGATTCTTAAGCTGTTGATTCTAGCGATAGAGAGCTATACTTTCAAAATCTAAGTAGCTCTCGACGGGAGTAAATATTTACTTGTTTCATCGTTTAATATGCAAACGGTACAAGACAGTATAACATAGTTCTTAACTTAACTTTGCTATAATCGGATATACGACCGGGAACACGATGTTCGGGGCAAATAGACGTGACACGTTGAAAGTAATTAAGATTATTTCAGTTATTTTCAGTAACAGTAGTGTACCTTTCAGTGAATCAGCGAAGTCTTCGTCGTAGATGTAATCTTTTGTCACTTGTAACACTTCGGAAAGCCTTTCCACGATATTTCTAAAATTTCTGAGATATGTTCTCAATGTTCGGATAGACTGGTTTACGGAATTTTTCCTTGCCAGGGTACGTGTATTTGGTTGGTCTCGGAACGCAAGATAACGATTTCTGAAGAGGTGTACATTTCTCCGATAACCACTTGTCAGATATCTGCTAATGTATTGCGAGGAATTCCCCAAAGCAAAAGTTACGTCTTCTATATGTTCAAGGAATGCGTTTTTCTCCGAGTTTGTAATGATTGTGTTGTCATATTCCCAATCACAAGCAGCATACACACTCGCCGCATCATTTGCAGCACGGAATAAACGTTTTGTATTAACATCAGATAGGCGTTCTAGAAATACACAGCGACATTATATATAATACTTACCCTCTGAAATGAAAAGTGGTGCATTGTCCTTTAAAAATCATTTATTTTTTATTATTATCATACCAAACTTTCAGTGGTATAATGTATGAATGTTCCAACCAAATGGAGAAAATTTCAAAGAATTTTGTAAATATAATAAAAAGTTAGAAAGGATTGAATATAACAACTCCCAAAATCGTGAGTGTGACTTTTTACCATAAATTGTCGTCATAAATTAGAGAAATCCTATGGCCTAGCAATGTGCTCAAAAAGAGGATATTCTGAGACATAAGTTTAAGTGTTTGTTACTAGAGGAATACATAAAAAGCCTTGAATCCAATAATACTTTGTGAAAAACATCAGTTATAGAATGAAAGCCCGATTAATTACAACCATTTTGTGATAGAATTTGAGGTGATATCCTTCAGATTCAGAGGTCTCTTAATCTTATTTCAAAATTAAGGGTATGGGTGACATACATTGTAATAAACTTGAAATTGTAATAAGATAATTATAACCCTAATCCTTCTCAATGACCCATAACTATGTCAGATGTGATATATAAATGTGCTTATTGAGCAAAAGGGTTACATCCTATCCCTACTTTCACTGCTAATTAAGGCGTAAAATTGTCTAAAAATCAGGTTTTAGCACCTCCATAATTTTCTGTCAGGTGTGTCAATGTTTATTTCAAACTTGTCAGTTATGACCAGTTTGGAATGGGCTTTACAATGGTATGAAGAATAGGCATAGAGAACGATATCCTATGCTTAGAGGATAATAATACACTGTAAAATAGCAAAGTCTAATTTCTGATGTCATTTTAAAGAGGCTCTATGCCATAGGATAGCACAATCAAGACCCCTCTGGACTTTTTTGCATATTGAGTTTCACCACATATATACCCATCTGCTTACTAAAGAAGAAGTCCCAAATCCTTCCCTTTCGGTGTTAATTTTGCTATTGTGCTGGCCGATCTAATTATTTTCGAAGAAATTAATTCAATCTGAAGTTTGAATAAACCGGGAAAGTCCTCCTGTTATCTAATTGGTCGTTAAATTTGTTTATAATAAACCAGATTGTCTGCCTAGTTCAAGGCGCTTACGTGTGACTCAATGGGGATCCCCCCTCACTAGCCGAGGAATCGATTGTGTTTAATTCTGGAGTTTGGTTATTCTGTTGATTATTTCCGATATTTCGGCAATAATATACCCCAAAGATCAAGATATATCCATGGTACGTGAGATATTATATGAGCAATAATAATGGGATATCATTGATTGATTGGGGAGAAACCTATGGTATAATGCATCTTTAAGGAAAAGGTCACACTAGTGAGTTTGTGAGACGATGGTTTTAACCATTGCTAACTTTTTAAATTTTCATCCTTTTTTGAAATGAGGAGGGAAATTAGCGCAACAGATTCCGGACAGTCATATGTTGGATTTTAACCATTTTCTGAGGATTTAAACAGGTACATATGTTAGGCAAATGCATTACCTCCAGGAAAATCACTTCTAGAGATGATTAAATAATTTCGACTTTGGGACAGAATAGATGCAAACAACCCACCCACGTGTTTTTTCTGAAATGTTTTTCTGATTTTCAACCCCTTCCATCCTTCCTTTTTTAATTTTTCTTGCGTCAATATATTGCGTTTTGACACATAATTAACTCCTTTAAAGGAATAAGTGATTCCTTTGAGATAAAGTGAAAACAGTATTTACCATGTTATTCTCCCATAGGGAAAACTCATGCGACCCATTGCTTTCAGCTAATTTTGGTCTTCCATAATGGATATCTTTAAAACCCCTGAAGGAATCACTTATTCCTTTAAAGTGATTAAATGAGTGTCAAAACTCAACATATTGAAACAACAAAAATTGAAAAAGCAGGGATGGAAGGGGTTGAATCTCAAAGTCGAACTTGTTTTATCATCTCTATGGGTGCTTTTCTTGGAGGTAATGCATTGATCTAACATATGCACCTGTTCAAATCCTCAGAGAATAGCCACAATCCAACATATGACTGTCCCAATCTGTTGCAATACTTTCCCTCCTCCTTTCTACCATTTATTAACAATATCTATGCCACGTGCCTCCAAGAGTTTAGCAATATTATACAAAATCTTAAAAATGTTATGACATATAAAAATACCATGCACCTTTTTTCTTTACAGAGGGTATATTAATTCAGATCTGTACTGGAAAATTAATCCTTAGCACACATGGGAAAGCGATGATTATATTTTTAATAGTCAATGCCTACACTTTGTAAACGTAAAGGCACAATTTCCTCTGATAATTTGGCACCGGAGTTTTCATCAGATGGCATATAAAGTCCAAGTAATGTCTAAACCTTAATTTTGTACCTTAAGTAAAATATGATTCCTCTTAAAACGCAACTCTTGGATATGTTTTAAATTGCCGATTAGTGATCTAAAAGAGGATTTCTAGTTGCAACATTTATCAGTATGGAGGGGATTGTCCATAGTAAATCTCCAGTCTCAATTCCCACTTAGGTAGCAACAAAATAGAATGAACCGTAGTTCATTTTTAAAGAATAAACTTTTGTAACAAAGAAGATCTTGCATTTTCCTATTGTTTTTAAATAATGGTCACTTGGCAAGCTATCCAAAAACAATGGGACACAAAAAAACGATTGACAGTTTTTGGCTCAACGGTACACTTGGCCTGCCATATGCATTGAAAGTTAGCTGAACTAATTAAACCCTTTTCATTCACTCAATAGTTGAATAGAAAACACAAAAAAATCAACTTTTAAACTGTACATGGCCTGTTACACCCAGTGCATTAAATCACCGTTAAAACACCCACTCAATTCTCAACAAACTTACCTCAAAGTCAGAACAAAAGAAATTAAACCTTCCTGAAATCGGACCATGGGCCATTTACCTTTTATATGAGTCGGTGTGGGGTTTAAGTTATATAAACCATTCGTTCTAGGTCTGAGGAGAATAATTATTCTGATACTTAACACATCGCCCTGCCTTCAGGAATCGCTTAAGAATCGCTCTAGAAAGAAGCTTATAGGAGGCCATGATTTCTCATGATACGAAACTATTACCTCAGGTATTAGAGGCAAATCGTAATTATATTGTGTGTAACTGGTTAAAGGCACCCACTCATGTGATTTTTCTTTTTAAACTAGGTCAAAATTTACGATGCTAATATTGGAATACAACTTCACGCAAAATCCCCCCGTTAAAATAACTTCACGCAAAATCCCCCCGTTAAAAATCTCTTTCTTCTTATACGTAGGACGTTAATGATGATAAAATGTCACAATAACCCTAAATTGTAAGTCGTCCCATTCAACACATTCTAATTTTTACCATTTACATGAATCTCTGAAAGCTTCTTCATTAGGTCAAAATATACACATTGTATATGTACAAGAACATCTGAATGTTTGGTATGATAATACAGAAAGCGGTTGATCAAACACCATTCACACCATTTACAGAAAGAATATGATTGATAACAACACTTTTCTTTGATTTTACCTTGTTCTTCAGCAGAATCTTCGTCATCGTTCACATAAAGAGTAACCACGGGGATTTCGTCTCTACCTTCAGCCTGCGACACGCATGCGGTCAGGGCAATAAACGTCCACGTTTTGAATAGCTGAGAAAGAATAAATAAAAAAATATTAAGACTAAGCATCGGTCACATTTGCTCTACGGCGGTCGCAGCTACACACAATCGATAAAGAAAATCGACATCTGCTTTTCCCTATATTTTATGCTACATAGTTCTCTTAATTTTGTTATGGTCGCCGTGCGGATGCCGTAAATGTGACGGGGACATCAATTAAATGGTGTCGTCATTGTCGGCAAGAACAAATTATTCATGTTTTAACACACCCCTTGTTAGTCAATAGAGAGGTTAAGCTAGCTTGTAAAATCGAAACGGAAATCTGTACGTATCATTTGCCCCTAATGCGTGTAGCGTTCTCACATAAATAGCCGTTCAGCTCCAGTCTTTGTTTAGACTACACCATATAGCGTGTAATGATTCGAAAGTATGCCATTGATCGATTAGTTCTATAGCTGGTTTTCTAATACATATTTTAAAGAGCTCGTTTTGTAAGATTTTTGGAGTTAAATCATGCATACCATACATTATCGTCTTCAGAAAGAATTTTTCTGTGCTTCGATATCAAAAGCTGAGAGTATCTGAAGTAGACTAAAGCGCATATAAAACTATGCGCGCTAACTATTCCTTCGTTAATCCAGGTAGTTTCCGTTCACGGTTACGTTATGAAAAACATTGCAAGCTTAACTTCTCTAATAAGTGGGAATATCTTCTTATACTTACATTTAGGTTAGTTATTGGAATCATTATATCTTCCGTTCTATCACATACCCTTACTCCACCAGTTATATACATTTTTGGGGTGTTTGCCTCTGTAATTGTGAAAACCTCAATACTAATACTGGCGTCCGAGCCACCAAGTCCACCGTTATGTATAAGTGTCTGATTTATTTCACTTGAGTTAATTTTTACCCAGAATGACAGGGTCATCGTTTTACGGAAGTCCATCCCAGCGAATCTTGGAACGAGGAAATTTGCATCTGCGCCCGTCCATAAAGCGCCTCTATCGTCGTTCCATGAACCGTTAAATACTCCTCCATTTTCCTTCACAACACCAAACGCTTTAGCCAAAACGCCACGCTCATCATCTAAGAAATCGTCCCTGTTGAAAGTCCATCTACTACACTCTGTCTGATCCCCTAAAAGAACAAAAAATGGTCACTGCGCAATTGGTGACATTTTCACTCAAACTCAACTTTGGGTTGATAGTTGAACTTGAACAGACCCGACTCATTTGAAAATCTACTGCCCAAGAAGGGTCAAATAAATCGTCGGTCCTTTTGATTTTTTGAAATACATTTTGTCGATCGTCAACTTTATTGGAGGCGAAGGATTCTGCTAAATATGGTGCAATGTTGAATTTCGATTTCTACACACCGGCATGCAGAAATTTTATCTGATTTTGGTTGGTTGATAATTATCGTGAGCATGCATACGTTTGAAGAGTATTTTTAAAAATGCAAATTGAGACTAACTAGTTCCTGACACTTGAGTAGATGTTGTCGATTATATTAGAAAGTTTGCCCCCAAGCCGAGAATTTCTAATTTCGATTTGTTCTTGATTAATTATATTTTGCGACTCTATGAATTCTTCCATTCTTTTGTTCAAAACATCAGCAAACAATTTACTCATTGCGCTGAATTTTTGGTATGACAATAAGGAAAACGAAAAAAGATACTATTGGTAAAGCATTTATTCAGTTTCAGGTATAGTTTTTGTGTGGGGTGAAAGAGTAGTCTAAGTTATCAACTTACCAGTTAGACCTGGTGGCCCTCGATCACCTTTTGGACCAGTTGGACCTGTCAACCCTCGATCACCTTCTGGACCAAGTGGTCCTTGATCACCTTTTGCACCAGTTAGACCTGGTGGCCCTCGATCACCTTTTGGACCAGTTGGACCTGGAGGCCCTCGATCACCTTGTGGACCAGGTGGTCCTTGATCACCTTTTGCACCAGTTGGACCTGGTGGCCCTCGATCCCCTTTTGGACCAGTTGGACCTGGAGGCCCTCGATCACCTTCTGGACCAGGTGGTCCTTGATCACCTTTTGCACCAGTTGGACCTTGTGGCCCTCGATCCCCTTTTAGACCAGTTGGACCTGGAGGCCCTAGATCACCTTTAGGACCGGGTTGACCTGTTGGCCCTCGATCACCTTTTGCCCCAGGAGGACCGATTGCACCTTGAATCCCTTGACTGCCATTTGTACCAGGTAAACCTATATCACCCTTTTTTCCTGTTGACCCCTTTTTCCCTTTAAAGCCACGTTTTCCACGGGGACCGGGTTCACCAGGATCACCTTTTATACCTTTACACTTTTCATCACATTGTTCTTTCAAATGTTCATTCAGGATTTCTAGTTTGATAACATTTCTCTCCAAAGCTTTTATTTCCGTTGCTTGATCATCGATATCTCCTTGCTGCTCTTTAACAGTGCTTTTTAGTTCATTGACAGTGCTTGAGAGTTGTTGAACAGTGTTATTTAGTCGATCGAAAGCATCTCCACTTGGTGTTGCTATAGCATTTGTGATGTAAAATTCTGAAATGCTTAACAAAGTTATTCCAATCCATATTGCATGCATACTTGTGAACAGGCACATCGTTGAGTATATTTTGTTTACACCCTTTGAGTTCCCTTAGGTTTGCATTCAGCTGAATGATTTAAATGAAATTATTAGTTTTATACTAAAATGTTCATCAACATCATAAATCAAAATGTCCCCTGTTATAATACTTAAAGATGCATTTCCTTTCAAATATAAGTCACAAAAAGTTAGCTCACTTCTAAGGCACGTGATTATATTGTTTGACTTCTCAATTTCAATTGTAAGTTCAAGGGTTTCATACCCAAGTATTATGTGTTTTTACACTAAAGATACATACCCCTGTTATAAAAGATTGCATTGAATGTAACAAAATATAGTGGCATTCCCAAAGTATAAAAACATTACGAAAGAAAACATCACACCATTTTCTTTTTTTCTTGACTGCTACGGGTATCCTTGAAATAGGTTGTCGTGGCTATCATAGAACGTAGAAGAGTTAATGCAACATCTTGAAATTTATTATTTGTATGATGATTTAATCATTAGATTAACATTCTGTGAAAAATAAGCCATAGTCATTAATGTTCGTGATAACAATTTTGATCTTACTTTATGACCACAGTGTGTTCAATTTGTTATTCCCAAAGTTTCACAATATTATGTACAGTAATGATTCAATTAATTATACAAATAAATTTATTAAACCAAACTTGTTGATAACATAAATAATTTTATAACTAAATAAGATAGTGAACTCTATGATAAGACATGTGTTCTGGAGCGTTGAAAGGGGAAATGTCATTGGCAATATCATTTCTCACTGTCATATACTACAATTTAGGTAGATACATGTATTGTATAAACTGTGTTTTCACAAACAGATGTAGATGCTATTTATCTCAAAATGAAAAATTGTTACTAAAACCTTTCATAAAGGAGTTATTTGGGCCATACTATATTAATGTATGAACCTGAGTTTTCTTCGTGTAAGTTAGAGACCAACCAATATTTGTTTGGTATGGTAAACCTAAAGCTAGAGAACAACTTTCTTATTTAATATTTATTCTTTGCCTATTCTGCAGTTTTTGTGACTCCAGGTTATGTCCCAGGTTTAAGTTTTAAGTCAATTTTAAATATTTTTTGCTCAATGTGAAAATGAAGTATGTAATAAAAGTTATAATACTACTAGAAAGTTGAGATATATTTAAATATTAAATTTATGTTATTGAAGTGAATGTATGCCAAACGCCAACCCATGTATAAAATTAAAAATAAGGAATATGCAACATAGAATATACTATATAGACTCATATATGTATAAATAATAACAATTTATTGAGACACATTTTTATTTATATTTTCTACATCTGGATCAGATATCAACATAACAACAAAAATCATTTTTACATTTGAACTTATACATGTACTAGTTGGTGTTAAGCAAGGATGTGATATACTAGGCAACACTTTTAATTCACCTTATTCACACATTCATATATCATTTTCATAAAAGTATTAATTTGAAAAGTACTAGACAGATCTTGCAACAAGCATTACATTTTTTCACAGCTGAAGGGATATTTCTAAAGCCAATCTCAACAATGACACTTATCCAATCTCAAAATTTACACATAGCCAACCTCAAAAATGACACATCAAATGCATATTGCCCCAAAAGACACTATAAATCTAATAATACATATTTACATAAATATTACATCGAGTACATCAAGTACATCTCGTACACTAAAAGATTATCCACATTCAATCTCCAAGACTTGTATTCTTTGAGATTTGAGATTTTGAGGTTGAAGATCTATTGGTGGTCTAATAAACAACACATACATAAAAGGAGTGATCAATAAGTAATGTGAGCTTTTTAAAGAGACTTTTAATGGACTAATCTCTTTGAAAACCGAAAAAGCTCTTCCTAGGCATATTACTTATTTGATTGTTTAAGTCTGATTATACATCCAATTGGCTTTTATTGATAAAAATATAAATTTTTGGGTAAATGGACACCTTTCTTAATGGATATGTCAATAGTAATTATCTGGAAACATGCTTGAAAGCTGGTTTTTAAATCCAGTAAATTCTGAGTGTATGATCATGAACACTTGTAAATTGTAGATAAGTAAAACCTGTCCAAGTTGAACACATCTGGTGATCTTTAAAGTGTTCCACTTTAAGAGGTTTATTTAACATTAACAATCAGTTGTTCTTGGGAAAAGTGTTCCACTAACAGAGGTGTTCTACTTCTAGAGATTTTCCACTTTACAGGTTTCACTGTAAGGTAAAAACCTCTCATGTCTACAGTAGTGGTGTCAATTAACCGCTTGAGCATTAACCGGTTAACCGGGGGTTTTTACCGGTTAAAGTCGGTTAACCGGCGGGAAATTTGAACTGATAATTTCAAATGAAATCTTCATCTTCGATCTTGAAAGTTGAAAAAAATTGGAAAAATGATATATCGGCGTTTATTTTTTACATTCGTCAAGCTTTACTCTATTCTATGTAAGTTAGCGCGGGAAAGCAATGTGGCAGGGATTAAAGTTGCTGATTGGATGTTTGTAAGGAATTATCGGACCTATCACATGTATGAGTAGCTCACATGAAACTGACGCTTGAAAAACAAACAGATTACAAGAACACAAATGTGTACAATATGTCCCCACCAATGGGTGATCCCATCTAATGGTTATCCTGAAAATGAGTAGACAAGACTTTACTGCTACAATTTTGGAACGGAAAATGCAAAATGGCCACCTTAGAATTTACCAAGAATGCCCAAAAAATTAGTCAGTTCTAGATTTTCATACTAAGAATCATCCCTAAAAATTTGAAATTGATCTACCAAACAGTTCACCTGAAAACACGTAGACAAGACTTTACAGGCAAGATTTTAGCACGGAAAATCCAAAATGGCTGCCTTGACATTTACCCAGAATGCCAAAAAACTAATAATCAGATCTAGATTTTCATACTTAGAATCATCCCTAAAAATTTGAAATTGATCTACCAAACCCTTCACCTGAAAACGCGTAGACAAGACTTTACAGACAAGATTTTAGGACGGAAAATCCAAAATGGCTGCCTTGACATTTACCCAGAATGCCAAAAAACTAATCAGATCTAGATTTTCATACTAAGAATCATCCCTGAAAATTTTAAATTGATCTACCAAATGGTTCACCTGAAAACGCGTAGACAAGACTTTACAGACAAGATTTTAGGTCGGAAAATCCAAAATGGCTGCCTTTACATTTACCCAGAATGCCAAAAAACTTATAAGATCTAGATTTTCATACTAAGAATCATCCCTGAAAATTTGAAATTGATCTACCAAACGCTTCACCTGGAAATGCATAGACAAGACTTCACAGACAAGATTTTAGGACGGAAAATCCAAAATGGCTGCCTTGACATTTACCCAGAATGCCAAAAAACTAATCAGATCTAGATTTTCATACTTAGAAACATCCCTGAAAATTTGGAAATGATCTACCAAATGGTTCGCCTGAAAACGCATAGACAAGACTTTACAGACAAGATTTTAGGATGGAAAAATCCAAAATGGCCGACAATAAAAAAGTGATTATAAATTTTTGCTGATTTCTTTTTACAAAATTAGCACATATAACTACTGTTAACAATAACATAGGCTTTTACAATAAAGTACACCTGAAATTTTTTATAAAGCTACTAAATAGTCTAAGTATGAAAACTCAAAAACACCATTCAATATGATACAAAGTATTATCGCACGCTAACTTTTCTTAAGACATTCAAAATGGCTGCCATGACTGGGCTAACAGGTCCAAAACCTAATCAGATCTAGAATCAAGTGAGTTGAACAGGATGTTAAAGTTTTAAAAGCAACAGTTTGCAGACAAGGATTTTAGCATTTGACTTCAAAATGGCCGACAGGAAGTAGGTATCGAGTTGAAACTTTTTCGTCCACATCTGTATGCACTCATAAGTTATCCCTGAAAATTTGAAGGTGATATCTGTAGCGGTTTAGGAGAAAACTGCCGGACGTACGGACGGACAGACAGACAAACAGACAGACAGACAGACGGACGGACGGACGCGCCTAGGCCGACAATATGGCCCCACACTATGTGGTGGGGACATAAAAATGCAAACTAAGCGCGGGAAAGCAATGTGGCAGGGATTAAAGTTGCTGATTGGATGTTTGTAAGGAGTTATGGGACTTATGACATGTATGAGCAGCTTACGTGAAACTGACACCATAAAACCAAATGGATTAGCATGCAAAATAAGCGCGGGAAATAACAGAATTATACACGGTCAACTAACCGCCCATAAAAACACAGACCGGTCAAGGCATTATCGGCGGTTAACCGGTTAACCGGTTAACACTTGACACCTCTAGTCTACAGAGAAAAATGAATAAGAACAATATAATTTGAATGGTCAAAGATTTTGTAAATACTTTTATGTATTGAATGTCTAATCAACAATAAAACTACATTCACTATGCACAATATACACAAAGCATTGCTATTCATATTTATAATCTACAGGGTGTCAAAAACAATGGTATGCTCTCTGGATGGAAAATTGCTTAATGATACATAAATGTACCTGACCATTTTTTATACAGATAAAATATATTTACAGATAATTGAGCGAAATGCTCAACAAGTTCATTCAAGGCAATAACATGCAAAATGCCACAACCTACTATTTTTTACAGATGCGGAACACCAACCGCCGACCACCAAACACCAACCACATTTGAAACAACAAATTGAAACAAAATTATTGGAAATTTATAATTTTTATATAGATATGGATTCGAAAAGCATAGACAACTTTGGGAAAAACTTCCACAGATAATTGCATGTTGTCTGCTGCTGGAATCCCTGCCTGGAGAGCTAGTAGTGTGCATAAATGTTTGTTTTACCAAGGTGGTTGAAAAATCACTTTTTTAAGTGCTGGCTCTCTGCTTTGCCATGTTATGTAATGTTCATGTTCTGCCATATATGGAATTAAATACATCCTGCTTCCTTTTTTGGTTATATGAATCACAATCACATCATAAACACTAGATGTTCCTTTCACATGTTGTACAATGTCAATGTTTTGCCACCTTATGAATCAAACACCTTGCTACCTTGGAGTCTGTGCAGGTGTTGACGTTGTACCTGCGTTAGAACTTTCTGGAATGGTAGGATTGGCCACATCAGATGGTGTCACATCGTAGCCTAACTTTTTCATGTCCTTCATAATTATATTAAATGAGAGTGTTATGAATCCTTGAGATCGCACTCGGGTCACTGGAAATAAATAAGAAAAAAACGTCACTTACTGTAGTAGTAATATCTAGAAAATAAAACAAAGGAGTATTTGATAAACAGTCAAAGTAATGTGATGTTTGATTCAGAAATGAGTTATTTCAGATACAATTAACATAGTACCTTGGATAGCCACTTGAGAAAAATCTCTGGATATAAGAAAATGACCACATTTTGAGTATTCTTAACTCAGACATAAACTGTTAAACATATGTCAAAAGTCACTATATACGCGCTAATATAAACATGACACTAAAGCTACTACATTGTGATACACATCTGTATATGGTGCCAATGAAATAGCCTCTGCTGTGCATTATACTGGCACAAACTACAATAGCAACAAATTCTTCACATACTGGCCTGACAATATAATGAGGTTACAATTTAATTCATACAATTCTTAATAGTAACCAGTAATTTAAGTTGAAATAAAGATACTGCTGCTTCTACTTTATTTCATTATAAGTGACAAAATAGAGTGAATGTTAGAAGGAGCTGAAATTTAGTTCATATTGAAAATCCAATGAAATGTCATGTGTCATTAAAGGCTGACAATGCTTTCTTTTCAGTATTTATAGGCAAATTAAAACTTACTTTTTACAGCTTACATTTAAAAAATATTATCCGAACTGTCAAATTTTGTCTAAAAAAATTTATCATTAATAAAAACCAGATGACAATTACACATTACACTAATTACATAAAGTTGTTCTGATCATATCATGTGAGGCATTTTTCCGGCTAAACCCCACCACTATGATCAGCAAAATACGCCATCTATTCTCGGAAAGGTAATTTTAAAACACATCAGGCTTGATATTTGCACAAATAGCTTTGTATAATATTCAACTGACTGTGTCAGTGATGATTTTCTTATGCTTTATTTCCCTTTTATGTTCTTCAATACACACTGTCAGCCTTAAAGATTTCATGTGCATCAAAACTGTATAATTATTTGTCTGACATTCCAAGACTCCAGACTGTTATCCCAATATTCACTTAGGATGAACTGGAAATGAAGTAAGCAAATGAGGTAAGATTCCCTCGCTTAGCAAATGAGGAAAGTTTTTCGCAAGTTAAACATTTCCTCTTATCATTGAAAAATGGGCCTTACGTTTCCTAAGCGATAGAATTGATTTGAAAATTTCTCAGCAATGACTGGATTAAAACCGGAACTTACAGAATATTTACCTGCTGAATATTGAGTTGTAATTTGAAAGATAAAAGCATTTTGATATGAGGCAAAAACTCCCTCGTTTCCAGTTCATCCCCAGTACAATTGCTATAACAGACAATGTATACCTTCTCTGCCCTCCCCCTGTGCTATGACCCTGGCATCTACAAATTCTGGCCTTCTGCCCATCAACCAGGCTGTCATTTTCTGGAACTGGGATGAAGACTCAGGCACAAACATTGCTATTCTCCTTGTGTGCCTGGAACAGACATTTAATTATTCATTCTGTTTGTTCATCCTACCAAAATAAACTCTCAGAATTTTGCTAAAATTAGTCAACACAAAAATGACCCCACGCCCCCTCTCTTTGACAAAATTATCAAATTTCATTATATTGCATTGATACATTCTCTTGTGGTCTTTAAATTATAAAGTAAAACTACAGTGAAAAGGAACGACATAATACATTTGAAAAGATACATGTACATGTATTCAGAAAAATCACATAAGGTATTCTTAAATTTCAATAGCTATAGGTCATTTTTCACTCACACTCATGATAATGAAGTTATAATGAGTAAACAAGTTCTACAATACCTGCCAGGAACCATAGGAATATGTGTAGCACCATAACCTCTCACCACATCGTTACCAAATACATCATGTCCGTATGCATGAACAACAACCTGAGGCCCTGTAAATAAAAGTGATAAAAACATTGTACCTAAATGTAAGTTATTGTTGTTATGGTAGCAGAGTACCATCAGGGGCAGCATTTAGATACAGGTGGAGGTTTAATCACCTCTTCTGGGGGCACCTTCTAAATAAAAATCAGATATAGTCAGAGCATGGGCAAAGTCCCATTGCGTAGCCCCCAAAATCCGAGGAAGGGAGACTACTGATGATGTATCTCAGTATCCAGTATTGATGAGCACTTTGTGTTTTATTTATCAAGAGTTCAGCTCAAGGTGGATTTGGCTCAAGAGGAAAGACTAATGGTGTCCTTCAGTGAGATCAGCCATTACTGCTCCCTTCAGTGAAAGCATACAGGTTAAGGGGCGAAATGCTGATACTGAGATACCTGCTGATGATGCAGTGAAGGACACTCACTTGTTTCCCTTTGACACTAACCACCTCTTTTGTGTATCCCTTTTAAAATTGTAGCAATGCATCGCTGGTGTTTATAAGAAAAGAATATTAAAATGTACAGTACAACCTGTATATTTGAACAACTCCCTCATCTGAACATGTTCCCATGTAAGCACTTTATCTTTTCTATTGTCCGACATATTAATCTGCTATAGAGTTTCATGTTAAAAATCTCAAAATGTGAACACCCACCAATATGAACACTTCTGGCTGGTCCCAGTTGCGTTTCAATTGGATAGATTTGACTGAACTACTATGCTTATCAAGTTTGGTATGTTTTGTTCTCACGACCCCTGGCATTACACAAAACAAATATCATGGCAATTAATGAATGAATGTCAAATAATTGTTGAAATGAATGCAATGAATCTTTATATTTTTAGGGCAAAGGTGATTCATAGTTCTCTATTGTAAAGAGCACTCTGCCTTAGACTTTTTTCAAGGGATGTCATCTTCAAAAAAATCTTTCCAAATTTTGTTGTGTCTGCAAAAGGTGGTTAAAGCAGCATAATTATTGAATAACAATCAACGCAAACCAGTAACAGTTTTAAGAAGAAGATAAAAATCCCAATCCAACCTCTCATATTCAGCATTTTTTTACCAAATAGATATTTTCACCTAATAATTTAATCTTGAACAAAAAAATACTTACATCCATAAGGATTGGTACTTTTGAATGTAATATCCAATGGAAAGTTCAGAACAAACTTTTGTCTATCATCAACAGATTTCCTGGCAGTCTGGGTAATTCCCTCCTCTAAGCCCTGTAAAAGTAACAATGAGTATTACTGAAAAGCACAATTGTTTGAGAATCATATAATAGGGTGTGAAATAGAATACAAAAACATGAATTTAGGGATAACTTATGACCAGTGATCCCCACATAGGTAGGTATCTTTAACAAAGGTACAATGGGTCCAACCATTTCATTAGAATGCCATTCTAGTATGTTAAAATTTACAAATGCTTGCCAATGGCAGCAAGTACAGTGTTTCCCTTTTCATGAACACTTTACTAGTTACTTACTATAGGTCTCATGACGAAAAATGCTATTCATTAATTTCTCAGGCAAAATACTATCTATAGATTTGAATTAAATAATTGAATAATATTGATATCATGAACTCATTGATATACAGTATTCACTTAAAATCATCATCATCATCTTAATGATCTATCATGTTTTATCATTACAATGAATACAAGAGACGTGTAAGTAACTTACTGAAGTTATGACCCAATCCTGTCCATACACAAAGTTGTAACGGCAATAAATGTCATCAAACTCTTGAAACTGAAACATATATTTATAGCAATTATTTATTACATGTAATAACAAACATATTCTATGATCTCTGAGACACTCAATGAAAATCAAGATGATACATGATACATTTAGACTATATGAATAAACTGGAAGTATGTTCAAATTCATTACATTTCTTCAATTATCGAGTTCTTGACGTGTTTAAGGTAAAACTAAACACGTTATAGTTGAAGCAAAAAATCGAAATTGTCATTTGTGTGACTTTTGGTTGCCCATACAGGCCAGAAAAGTGTTTCCAACAATCCAACCACATCGAAGTAAACCCCAACGTTGAAGTTTAATGTAGTCCCCATATGCCAAAGTTAACTCCTTGAAATATGTCATACCAAACTCGCTGTCAAAGCCTTAGACACTGGCTGTTGCATAGGCCCAGGAAAATGTATAAAAAGGTACAAGAAATTCTGAAGCAAATGCTTAATATAAACAGAATTCGTGTGAAATTTCTGAACAAAATGCATTCGTTTTTTTAACATTTGTTTTTTTTGATGTATCACGTTCATTTTTTGAACTTCTTCTGCAGAAATATTTTTGCTAGACAATTAGACTATCGGGTAAAATATTTTGCGTGACATTTACTGTCACACAAAAAAAGATGGTTTGACTTCAATTTTTTCAGTAAATGCGTGATAAATACTCAAATTGTGTGACAGTCGGTCTGCCTGATACATGTTCCCGGGCCTATGGGCTAGTATGTATCCAACAGACGAGAAGTCAGTCTGTTATGATGTACTACTTTGCTACTTTCCTGTGGAAATTGCAGTGAAAACACAAAATTATCAATTGGAGGAACAATTTCTTCAATAAAATAAACATTACAAAATTTCAATTAAATAGTAAGGTACAATTAAATGCAATAAAAAGTAACACAGCATATTGTCAAGTGGAAATAAAGCTAGACTAGTTGAAGTAACAAATGTGAAAAGTAATTTTACCAAATCGGCCATTTTGAATAGCACTTCCTATGTAAACAAATATTTTGAATTACCAAACTTTAACATAGGTGCCTTATAGTCTGAATATAATTCAGACTAAATAGGATATAGTCTAGCCTATGGGCTATTGACACTTCAAAAAGAATAAAAATAGATCTATACTTTGAGTAGCTCGAATTAGACACGTTGAACGATTCTCTGTGTATGAATGTTAATTTCTGACTCTAAAATCATAAAGAATATTTGATTACCTCGCCTGTCTCTATTTGGCCGCCTACCATCAATAAAAACACCGAAGGTGAGGATATTGCCATTTCAAACTTTTCATTTGAAATATTTTGTTTCTAGACGAGAACAGCTTTTGCTAGTCTAGCTAGACAAAAAGTCGATTTAGCAAAACTTTTAACTACTTATTTTGCCTTTTAGGCACGACAATTGACAACAAATTCACCTAAGAGAGTTCTACTAGTTTATATCTTATTATATATCTACTGAAAATTTATTGTAAACATGTTTAGATTGATTGAATGAAAGGCTGTCAGAATTTGAATTTATTCCTAACGAGTGTTGGCTTTTTCACTTTCTATTGACAAAATCATCTTTCTAGAACCATGGCCACGCAAGTTACAGACGGTGTTGTAAAGGAGATACTGCGTCAGGGAACTGGAAATGCTCCGCAAAAAGGGCAGACAATTACTGTCCACTGTACTGGATCACTGACAACACCACCCAAGAAGTTTTGGAGGTAAAATATTTCATTTATTTTAGGTTCATTGTTTTAGGTTCATCATTCATCGATTCAATCATTGTCTCATCAACAAATTATAACATCTTCCTCATAGGCCAAGGGGAAAGTATATGGAAACCCAATACATACCTAATGTGTAAGGTTTACATTATATACTCATCCCTTGGCCTAGTTCAACAAGTTAAACCTAGTCTGGGCCTTATTTCTTTATATGACATATCTTGTGGCCCGCCCTAGGTTTAAGGTACAGCTGGAAAGTAACATTTTGGTAAAAAATTGCTATACCTGCACATGTTATTTTCCGGTACAAAATAAAGTATGAAGGCATTTGTCAATTTCCTTGCTTTTTTCAGGAAAGTATCATTACATTGTCTTCTTTTAGAATATCTGGTAGGGGTTCAATGGGAACTCCAGGAAATTATGATATTTCACACTTTCTATTTTTCCAAATTTTCTTTCAAAGTTTCCAGACAATACAGGAGCTACCATTGACCTGTTTCCAGATATTCTAAAAGTAAACAGTGTAATGATACTTTCCTGAAAAAAACAAGGAAATTGACTCATGCCTTCATACTTTATTTTGTACCGGAAAATAACATGTGCAGGTATAGCAATTTTTTACCAAAATGTTACTTTCCAGCTGAACCTTAACGTCCGTGCCTATTCGGTCTTTGATGCAAAATATTAAATAGTGGTCTATGGCAGCGCATGGAATTCTATTCGTGGTTAAGTAATAACTGATACTGAGAATTTGCAACAGATGAAAGCATAGCGCGGAAGTTAAACCCAATCACGGCAACAAGAACATTCAGATTAATAAATGAAAGCCGTGGTATTGGGTTTAACTTGTTGAACTACCCTTGGCCTTACTGAACACAGCTGGCTCAAAAGCTATAGAGTTTATCCTGTGCCAGGACAATATATGTAGTCCTGGACCGATCGCAATCTTTTGCCTGCACAATTACACCATGGGATAATTTTCTATGCTTCTTACACTTAAGATACCTACTTCAATAGATTCCTTGGTATTTTAGCATTCTTTTCATGTAGTTGAATCCACAATTGTCTGGGTTTAACGGCAGAACAAAGAAATTTTCATTTTTTAATTGCAATATTTGCGTGTAATATTTAACTTATTTCAACCGTCAAATTCCTCCATTTATTGGTACTCCTGTGCCAGTCAAACGGGGAATCCCCTTTTAAATCCAACCACCATCTTGAGTAGTGATCGAATCTCTCTTGATGAAAAAGAAAAATGTTCCCGTTCTGCCAACTAACCCAGACTATCGGCGGTTCCAATATATTAAAAGTTACATTTTGAGTTCTTTAATGCATTGAGGTAGGTATCTTAAGTGTAAGGGGCGTAGATAATTCTCCCAAGTTGTGATAATTCTCCCAAGTTGTGATAATTCTCCCAAGTTGTGGTAATTCTCCCAAGTTGTGATAATTCTCCCAAGTTGTGATAATTCTCCCAAGTTGTAATCGTACAGGCAAAAGATTGCGCTCAGTCCAGGACTAAAGTCCTGGTACGGGATAAGATAGAGTAACCTTGGTCTATGATCTTGTTACGATATGTAAAAGAAGATTCTTTTCACCTTAGAACAGAATAATGAACGATTTAATTTGGAGATTTTACAACTCAACTTTATTTTCACTTCTGGTTTGAGACTATCTAATGATGCCACCTATCGGCTGATCTAGTAACTATAGCACAATAACACACTAGCAAAATCATGCAACAGATCTTACTGGAAAATCGTGAGTTCAAACTATTCTGCCACAGAAAGGGAAAATGCTCAGGTTACAGGTTGCCACGATTTTTTTTGCCACGGGTACAGGTGTTGATGCAAGTTCCTGTGCATTGCCTATGCACATTTGTTCATCATTAAAATCAAATGAATACATGTAAATGTAGGCCTACATGTCAGGCTGGTAGATTACCGGGTTTACCAAGGGTGCAGCTTTTAATTGCCAAGGGGGAGCTTTATGACATTTTTGGCAAAAAGTCATGCGATAAGTCCTTAGCAGCCGATTCAAATGTTGAAGTGAACCAAAATGGCGGCTGTTTTAATTAGAATTTTGAATCACAACCCATATATGGAACAGTATATCGATGTTGCACTCTGGGAGCCAATCCTCCTTGTACTGTAGAACTTTCTTTTGCTCTAATCTCAAAGTTGTATATATGATAGCAGCTCATACTTAATTGTATATTTTATATTATTTACTTTTAGTACAAAAGATCCAGGACAACAGCCTTTCAGCTTCCAGGTTGGACTCGGGAAAGTCATTGCAGGTAATTTAGATACAGTAAATCAAAAACCTTCCAAATTAGAACACCTCTCAAACTAGAACACCTCCCAAATAAGCACAATTCTCTGGATCTATTTTTTCTTCCATTGAGTCTTTTGCTAACTAACCATAAGATGTAAACGCCTTCCAATATTTGAAAAGAGAACAGTCATATTTGCAAAATCAACTTGTGTCAGAGGAACACTTCATGTAAACTATCACATGCTTTTAACAATATTGCTAAAAAATTATAATATATTATTATTACTTTTAGGGTTGGTTAAAATGCCGTATAAACACAAACTTTAAAAGTATTCAAAAGGGATGTATTTATATCTAGTACTAACTAAATTGAGGCAGAACTGGATACATCTTAAATTTTCATTAAGGCAAGACACAAAGTGCCTATTGACTTACCAGACATATTTTTCTGAGGCACACTTGCATTTGCCTTTTGTGACAAGTGATCCTGTTTTAATGTCACCATCACAAGTGTTGACATATTGTTATATAGTCTCCAACATTTTTGTGGATGATGTTCGGCATCTGGCATTTGGTGTCTGTAATAAATGGCAGGTGGTGACATTTTGCATGTTAATGCCTTGTTAAGCGGTTGACAGTGTCTTCAATACTTACCATACACCTAAGTTATCATATGGTTGTTTTGTTTATATTTTCAGGCTGGGACCAAGGCTGTTTGACAATGAAACAGGGTGAGATTGCCAAATTGACAATAAGAGGAGACAAGGGATATGGGACACAGGGCTTCCCAGCCTGGGGATATCCTTTTGAAAATATTTATTTTAAAAACATCTATATTATATTAAATACAGGTAAAGTGGAACACCTCTGTAAGTTGAAAACCTCCATAAGGGAACACCTTTTAGAGGTACCAAAGGTGTTTCTTTACACAGGTTTTACTGTATTTATATTAATTTGATATTCATTCACATAAAATAATAATTAATAAAAATACAAGATGATAAAATGCTTGTTCCCATGTAAATTCAAAATTATCTTTTCTGTAAATGTTTTATATTTTCTTATTTTCAAGTGTGTGTGATAGGTTCTCAGGTGGGCTCCTAAAAATTTCAAGGGGTGTAGTGCCCCTTCTTTCATTGCTTGGGAGATCACTAATGCAGGGTCCATTATCATTTCTTAACATAACGTTAATGTAAATGATAAGTTAAAATGAAGTATGGTTGTTTTCCTTAATATTTATTACAATTACACCCAATGCCGAACTCTGCTTTGAAATTGAGGTTTTGAACATCCAATAGATGGAAGTGCTGGTCTCCACAGTATGATGTCACAATAGACTATGTTTATGAGGAATAAGAGGGATACATATTTAATATTAATGAATATTATATTGACTTTTCATAAAAGTCTTTTTTGATATATACATTTTTGTATGTAGTGTACTGATATAGAGAGGATGCGTTTTTAATGGGGCGATTTATTGCCCCCTCCAGCTTTATGAAACAATATCTGAAATTGAATGGGTTGAAAGATGAAAGCCCATGGCTTAAAAAATCAACACAGAGTTTATACGTCTTCATTGCCATACTGTGTATTTGCCATCTAAATATTTATTATATAATGACTTTTATAAAGTCTCGCTTAAAGGAATATTCCTTGCTAAACCATCTCTCTCCTCATATGGTAGCTATAACCATATATATGCTTGCCATGTTTAGCAAAACACGCAAAAATGTTTTGATATGGTCAAATTTGATCACTTAGAAATGTGATGCTCAATTCCAGTAAGCTGCCATCTTTTAAAATTTCACACAGGAAGTGATGTCATCGACTCTCAACTTTGCAAATAGCATTAGGTGAGGAGCTATTAAGAATTACAAAACCAGCTAAATATTCTTTTTCAACTTTGTATCTTATTTAATCCTTCTGAAAATCTCTTCTTTTGTTCTAAGTTGACAAGCCCTGAAAATATTTTTGCACAGAAAGTAATGATCACTTGTCTAGAAGTGATTTTGTGCTACTTTCCTATACTGTTATGGGCAAGGTTATAGAAGTTGAGAGTTGATGACATCACTTCCTGCAAGAAATCTTAAAAGATGGCAGCTCACTGGAAATAAGCACTAGATTTTTAAATGATCAATATTGACCATATTAAAACATTTACCCATGTTTTGCTAAATATGGAAACTATATATATGATTATAGCTACCATATCAAGAGAGAAAGGGTCTGGCAAGGAATATTCCTTTAAAAGCATATTTAATCCTAGTAGGCTATTTGTATCTGTTTTGATACACTTACTTAGGTGTTCTAATTCTTTGTTTCCTGTCATTTTGAGTACATGATATGCCGGTTTTTAAAAAATGTTCATTTATAGTTCACCATTCTTTACTGCCAAAATCGATTAAATTCCTCTGAAGGAAATTATTGCAACTGGAAGTTTCACTGGCGGATGATTTGGCTTATATTCTGTTATATACATATATTTATATGTAGAACATACCTTTCTTACATACATACAATTAGAAAATAAGATTGTTGAATGGTTCAATTTTATTGGTCGATTGATTGTAAAAGGTTGTTTTTCTGTGTGTGTTTTTCAACTTCTGTGTAAGAGACTTTACGTTGACCTGATGGGAAACAAAGAATTTAAATCCATTGGCCTAAGTCGATCATATTTGCTTCGTAGCTTTGAAATCTCAGTTTTATTGAGACTTAAAATATGTCTGTGTATTTAACCATTAGGGACTAATATTTTCACCTGTTTGATGACATATTGGAATTTCCTGTATGATTTGAATTACACCTGTATTAAATTTTTCAGGATTTTTAACTTTCCTGAAAAGAGTAGCCTAAATCCACATTGCCATCCATTTTCACGCATATTTTGTAAATCTTTGATTCTGTTTGGACAGTTATGATTAGCCATTTTTTATTAAAATCATGAAGATAAATTATTTTTTCTAAATCAGGTATTGTTCTACTTTTACATGTACATGTATGTGTCAACTTTCGTATATAGAAATCTATATTTGGACCTTTAGTTTTTCATGACATTTTTACATTCTGTACATCACCATTCCGTTAACAGCGACCAAGTGGAATAAATACAATAATAGCAAATTCAATAAATGCATTGTTATGTGTTCTTTTTGCACTAGTGGAGCCATTCAACTTCAAAAATTACATAGGCTTTAAATTTTGCACTATCGTGCAAAGATCAATTTTTGAACAATAGTAATGTTATGTGAAAGATAAAGGAGCACATAGGTTATCGCAAACAATTTCAGAAGGTTATATCTTGGATTATGACTATTTTCTGATAATGAAGACAGGTTTATCTTTTAGATCAATTCATTATCTCAAAGAAAATTATATACAGTAATAATAAAGTCAAACAAACTCGGAGATATTTAACTAGCAATCAACCCATCAACACACTTTTTCAAAGATGTTGACCCCATTTTCACCAAAAGTGCAATCATTTTTGTTTACAATGTTTAATGCATTACTATTCTTTATTTTGATGTATCAAATAGTTCTTGAAAGAAAAACTTAATTGCTTTAATGTAAGTGTTCCCCATGTTATTTCTCCATTGAAAAATCTCATGCTATCCATTGGTTTCAGTTCATTTTGGTCATCCAGATTTAGTATCATTAAAGTTCCTGGAACAATCAACTTGTCCTTTTAATATATATATATTTCTTTATTGCGACCATAATTGATCATCATTATATACATTATTTTATGTTAACATATATACAAACATTTAGGTGAACAATACAAAGTACAGTACAGTTATGTGGTAACCAATGTCTCTCTGTGTAACAGGGAGTCCTAAATGAATAAGTTCATTTACAATGGCAATGTTGTCTATACCGAAATTAAAAGGGAGTACGTCTTTATTTCTCCCTTTAACAAAGTGAACTGCAGAGCATTTTTTGGGATGAATTTGAAAACGCCACCTATTGGCGTAGTTGTAAACTATATTTAACATTGATTGCATGGTATTTCCAAAAGACGAAATTAAAATGGTGTCATCTGCATAGGATGGAGCACAACATGACATCCCTCGTATAGCACAGCCTAGCCCAGAGTTAACGAGCTCTTCCAATAAGGGATTCATTAATCGTACATTCACAAAGCACATTCTATTTATGCATTCAACAATATAATAAAAGGTTGCATTTTTGGTGATTTTTTTTTGTTGCCCCTTCAATATCACTTAGGTCTGATTAACTAAATTATCATTATATATACTTTTCTTGAAGATAATGAATGGATCTAAAAGATACACCCATGTTCATGATCAGAAAATATTAATAATTCAAGTTAGAATCATTTGGAATTGTTTGCGATAACCTACATGCTCCTTTTTGTTGAAATTCTTAAGTTTAGGTATTAACATTGGAGAGGTTAAGCTTTGCATATATAATCGAAACTGAACCTGTACGTATCACTCGACCATATACAAATTCATGTAGCCTTCTCATATAAATAGCCGTTCAAATCCAGTGTTTGTTTAGACTACACCATAGCGTGTAATGATTCTATAGTAGTCATTGATGCGGTTTTATAGCTGGTTTTCTAATACATATTTTAAACGAGCTCGTTTCGTAAGATTTTTGGCGCTAAATCATGCATGACATACATCATCGTGTTCAGCAAGAATTCAACTGTGCATCGAAATCAAAATTGACAGCATAGTGTTCAATAGACACGAGTAAAATGGTTCCCGTTGACCCAACGTCAAATATTCAAATCTTCCGTTCTAAACCCGAAACTCTGAACCTGAAAGAGTATCTGAAGTAGACTAAGCGCGCATAAAACTATGAGCGCTCGATACATTCCTTTGTTAATTTTTGTACTTTGCGTTCACGGTTACGTTGTGAAAAACATCGTTAGCTTAACCTCTCCATTGTCAACATTCAAAAGATCAAGTAAAGTGTGAATGGCTTCAATTGTATTATATCATGACTGGGTGAAAAACTAATTTGCTTTACAATTCTGATCTTCTCAGCTTCTCCCAATCTTGTCTTGTGGAATTTAGAATGAGCTCATATCAAATCATTTCCCCTATTTATTTTACAAACAAGCCAGGATTGGCTCATTTATTTACATCTCTAACGCGAAGAGGTTTAAGGAAGCCCCCCCCCCTCCCATTGTCATCAATCCTTTCTGTTGAGAGGTGCTGTTTGGAAGCAGTTATATAGAATATTAAGGTACTGCCATCTTTCAATCCTAATGGAGATATATTTCAGAAACCACTGATGCCTCATAATATTGCCTATGGCTATTTAGAATTTTCGAATGGCATCACTTGTCTGTTTGTACCACGATTCACTGTTTTTCAAGATTCAAACTCTTGCTTCAAGACTCTGGACCCCCCTCCCCCCCCCCCTATCTACTTCAACAACATTCAGCTTTCAATCAGGGGGGTGATCGCCAAAAAAATATGGGGGGTGTGATTGTGGCATAAGATTAAAGATTTGTATTTCCTTCAAAATTGAGCTAGAAGCTTCATATAAAAAGCATTTTAAAGCTCCTTTCTTCATGTATCTCATGGTTCTATTATTTTGGGTAATTAACAACCAAATATTCCAGTATTTGATATGTTCATTTTATTTGTTCACCAATAAAACATTCCCTTAATTTATCTGTACATTACGTCCATCACCTATTAAATAAATATTTGACATGTTTAGCAATCTGCTATTTTAACATGTTTAAGAACATTCTATTTTAACATGTTTAACAACCTCAATTTTAACATGTTTATGAGCCTTCTATTTTACATATTTAACGACCTTATATATTTAACATGTTTAATAACCTGCTATTTTTACATATTTCATAACCTGCTAATTTAACATGTTTATAACCTGCTATTTACACACCCTCAAACTCACTATTAAGATGTTTTTACAAATGTACACTTATAGTCATTAATTTAAATAATCATAAATAAGCTAAATTACATGTTATCATGATTGTGATGTAACAGTGCTAAATCTATAATAAGTGGAAGAATTCTGGTTTACCAGACCCCATCTTTCAACATTCAAGACAAGAGGGGGGGGTACATGTATCATGATGTGAGCAAAACAAATTTTTGTACATGAGTCAATGCAGTTAAGCAACTTGGTAACACTAGATAAAATAAGTTGAGAGTGCAAGGACAAGTTATTAAACCATGATTTAATCATTTACATAATACAAGGTAAACCAAAAAGGTAACCCAAACACATGTTAATGATTCCATAACTAAAGTCATCCAGCATGGGTTCAGTGCCATAGTTGAGAGATTAGTTAAGAGTGGTACCTTTAAAAATGTTTATAATTTTTAAAGTATGCGACGTCATTATTTGGGAGTCTGAGCTCTAAATTAATGTTACCAACTCTATAATGGTAGTGATCAAGAATAGCTAAAGAAAAAAGAATAGCTAAAGGAATGCAAATAAGGATATAAAGGCATGCGTGGTGTATCACAATCATAAGATCAAATGCCTTGAGGTATAGTATGTATTACACATAAAAATCAACTTTTTCTTGTCCAATAAATAAATAAATACACTATAAGCCATAAAGATTATTTGTGATGAACACTTTTACAAAGTATAGTCAGTCATATAAGGCTCAAATAAAAAAGGCAAGTGGTATGAATGAACATAAATTATAGTCTAAATAGAAGGAAAAAAATTCTCTTCCTTAATAATGAATGAGACTATAAAATTTTGGAGTTTGGGTTGTGCACCGAGATGAATTCCTCAAGTTCAAAATGTTTATTAGTCTAATGACTTTCCATTGCAGTAGTTCATATTTAAATACGTAAGAAATAACTGCCGATTCAGCAGTTTCAAAAGTACACCAATTAAAGGTTTCACAATTGTTCTACATGCCCTAAAAAGTGTTCACGTTAAATGACAAACAATAGTGTAATATGACACCCATTAGAAAAGTAAAGAGAGCGACCAATAATCATCATCCCATAATTCATGGAAGACGGTCAACTCTTCAGTACATCATTTTGAAAGAACTCATCGTCCCCTTAGTAAAGGCATAATCTATACAATGTACAGTCATATTTAAGATTTTGTCATAAATGCAATTAACATATACTGGATGAACAAAATATGCATGAATTTCAAACAGTCTCCTTACACATAAATATTAATCCATTTTAATATTTCAACTCTTAAGTATAAAAATATTAAGTGTTAAAAATACTTGCAACATTCTGCAAGATTTAGCTGCCAGTTTCGTACATACATGTATTTGTATCTTCAAAACCCCTGTACAATGGACAACCAAAATACACATCATGAGTTTGTAATATTATAGTTTAGTATATTCCACACATTCAAGCCATGTGATAGTCTTAAAATAAGTTTTTCTGACCCCCTCTCAACATCTTACCTAAAATGGACAGAGTGGGGAGGGCTTTCAAAGGTTAGATGCAATATTAGCTTTGTAATACCATAATAATACCATAACGTGGTCTAATAGGTGTTCTCACAGTATTCCTGTGATGATATTTGAAATTGTTCAGGATGTAATACAATACATGTATAGGGAAAATAAGAATATACATGTACATGTAAGTAAAAGAGCGTGAAGGACTGAAATTCAATTGAAATGATTGGTTGCACAATACACAAGAATAATTAGTGCAAAAGATTCCTGAAGATATATTTTGTTCTTTGAGGTTTGTCCAATTGTTTTCAAGAAGAAATTCTCAATAGGGTGGACTGACTTTTTTACATCTAGCCCTTAGCACAGGATTTCATTCTGTGTTTTCATAACCTGGCTCAGGGCTTGGATTCGATAAAGCACTACGTACATTTAATATTGCATTGTTTTTGTTATCAAACGTAACTATATGAGAACATATATGATACACTCCCCTCCATAAGTATGGAAATTAGAGTTTCCCCTTTGGAACATATTGGTATCAAATCCTGTCTATATTTTTATTTGGTGATTTCAAAAAAATTCATGAAATTTGTCTTAAATTTCCAAATTATTGAAATTAAGGAACAAAATTAAGATTCAAACACCAACAGGCTTTAATATATATGCAATGAACTTGCCAAACTTATGGAGGGGAGTGTATGTCTGTCATGCATCAAGTTTTTTGCCATAGCCCCTTCAAATGTACTTTAGGAAAAGAATGGAGAGTGTGGCAAGAGACTTGATGCAAAACTACAGTAAAATTTCAGATTGTCTGAATATAAAATAAATTATGAGTTCTATTATTGAGCAAACTATTTCTTGATAATGCAATATCTGTGCTCCATCTTTTAGGGATGTTGTCTCATGATGATTTCATTAGGGATGGTCTCTCATGATGATTTCATTAGTGAAGAATGTAGATTTTTGAAACTTTGAATTTCATTTAATTGCGTAGGAGGGAGGTAAACCACAATAAAATTTACTTCATTTTTCCACAACTTTCTTAACTTGGACATAATCCGTTTAGTCTATGTTGATATTATATAAGACATTGGTATCGCAAAAATAATAAAATTCATTTTCAAAAGATAGTGAGCTGAAATGCAGGAAACAATAGATAATGGTGCATACCCTTTGCGTAGAGTTCTATATAAACTGCTGAAGACGAAGCTCTCTTTTAAGAAGTGAAGTCGAACGAAGCATCTGCATTACAATGAAACCAAGCATGACCTTACTGTACAATAAATAAATAACAAATCAGACTTCAAAACACTATTCAGTTACACAGTTACACACTAAAACAAATATGTGTAGAACTAGAAATAAAAAAATATACATTAACTAAAATTTGACATTACAGGCACTGTCTGTAATAAACATATACAATATCATGTATAACTGCCCAACACAGACAAAATACAACATGTACAATAATATACACCTTCATGCATTGTAATGTAGCATAATGTATATATTATTCTGTCGTCATGACAACATACTATTGTCATCAAAAATATTAACACATTTTGCCATGACTTTTGGCAAATAAGGAGGCACAATTACATGCAATGTTTTTGTATTTCAACATCAGATCTTTAAGATTCTATAAAAATATGTATAATATGGAGTACACTCCCCTCCTAAAGTTTGACAACTCCTACTCTTCGGACTTTAACATACTGTCCAATGGGGAGTCAAAGTTACCAAACTTTTGAAAGGGGGTGTATTTTGTTCATTATCACGATGACTGCTCAGATTTCTTGCTCATAGCATAGGATCTTAAATAGTAAGGTGACAGATTCCAAGAGGATTCTTTAAAAAGATAGAATTCCATGGACTAAGGACACTCAAGATACTCTTTCAAGTCCCTGCTTATATAAATATGTAAAGTACAGTATATTTGATATTTGGCAAATTTTGGTATGTGTTATATGTGTTATTTAACAGGTAAAGTTTCACATGTAAATATACCGTTAATTGTACTGAGATTCAAAAACCATTTTCTACACCATTTGATAGTCCATTGGGTATGTCATTCGGTAGTCCATTAGGGACACCATTCGGAAGTCCATTAGGGACACCATTTGGTTGTCCATTAGTAATGCCATTTTGTAGTCCATTAGGGACATCATTTATGGGTATTGGTCTTGCTCCATCAGAGGGTTTACACACATAAAAAGTTGGGGTCCCTTGGTAGACATCCTACAAGTAAAAATCCAAAAACGTATGACCTTGTCTCATTTTCATGTACATGTACATCTAGTTTAGGGCTTAGTTCATTTTCTTCTTTCTAATTTCTTAGGGCATACCGATCATGACTCCTTCGATTCATAAGTTTTAATCAACTTACAAATGATTTTACCAGGAGAGATTCAAGAATATAATGCCTTAACTTGCAGTATACAACATAATGTTTTTTTAAAAGGTAACATCAGTATAACTCACTATAACTGCTGATACTAACTCAAAATGAGGTGAATTAGAGAAATATCCTTTTAATAGAGGGTGACACTGTACATAACAAATACAGTGCAGATTAGTATCACTGTGACAGTGTAACCTAGTGCACAGTACTTAAAGTAGCACATGACCAGGATGTTAGTGTCCCTGATATATAAGCATTACCCCCCCCTGAACAAACCATAAACTGAACTTGTCTGTGCATGAATTACACACGGTTGATTATTTTACCTTCATATGTTGTACTGTCTTTGATATGAGATGAGTTGGTACCAAGGTTACGGTGCAGCCTCCGAATCCACCTCCAGTCATCCTTGACCCATAAACACCTTCTACCTCCATTGCAGCATCAACCAGTTGGTCCAGCTCTGGACAAGACACCTCATAGTCATCCCTTGAAACATGAGATGTGGAACAAATATAAGAGGGATTCAATATGGATTTTACTCCCTGGAAATGTGATATTTTGAAACAATTAAACATGAGATATGGAACAAATATAAGAGGGATTCAATATGGATTTTATTCCCTGGAAATGTGATATTTTGAAACAATTAAACATGAGATATGGAACAAATATAAGAGGGATTCAATATAGATTTTATTCCCTGGAAATGTGGTATTTTGAAACAATTAGACATGAGATATGGAACAAATATAAGAGGGATTCAATATAGATTTTATTCCCTGGAAATGTGATATTTTGAAACAATTAAACATGAGATATGGAACAAATATAAGAGGGATTCAATATGGATTTTATTCCCTGGAAATGTGATATTTTTAAACAATCAAAATATGTAGTGGTCCTGTTTCAAGAATCAGATTTAATTATCAATCATTCTTCACTGATGCATTGATACGTTTTTTCTTTTATTAAAAGGAATGTACTCTTTGATCACAGAATAGTAAAAACTGTCAAGTGGAACCCATTTAAGTGGTACACTTGTCAAAGTCCTGTGAACCTCTGACCAATGATAATTGAACCTTTACACATGGAACAACTCCGAAGTGAAACCAAGGATGTTCCAGTTATACAGGTTTTACTATATCTCTGTTGTCGACAGAACTGTCCTCATTGATCTCATGTGACTTGGAGGCACGTTAAGCCACACCCTTTTAAATATGCACTAATCTTTCAAATAACATATTTTCTGACATATTGACTTAAAAATTGAATCAACTTTTTGTTATTCATGTTTATCTCTAAATTGTGTCTACCTTGACAACTGATATATGGTTGGATATGGATTTAATTAAATGAAGCATGAGAAGTATTGTTCAGTCCCAATATCCTGATATCAAAGAATATTGCATGGGTGGATCTAGAACTGGAAGTAGCAGGCGATTAAGTAAAATATAATATTAAGAAAATCCCTTTCTTCATTTCGTTCAAGTTTTTGAAACTGAGGCCTATTTTCTCATGATCTGGGCCTTAGAGTCTTAAAATTGAGATCCATTTTAAAAAAATCAACACCTTTTTAGAGGGGGTGCTCCTTGGGGGGGGTCTGTGCAACACTAGACATACATGTAGGGAGATACATAATATGAATAGCAGTGCAAGATAGCAGTATGACATGAATAATACTTAACTATAAAATGAATCTTTAGTACTTTAGTATGTACACCAGACAGTCATAGTAACACGCCAGACAAATAAAACTCATTCATTTTAAATGCAACATTTCGAACTTCAAAAGAATGCCCTAATTACCATATCTTTGTAACCTATAAGTCAACGTAACCTTTCTAAAGCAATGACTAAACCTGGCAAGAACATGATCCTATGCTTGCCACAAAGGAACTATATTCTTGGAGATTTATTGCAACATGGTCCATAAACCACAAATTCATAGTTTTTTGGGTGCATCGTGGAAAATGTTGAATCAGCCAATGAAATTGAAGGATAAAGGACACACCTATACCGGCATGACTAGACTAAACACACCCTCAAGCTAAATCAATAAATGTGGTTTTTAATGAGGAAGTTATCACTCCCATATAAAATGTACCTACTGTGGGCAGTTAATAATATCACAAGCTACGTGTGGAACTACATCTAGGTCCATAATGAGGATAATGGGGAACAAGAATCATTTTTATGTTAAAAATAAAAAAAATTGATTATTTATAAAAAAAAATTAAAAACATATCTGCCACACCCCTTCTGAATGGCCTAATAGCTTCTACAAGACAGTATAAAATAATTCTGTACATGATCTTTAAACATAGATATTCTTCAACTGAGCTCCTCAAATACACTCCTTAAAGATTTGTTGATACATTGTTCAAGGTACTAAGCCTAACATCGCTCCCAGTCTCATTACGTGCTGTGCACATATTGTATTTTGGGAGCAGGGAAGGGGGTTGTATCAACATGACTGCCATGAACAGTCAACCCTTGTCCACAAGACTAAGGGGTGGTGTCAAATGTCAACAGTATTGTAACATTTTAACATGAAGTTAACCTCATTGGGGTAGTGGAAAATTATGTTTCAATATGAAAAAATGTTCTGTGAAGGGCAAATCAACATTTAAAGTTTCTTTATATTGGGGGTGGGGGGTTGAACCATAAAGAAATTAAGCTTTTCCAAAACTCTTGACATTTGGAATGTTGATTATGAAATGAGGATTGTTTGATGTTAGATGTTGATAATGAAAGGATTACTTACCGGAGAGAGTTATGGCTTTCTACCATAAGTTTGCCAAATCTTGCATAGTCAGCGTTTTCTAAGGCAGTTGCTGCTTCTTGTGTACGATCTATCTCACCAACCACATGCCTCACTTGTCTGTATGTGATGTCATCTAATTCAGCTTTTTTACCTATAAATTCAGAATTGAGATTATGAAGAGAAATGCATAGCCAGGATCTAGAATTGGTTGAGGTAAAGTTAATTTGGCCAAATTTGAAGCTGACCACAGAATGCCAATTACCAAACACCAACCACCAAACACCATCCATAAAAAAGTTAGAGACTAAAACAATATGTCCCCACTCCTGGAGGTGACATAATTGCAGTGAAACCTGTAAAGTGGAACACATCTAGAAAAAAACACCTCTGTTAATATGCTACCGTTAATATAACCCAAGACCAACTGACTTAATGTTAAATGAACCTCTATAAGTAGAACACCTCCCAAGTAGAACACTTTTTTTTTCCTGAACAAACAAAATATGGCTATCATTCTACATGTACTTCATTTTCATAGTTTAAATTGAAAAAAAACATCTGAATTCATATTTTTCAGTAACAATTTGCTCATGCCGGCTATGCTCTTGGCATGTAGTCAATGTACAAAATACAATATTGCTGATATTTCCTTTGATATCCCAAAATAATATTATTCTCTGAAAGAGTTCCAAAATGCATTTATTCATCTTATCGAGATAAGGTTGACTATGTTACCCTGTTAGCATTAAAAAAAAGACACTCATAATTGTATTCGCACAAGAACAATGAAAATAGGAAAAAATATTTTGAAATTAAAAATGCATGTAATTTAAATTAATACATAATATTTTTCATGGTTTTTCCATAATGTGGACATTAAGAAAAGATTATGTATGGCTCGTGACAGTATCACCGATTTTCACAAATGAAATCATTCCATTTCTTAAAAAAATTGTCTATCGGGTTTTCTTAATCATACGTTCATGATATTAAGCCTTATGTTATGGTTTATGTGAGTGCAAATCTCTATTACATTTCATGTATGATATTGATTGTTTCACTTATTCTAAACATTAAAAATATTAAAATCAATACAAGTTTTTGTTTTAAATCAGAACGAATAAATCTGAATTCTAAAATGACGTAGGTGTTAATCGGCGTGTCAATAAATACTTTTAGTTTATGTAAATAGACCCTGACAAAATGAAGTTTTCTTTCACATATGGCGCAATCAGACCATTGTATAATAAAAGTACATGTGGTAATGGTCCTTATAATAACCCTCAAGAGAAGGGCGTGTCTATATGCCTCAATCTGATTGGAGCTGTGTTATATGAGGCGATTACAAAACATAATCACTATGACACAGTATGTGATAATAGTTTTTAAGTACTGATTGATGTAAAAATGTGTTACCGATATGATGAGAAAAGTATAGCTTACAATAACAAGGCAACCTAAAATCTCCCTTTGCATCACTTATACTGAAATATCTCGTTACTGTCATTACTCATTTGTCAAATAATAGAAAGATTTCGCAACCCAGCTCACTCCCCAGCTCACTTATGACTTATGTACTACAGTATATCATCAAATAATGATGGAAATTTTATTCACTTAAATCATAATATAAAGCTTAAAATCACAAATGTATGTTTGAGAAAATACTAATCTAAAAAATTTCAATAATATTTTCTATGGACTTGCACAATAGTCTAGCTACAAGGCCTTGTGCCACCCCCCCCCACCTCCCAATTACACCTCATCTCCATTTTGAAGGGAGGGGGTCTGGAGACATGAAGTGAGACTATTAATATAGCATATGCCTATGTTTATAGGTAAAAGTAACAAGTGAGCCGTAATGAGCTTGCTACCTTTTCAACAAGAGTTTGATTTGACATCTTTTAAAAGAGAGCTTTATCCACACTCTTGAAATAAGAAGCCTTACAATTAAAAATCAGAAATGAAGTCACTTAATCTTATGCCTTCAAAAATCACTCAAAAACCTATAACAGCTACTTTTGGGTCAATTGAAATCTTATCAGCTTCAAATCTGTTAAATGATCTATCTTTGTCAGAGCGAAATAATTCCTATGTCTCTGGGAATCAGGGTACAATAGAGTGATTGCGAAATCTCAGTAGCTACGTGCTGATCCTTAAAGAGACATGTGAAATGACGCATCTCTTCATTCTGGAGGAAATGAAGTTGAAACTAGGGATTCTCAAAAAGTGAATCAAAGATAAGAACCCTTACAAAAAATACTCATTTTTAGTAAACATTCCTATTTAAAACCATTGACAGATAACGGGAATTAAAACCATTTTCAATCATTTGATTTTGCTGAAAGCTTCATCAATACTTAATTCAGAGGCTCTAACAATCTTTCAGATTAGACCATGCCGTGTGCTTATTCATATAGTGATTTAATGATAAACTTTCTTATGAATCTTGCAAATTCATTGAATTTTCAAGCAGAAATTGCCTCCATTCCCAAAAATCCACTCATTTTGTTCAATTTAAGGCAATAGGTACAGTAAAACCTGTCTACAGTATATGAACACCTCTCTTATAAAAACACCTCTCAATATGAGCACTTCTTTCAATCCTATTATTTCTAACTGCTACAGATTTCTATATGATGAAAAATTCTAGGTTAAAAATTTACAACAAGGCATTGACAACCTGCCATTTGCTACAGATGCCGAACGCTGACAAAGCTCAACAATGAAAACCAAAAAAGTCTAAGACTATAGCAATACATCACCACTTGTGGTGGTGTGAAAACTGCCGATCCAAACACTTCTGGCTCACCCCATTTAAGCATTTAAAAGAGGCAGGTTTTACTGTACAGTATATACTCAGCCCAAGATAAAAGTGCAATTATATTTATTCAGTCATGTTTTATTTATTCGCTTTCATTTACTCCCACTCTGGAGACAAGTGTCAAGTATTTATATATCTGAATGACAAAAGTCATAATTCATTTAGATAAGTCATTAAAATACAAGTTAACCTTACATATAGCTTGCATCTCTTAAACATTCATTGGACATGTGATTTCGTCTGGCTGTCCTTGGCTTTTTGTACTAGGAATGATAAATTACGGTTTATATGTTTCTACACATGTATATTGATCGCCTTATCTCTGATTTCAATCTTCATTTTTTGATTCTACTATAGATAAGAATATTGATTAATCCTACCAGATTTTATTTTTATTTGATAGGTTATATATAAAGGGGTGCCATGCAACAACATCTTTGCACGCTTGGTCTACAACAGTGCATTCAGCACCGATGGAAGCCAAATGAATGAAAATGATGCAAAGGACAAAGAACTTATTAATTAAGTGGTAAACTTCAGAAAGGTTTAAAATCAGATTGGCTTCACTCAGTTTACACTGTTCAATTGACTCTGGGTATATCACCAGAGAAGGTGTGACTATAGTCCTGTGAGAAGTAAATTCATATTTCCTCATTTGAAGATTAAAGTGGAACTGATTTATCAAATTGCATTTATATATCTGATAATCATCACGATCATGTCTTCCTGTTACACTCAAACATGCAAATGGCAGAGGGAAATAAAATATCTTGGTTTTTCATGATGTACGAGGGTTGATCCAAAAGTTCTCCAACGTTTTACCTAAAAAATTATTTCTTGGTGAATTTTGTTCAAACTTGGATCAACCCTCGTATTAAGCAGTTTTCATATTTTTCAAACATAATCATTCAAATTTTTCAATCAGTCCTAAAAGATTTTTCAATCAGTCCTAAAAGAGGGTATTTATACTTTATCTTAAAAGACCTCCACCTCATATGAACCATCATGCTGTTTTTGGCCCTTTACTGAACCTTTAGTCCCGGGCCTTAGTCTGGCACATTGTCAATTCAGCTGCGATTCAGCTAGTAATCAAATATACAAACAATACATTCCAAGACCATGGTCGATAATATTTCCTTGTATTTATGTTTGTATTTATCTATGAATCATAACTTGTATAAGAGAGAGTTTATAGTAAATATAGGAATGTGATCGATGAATAAATGTTGTAGAGTATGGACAGTCAACTGAATGTCAATATAACTAAAGGCATTTAGGCCATTGCTATAATGGCTTTATAGTCCCAACAATCTATTTAAATGTATGTCAATGAATGACATACAAAAAATGTTCATTCAAAAGTAAATGTACAATGTACAAATGTATATGCCTCTCATGCACTTAAAAAATTTGAAATTTAAGTTTCTCAATACATTTATATACTTCTTGCTGCCAGCTCCCATCATTAAAAATCAATAAAAATCTGACAATCACAATTCGTATAATTCCATAATAGATAGATCTCAAAATATTATACAAATATCTTCACTCACCTTCAAGATCTTGAAGTGTAACCTCTCGTAAACTTTTTTTCCCGAAGACTTTTGAAGCATTTTCACAGTTCTTTCTTCGAGATGGATATTCGCTCCCAGTGAGTTGATGTTTTACGTTAGAGTTTGTAAGCAGGACTACAACGTCTGGGTCAGTGAGGGGGACAAGCTTACTCTCCATTGACCTGAAAATCAAGTACATGTATGTCATAAAAATAATCTTTCGTCTTTTTCAGATGATTACCAATCATTTTTACCATAAACCAATAATAAACCTTTCAAATTTCCCAAACTAGGTTCATCAAAATAGACAATTTTAGAGAATTTTGGGGAAAAGTGACCCCCCCCTTGAAAAATTCTGGCTACGGGCCTGACAGTATAAACAATGCAGGTTTTATTCATATTAAGGTGTTATTATTCAATGCCTGTTTCTATGGTAATGGTACCTGTTAGCCAACAATTGATCAATTATTTTACAAATAAGCAAACTATTTAAATTGTATATTCTACTCTTTAAGGAAACTAAAAGAGTGTTACCATTGCAACAGGTGAAATTTTAGTTTAAAAATATCATTTCCAATACCTACATACCAAAATTGTTCATATGGATAATCAATTCAAGTTAAGTCTGTTCGTTTTCAGTTTCTTACAATCAGGGACAATTTCTGAGCACAGAGGCTATTTTCGATACAATAAAAACTGAAATACTTGTAAATGCATAATAAAAAGAATACCTGCAATCTATGAGTAAAGCATGACCCTCCTTTCCCATTGTTGATATAAATTGATCCATGATCCCGCATGGCATTCCTGCATATTCATGCTCCGCCTTTTGGCACAAAAGGGCTTTCTGAGTAAGTGTAATATCATTGGTGTTGCCGCTGACTTGTTGCAGGAACGTATAAGTGGCGACCTCTAGTGCCGCAGAGCTTGAGACACCGCCACCTAGTGGCACTGAGCTAACTATCACGGCATCAAAAGATGGCACATTTCCTGTAAGAAAACAGAATTGTGTTTTTCATTATATACTTCTTGCTTAATTATTGCCAAATTGTGGTGAGTATTATAAAATAGGATGTAACTAACATGGTCTCCAGAATTCTACCTCAATACCCCACGCGCACGCAATTAAAGGGCTAGCCCATAGCCGAATTGTGGTGAGTATTACAAAATAGGATGTAACTAACATGGTCTCCAGAATTCTACCTCCATACCCCGCGCGCGCGCAATTTAAGGGCTAGCCCATAGCCGAATTGTGGTGAGTATTACAAAATAGGATGTAACTAACATGGTCTCCAGAATTCTACCTCCATACCGCAATTTTTTGCATTTTTAGACATTTTTAGAATAAAGATAACAGAGTTCTGTTTTGACCTCCAGTCAATTCAACTAGTTCCAAATACCATTTACAGGTCCAGGATCACAATGTTCATGGTCAGAATGACCCTAAACATGATGAAATAATGTTTTCAGCCCTATGAAAATGTGACTGAAAAATAGCTAAAAGTAGGAGGGTAGGAAAGGTCACTGAACAGAATCTTTTGAATTTTTCAGAAAATGTGCCCAATATATTGCTCTAAATGATACAATCTTTGAAAATTTGATATCATTCATGGAAAAAGAAAAAAAAAGAAAAAACTGATTTTAAAAGCGATTTATTTTCCTTTTTATGACTGTCATTTTTGTTTAAGACAATTTTCTAAAATTTCAAAGATTGTATCAGTTGGAGCATTATATTGGGCACATTTTCTGAAAAATTCAAAAGATTCTGTTCAGTGACCTTCCCTAGCTCCTACTTTTAGCTTTTTTTCAGTCACACTTTCAAAGGGCTAAAAAGGTTATTTCATCATGTTTAGGGTCATTCTGACCCTGCACATTGTGATCCTGGACCTGTAAATGGTATTTGGAACTAGTTGAATCGACTGGAGGTCAAAACACAACTCTGTTATCTTTGTTCAAAAAATGTCTAAAAATGCAAAAAAAATTGTCACTTCCTGTTTTGTCATTTCCTGTTAACTTCCATAGCACCTTAAGGGCTAGCCCATAGTCTATAAGTAAACATTGCAGATAGCAAAACAGTGAAACCTAATATCTGAACACCTCTCTAATCTGAATTTCACTCTTTTGGTCAGTCCCACAAATGTTCAGATTAGATACGTTTTACTGTATTTGTTAGAAATCGCAAAGACTGTTGATTTTTGAAAATTCAAATGGAAGATTTGAATCAATATTTTAAAATTTCATTATATGAGAAGAGGGGGTCAAATCATAACACAATTCACAAAGTTCTACAACTGCTGATAGTATTAGACACCATCTGTACTCAGAAAGGTAACTTTTTTCACAATTTCAAGGTTTCATTTGAAATATAATTATTTGGCTACTATATGTGGCTTTAACTACGTATGGTTCAAGTCAGTAACTTGTACAGAATTTTTACATCATACAGCCACCCACCCCCTCAATTTGATTGTTGACATAATTGTACTACACATCATGTACTACATGTACATGTACCTAATAGCACTATATTTTTAATTGAAAGTGGAATGTAAAACTTAACTTCGAGTGGGACTATGTATAAGTATACATCTACTTATGAGTCAATGAATAATATTCAAATTCTCAGTAATTATGAACTGAAATCATTAACTTTTATTATTTCCCAACTTAGGGCAAAAATTAAATCATTTTAAAGATACAGACCATAGGAAATCAATACCAAAGTCACATATTTCAAATAACCATTATCTTGTGGTGACTTCTTACCTTGGAAAAAGGCAATAACTCCTTTCACATAATTCGCCCATGCGATCTTTCCTTTCTTGGGGGTTGATTTTGATGGAATATCAAACTCAATATATTTGGTTGAGTCTATAGATTTTGAGATTGTCTCTATGCGGCATAATCCGGTGTCTGTCTTCTTGCCCACAATGACAGTCACCATTGGCAACGCCTAGAAATATAAAACAAAATTTGGAAATGGAATATTACATGATTACAGACAATTACCTTGAACCGAAGAGGGTGAGAATAATTATTACCCTCGGATAGACAAAATGACAGTTTTGATGCCAATAAGTTTTGAACTCCATTCTCATTGCCTTTAATGAGAGTTTGGATAGGAATAAATACCAGATACATATTAGTTTCATGAGGTAATTTACTTTAATGATCAAAAATTAAATTACTGAAAAGGGAAGTCATACATATATGTCCCTCTGAGATTGGGATGGGGGTTTGAGGGGTAGTTTTTTTTGGATTACAAGATTGTTACACAAACTGTAAATAGTATACCATGAAAGCCCATGAGTATACCAAGTCAAGTATGAAGTAAATAAACCCCAGAATGGGACTGTACCTTTAACAAGCTCTAAAATTACAACTATGGGCAAATAATTATTTATTTACTGATACACAATCAAAATATGCACACTGTACTCATTAATAATTAAACACTTGTGCTAATGATGACATCATATGTGTGTCATGATTACCGTTTCATAACTAGCTGTTGTACAGACAGGGTGTGTCTGTTTAGCCAATAAAAATCAATATCACATTGCCCTTGAAATTAGTAGGCTACATTTTTGGCAAGAGTTCAATCAAGTCAATCTGGGTAACAAAAAATGAATGTCAGTACTAAACGCTATGTAACAGCTTTCAAAGATTATATAATCGGGACATGCGTGACTTTCAACAGCTCTGAGCTTGATCTAAAAGTACATTTAAATATACTTTTAATATGTAACAGTTTCACTGGGGCAATTATTTTGGTGAGAAAGCTAAATTATTTCTTAATAATTCAGCCAAGAATCTGAAAATAATATAACAGGCAAGACGGGCAAAGTTTTTATATTATGTACATTATGTGTTTATGTACATGTGTACATTATACAATTTTTATTTCATTCTTTATGAAAGTACAGGACATAAGCCAAATAAAATAAAAGTATCATGAAGTTATTTCTAAAAGCATCTAAAGGTAGAATTTTGAGTAATTGACCTTGATAATAGTATTGAAAAGTTAAAATGATTACCAAATTAAAAGAAACTTCATTAATGGGTTGTCTCAAAATACAGAATACTGATTCCCATAGATTTGAATCAAGAGTCGCCACTACCCTCACACCCCCCCAACCCCCCTCCTTTCTTGAAAAATAAGAGGCTTGGTGTAGGACTATGATTTTCTCCAGAAGATTAAAAAACTCACAATTGTAATGCTAAAAGCTAAATGTCTGATATGTTTTTCAAATATTTATACAATAGAACCTGTATATCTGAACACCTGGCTAATACCAACACCTCCCAATATGAACACCTTTTTTCAGTCCCATTTTTTCCTCCCATTGACTCCCATGTTAAAAAAACTTGAAATGTGAACACCTCTCAATTTGAACAGTGAACAGTCATATTTGAAAAATTATCCTGTCTAATCTGAACACTTTTCATAAAATTTCACAAAATTGCTCAAATATTGTTATGATACAAAAACTTTGGGAAAAACTTGAATAGTCATGATTATAATAGGGCTTTCCCTATCGAATCAAATTTTCACATTTCTGATATGCCATAAAGCTATGTGGTCAAATGAACTGTAAATATGTACAGGTTTTACAATATATAAATGTGGTATAGCGGTAAGGAATGTGATTGTTGATAGCATTATTTGTGAATGATATGGATTAACAGGATTTTCAGTGTTGGGTTTTGAAATAACTGGTTAAGTAATAATTGATTTCACAGAAGTGAGTTACATAACTACTCATTGATGGCCAATTAATTCGATGTTAAAAACAACAAGACATTATTAAACAGATAATATCAAGTGTATTGTGATAGAAATATTCTTGTTTTGTTTTTCTATTTAATAGCTCTAAAGTATTCTAATGTAAAATTCCTAGAAGGAAATTATATTTCAGGCGAAGTACATTGTTAGGTACTGTAAAACCTGTGATATGAATATAATCACATTATCATTCTTTTCTTTTCCATTCTATAAAATAACATAATCTGATATATTTATTTTACAAAAATATAAAATACATGTACAGTTATCTCCCCAGGATATCTTACTTAACATGGTGCTTAATTTTTTATACCTTTTGGTCAAACACTCAAATATTTCACCCTTTTGACAGGGTGCACAGATTTTCAATAGGGTGACATCAGATTTCCAATGTTAGGGTGCAATACCAAGTTGTTCTACTAACCTAGGGAATATGTAAGTCACTGAATATGTAAGTCTCATAGACCTGAAAAAATATATGCCCTTGGAATTAAAGGACATCTTGGATCAAGGTTATACAGTAATGTTAATATAAAGGATCATATACTTGTATTAACAGTTTATTCAAGACGAAACACGAATACATGAATACTTACATTGAATTTCTTTTAAAAAGAGTGTACATAAAGGTGTTTTAAACTAACACACAATACCTGCCAGAGATCAAGTTCAAACAATACAACTCAATATTTATAAATGTTACAAAAGAAACTCTTGAAACATGACTTGACATAATTCAACTACATGTATTGGGAAATCTTAATCTCTTTGTTATTCCTTGAACTTTTGTGGCCTATTCTATTGATTGAAATGTTAAATGTGTTTCTCTGTTATTGATATCTGCTTTATGGTTTTTAGACTTCAGTTGCTTGTTTTAAAGGAATGCTTTACCACTGGTACCACTGAACTGAAACTTTGTAGTCAGGGTAATTTTTAGTTTGTACTTCAAATGTTGCCCTTTTTCTAATTGTATTATTAGTGACCATAGGATGATATATCTAGCAGTTAAGACCTTTCATTCATGGTAGGTAAGGAGACATCTGTATCTGAACAATATTTATAGAATGTTCAAATTTGGAGCAATTTTCTAATGAACATCTACTTGAAAAAGCAATTTAGCTGTCTGATATACCAAATGGTTTAATGGCAATCATAAACTTATTTAATGGCAATTTTATTCTACAGTAGGAAAAAGCACTATTTATACTTTATAATTACCATGTGAGTACTCACAATTCACCACTCACCATTTCATGTCTAATATATGTGGTCAGATAACCTTGAGCAATAAGATTCTTTCAAGTACACTATCACCTTTTTTCTATTTTTACGATGTTGAACTTCAGTGATGACATTTGAGGTAATATATCTGAAGCTCCATTCGATCTAAAGATACAGACAGGTGGTATTTATAGCTAACTGACCTTGAAACTACCCTGAGGTACTGAGTCTAATTTCAATACCTTTCCTCTGACTAAGAGAGACAATTTTACAGTTCTGATGGTGATAAGATTCTAACGACCACTAAATGAGCTCTCAGGGTATTTTTTGTAAGTTCGAAAGGGAAATAAATGGCAGGTATTTCCAATGACTGTACAGTAAAACCTGTCTAAGTGGAACAGCTTTGGTACATCTAAGTGTTCCACTTAGGAGGCCTTCCACTTATAGAGGTTCATTCAACATTAAGTTAGTTGGTCTTGGGAATCTGAAAGTAGCCCACTGTAACAAAGGCTTGTTCAAATCACTACAGCTTATTCAAAATATGCTGATGCAGAGTTTTTGTAAGAATATAAGATAAAACACTTGAAAAGGGTACCTTCAAATGAGTCTTAGAATCAGTAAGATTCAGTCTTTGGTTATTCAACATAGATCTTACTTACTGATCTGCATGAGCTTTGCAACTAGGAAGCACTATACTGGCGGATCCAGCTCCCCCCCCCTTGGATGGGCCTAAAAATTTTGTTGGGCCTCAAAAATGGGGCCAAATTATCAAAAAAAATGGGCCTAAAATTTTCAATATTTGGGCCCAATTTTTGGTTTTAGGGGCCCAAACTTTTTTGTTGAACTAAAAATCTGCCTCCCCTTGTTAGCTCCTGGATCCGCCAGTCCACTACAATTGCCCTTATGATGTTGTCTGAAAGAGCACAACCTTGAACTTTTTTTCAACTGGTTCTAGATATTCACCTATATGGGAAATCAATAAATTCAGCCAGATAGCCAGTGACTGGACAGAATTGCTTTTGCAACGATAATCTTGTTTAATGGTTTCATAAGCATTCACTGATAAATAACCTTGAAATAAGATCTCAAAAGAAGTTTCACATAACACATACCTTACCTTCATGCATTGTTTCAAATATATTTGGTGCACCCCCCCCCCCTTCACCACCCCTCTTCAAAGAGTTCAAAGACATAATTGCATCACTAACATACCCATCTACTAGTATATGAGCTATGAAATCAATTAAATTTCATAAACTGTAGTCAATGGCTAGTTAGTATGAAAAAATCCCCTAGAAAGAACTAATATATATTTGAATCCAGTGTACTATATACTGGTGGTTCAAATTCATATATTTAATGTTAAAAATGGTGACCTTTAAATGACCAGATGCTATTTATGAAAACTCATTGTGACGCAAAAAACTTCCTCTATTTTAAATGTACATATTTTTACTCCTATTTAGAAGGAAAATTAACTTTAATATAGAGAAAATATATCACAAGACTGTATATCAGTCTATATTAGGGGAGGCATCAAAAGTTCGATGTCAGATCGGAAACTAAATAAATCTAGTTTTGACTCTGACTCCCCCCCCAAAAAAGAATACCATGAAAGTTGATCGCTGACTTCCGGTTTGAGAATTTGAAAAATTATAGAATAGAATCCATTGGTATGATCTTGACGGAGAAAGCATCAGGTAAAATCTTTATTTTCAAACCATTCCAAGGCATTCTGAGTCGAAATTGGCAAAAATTTGAAAAGTTGAAATTTGTCAGATAGCAAACTGAAATGGGTTTGCACCTCCTCCCCCCCCCCCCCCGCCCTAACTAGATTTATTTAGTTTTCTATCCGACATCGAACTTTTGATGCCTCCCCTTACTAACTAAATTGGTCAATTATAAATAAAAATAAATCTTGAGAATTTCATCATATATGAACTATACTATATTTATAAAGAGAAGACAATAAATTACTTGAGTTGACCTTGACCTTTTACCCTATTCACTTGTTTAATTTTACTTTATTTAAAAGAAGCTGCATCATTCAATGAATTCTACAAGGAACCAGGGTATACTATGATGGGGACAACCATTTAATACTTGAGCAAGTTATTGGCTAGAGACTTACTGTAAATAATTTGAGATGACCTTTGTGCTTTGATAGTAAATGGTTTGTACCTAATGTTTTGATATTTTAAAGTTTAAAGTACTTTGGTATTTTAAAGTTTTAAAGTACTTTTAAATATTAGATTTAATTTATTTAAACTTTAATTATCAATCTCAATTTTTAGTAATTCGGTGTTGTCAAAATGCTGGCAGATGTGGAGAAGTAAAGTAAATTTTATTTTTAGTTTTATCCCCATCCCTCCACATAAAGAGATTTTTAAATGTTAAATTGAACTTTTCAAAAGTTCACAAATGAAATAATCAAATATTCACCAACCTCGTTATCTAATATTTACTTTAAAAAAATATGATTATTATTATTATACATCTCCAATTGTTTTATTTTATTCTGTAAGTGTGCAACTAGTTTATTTGGACCTGAAGAATAAATATGTTTATGAGAAAAAATTCTTCCAAAATTTTATTGATACCTAGTCTAACCCTTGTATATATTCAACCTATTTTTTAGGGACCCCCCTCATTTATTCTTATCCATGATGTAACCAACCATACAATTTTAAATTTTGAATACATTGATCAACAGATATGACCATGGGCTTTCAACTAGACAACCACGGTCAGTATAAAACACATTTGAAACATGCCAATAAAATCATATAGATCTACCAGTAGGGCAAAGGCTATCATGCTAAGAGTTGAGATCTATAAAAAATAACCGGTTCTTTTAACTTCTTACCATCGGGAAAACGAAGCCTTCATTGTAATCAGTGTGTTCTCCAATCAGGTTGACTCTACCCGGTGCACATGCTGCTACGTTTGGTTCTTCATTAAATCTCGATTTAAAAGCTGTCTTTGCCGTAAAAAGCAATTTATTAAGAGATTCTGTCGTTGTGATATTTGCCATGTTGGTCATGAATGGAAAGTAAATAGTGCGCGAGCAATGAGCGTACTATTTATACCTGCTTGCGCATGCGCAAAATTGGTTCAGTTTTATGAATGAAACTACAGTAGAACCTCTCTAAGGTGAACGCACATTTGGAAACAAAATGGAATTATAATGCCACCATGTTTTAGGGGTGTTTATCTTTATATTGGAACAGGGAGGTAGACAACATTTTTATATCGCCCGGCGCGGCAAACACTGGCGGGTCCAGGGAGCCCATGCCCCCCCCCCCCCGACCCCCCCCCCCCCCCCTGGGTTGGCCCCAGTAGTGCCTTTTTGGGCCTTTGTTGGACGAATTATTAAAAATGGGCCTTAAATTTTCAAAATTTGGGCCCAATTTCTGAATTTAGCTTATATAGGCCGCAAAAAGTATTTCCTGATTTGAAACTGTGCCCCCCTCCCCCATGCTTCTGGATCCGGCAGTGGCCCATAATTCCAGAAGCACTCGTTGCCATAAGTCGCGCCCTCAAAACCCGGGTTTGCCGTCATCCAAACCCGCCTTTGCAAAAAAACGAACGGTGCATTATTTGACTCGTTCGTGTTATTTTCGAGAGTTTTCAAACCAGAATTTTCATTGCTTTCATTAGAAGGGTTCCTCGTAATTAACTCTTAACTATGGATATGTTGACTTAAATGCAACTGACTTTTAAAGAGATGTTTTGCGCATAGGGTTATGAATGAAGTAACTAGTATGATGAACAAGCTCACTGGCGGATCTGGGGGGGGGGGAGACAGCCCCCCCCCCCTCCTTGGGTGGGCCCAGAAAAAATTAAGCCCCAAAAAGCCCAAAACGAGTGGGCCTTTTTGGGCATTACTGGGCCTTTTTTACTGTTTTGTCAGCCTTGAAATTTGCACCCCCCCCCTCCCCCTTTGTTGGTTTCTGGATCTGCCCCTGAAGGCAGTGGCCCTGAAGGCAAGGGGGGATTTTAGTCTGTAAAAAAATTTCTTAAGGCCTTCCCAAAAAATTTGGGTCCAAAAAGTTAAAAAAATCTGGGGGGGGCAGGTCCTAGTGTTTTTTTTAGTGCAATTAGTAAATACATTGCCAGGTTTGTGAAATGGATTAATTTTAGCAAAATGAAGTATATCTGTTGGCACAATCAAGCACAATTGTCACAATCAATCTCTATCTAAAATCACTATATCATGTCATGCCATATCATGATCAAATCCCTTCAAGAGATCTTTTTATTGGGTCTAGTAATGCAAATGAGGAGTTGTACATTTAAAATTGAATCATGTTTAATCATGTTAATGGGAATGAATTGAAGAGATGAAGAGAACATTAACAAGTAAATACAATATCAAGTCATTTGGGAGTTGAACCCAAACCAAAGAATATTACTTCCTTGGTGAAGCCCACACAACTTTGAACAATATTGTATAAACACATTTATGTTCATTTTTGACAAACTTGCCCTCTGCTTTTACAAGGACTTGGGACCTTCTAGCTAGGCTAGGTAGCATTACAAGTTTGTCGGTCTTCACTCTTCACTAAACTTGGACACTCTATTGCTTAGTGGCTTTGCCGTCCATCTTGTTCTTCTCCACTCTTTTCCTATAGGATTTTGTACTCCTGGGTATCGCGACTTTAGGAACAAAGGCCAGATTAACCAGGACACAGCTAGTCCCTGGAGTAGGAGCAATCATAACATACCTTGGAGCAGGAGCTGGAGGAGCACTTGCACTGGAGGTGAATGAAATCAAGTTGGAAGTTGGTTGAGGTTGAAAGGCAAGAGTATCAGGAAGAATCCTCCTGTTCACTCGTGACATTCCTTCACCAGCTGTGTTCTTGGGAAGATCGAACATGTGGGGATCATCCACGTTGGCTGAGGGCAATGCTGCCACCTTCTTGTCCTACAGGAAGGGATCTGCTGATGAAGCACTTGCACTTGACAGGGGTATCCTATCCTAGAGTGTTTCAGCAGTTTCAACTAATTTTTCAAATCAAGATGGAGTTTTGCCTAGTTGGTCTCCTGGTAAGGAGACAATTTTTGTGCTTGCTTTCCTCCACAAGGAGATCAACTGGGCAAAACTCCATCTTGATCTGAAAAAACGTTAACAAGACACACAGTGATAAATATCGCACTTTGAAGAGCAAACTGGCCACCATGCAATTTACCCAGCATGGCCAAAACCTAATCAGACCTTGGCACTAGTCTGCTCTTGCATCTGTAAACATTTCAAGTTGACAAGGTTAGCGGTTTTCCTGCAATTTTGATGACAAGAATTTATTTGTAGTCTTGAACTTTGGGAAAATTTAGATAACATTGTTTGTGACCTAATTTGATGACCTTCGACCTTGAAAATTTCCTAAATTTAAATCCAAAATATCAATTTAGAAAATCAACTTTTTTGACCTTTTCAAGGTCACTGAAGGTGAATGAAAGGTCAAATCTGTTACCTAGTTTAATGACCTTCACCTTCGACCTTGAAAATTTCACTTTTTCAGACCTCAGTAGGTGTTTTGTAATTAAGCTGACCTAAATTTAAATCCAAAATATCAATTTAGAAAATCAACTTTTTTGACCTTTTCAAGGTCACTGAAGGTGAATGAAAGGTCAAATCTGAAATCTAAGGTCAGATTTGAACTTCTGAAAACTTGTAGGTGTTTTTTAAAAAAAAAATTGGTCAATTTGGAGCAAGTTGAAAAATTAAAAATGGCCGCCAAATTGAAAAATTCAAAATGGCCACCATGTGATTCAGCCAGCATACCCAAAACCTAATCAGATCTTGGCAATAACCTGCTCTTGCATCTGTAAAAATTTCAAGTTGAACGGATAAGTGGTTTTCCTGGAATTTTGATGACAAGATTTGTTGAAAAATTCAAAATGGCCGCCACATAGTTTACCCAGCATGCCCTTAACCTAATCAGATCTTGGTACTAGTCTGGTCTTGCATCTGTAAAAATTTCAAGTTGAACAGGTAAGCAGTTATCCTGGAAATTTGATGACAAGATTTGGTTTATGTGCCGCCCGCCCGCCCAACAGCACAAGACGACGACAATATAGCACTTTTTCAAAGTGCGATAAAAAAGGGAAACACTCTAGGGTATCCCCTGTTCTGTCCTATGTCATTCCTTTCATGTCTATTTTCTAAAAATCCACAAAGTGTACACTTTATTTCAGGAAAACTAAAGATATTTAAAATAATCTATTATTTGGGAGAATTTAAACATTTTTCACTCGTTTTTGCATTTTGAATCTGTCCTATGCCATTCCTTTCATGTCTATTTTCTAAAAATCCACAAAGTGTACACTTTATTTCAGGAAAACTAAAGATATTTAAAATAATCTATTATTTGGGAGAATTTAAACATTTTTCACTCATTTTTGCATTTTGAATCCATTTTAACTTCACCAATTTATAACATATCGTGAATCTTCTGGGAATATCGTATTTGGAATTGTAAGGAATAGATTGGTAGGTCAACTGTACATGTTGCTAGTAATTTTTTCATCCCTATAGATCTGATTCTGCCTTTAAGTACAGCAACACTCTCCTTCCTTTTCTTATCATCAATCCTGAAAAATAGTGTAATGTAACATTAGACTGAATGAATATTTTAATATATCGGTTGATAAAAAAAAATCTAATTTGCTACAATATCACAATTTACTCTAGATTGTGGCTACAGAGTTGCGGTATCATTTTTCAACATGTTCAATGAACAATAATTCATTATTTTTTCTTTAAAATTAATGTTTTTCAATGCGAAAGACTGTAATTGGTTTAAATGAATGATGTACTTCCATAAAGTCAATGTGGCATTGTTGATGTGAAACAGCTGAATCTGTGTTCTGCTCATAACATCTGCATCTTTCACTACCTTTCTTCTAATCTCATTGTAGGATTTTACAATGAGGTTCAACCTCATCTCCTTCACACCAGCCACCTGGGTGGATCCAGGGTGAATTTCCAAGAGGGGTCTCATCACAGTCTCCATATATCTGTTGTGGTCTGGTGATCTGGCTACAACACCTTGGGTCAAGAATGCCCTGAAAAAGAACAAGTGATGAGTTTAAGGATGGCATTTAACTTTAACTAAGAATGCAAAAATCTACGATGTATAAAACACACCCTTGGTATACGCAGCTAACGAAAATTGACCGGTACGGGTCAAAAGCTGGACTGGTACGGGTTAACAGTTTTATTTGAATTTAAAACAGCCATAACTTGTCAATATTGACTTCCTCGTGTCTAATTTGAAATATATGATGCCTCCCGATGCTTTAAGTACCCCAATTTTTTACAGATTTTTAAACGGACCAAAACTCTCTAAATGCGCATTTATGCTCTTTTCTCTCGAGAACGACTGTCTCATTTTCACGATAACTTTTATTTAGTACTTCTGACATATAAGATCTATTTTTCCCCATCAAGGTATGATGTAAATGACATGCTTTTTACATCTTGTGAGTTTCAATGACGCGCGTTTAATTTTATAAAAAATGCCAAACTTTGTGACAAAGAATTTCATCACCTATTGCCCCGAACCGGTCCGTCTTCTCGCTGCAAGCAGATTGCCCCGAACCGGTCCGTCTTCTCGCTGCAAGCAGGATGAAATTCTTTGTCACAAAGTTTGGCATTTTTTATAAAATCAAACGCGCGTGATTGAAACTCACAAGATGTAAATAGCATGTCATTTACATCATACCTTGGTGGGGAAAAATAGATCTTATATGTTAGAAGTACTAAATAAAAGTTATCGTGAAAATGAGACAGTCGTTCTCGAGAGAAAAGAGCATAAATGCGCATTTAGAGAGTTTTGGTCCGTTTAAAAATCTGTAAAAAATTGGGGTACTTAAAAGCATCGGGAGGCATCATATATTTCAAATTAGACACGAGGAAGTCAATATTGAGCAAGTTATGGCTATTTTAAATTCAAATAAAACCGTTAACCCGTACCGGTCCAGCTTTTGACCCGTACCGGTCAATTTTCGTAAGCTGCATATACCAAGGGTGAAACATAAAATTTAATTTCTCTGCTATATATATTATAAGACCCATCAAAGCAGTATTCACATATGCTAATATTTAAAAAATTCTCTGAGACAGTCTGCATTGTCAGACACTACAAAATTATTTATCAAATAGATAAAGGCCCCATGTCAAGTTTGGATATATAGTTTTAATCATTTAAATATTACTTTTAATGACTTAAAAAACTATTTAGATAGGTTGCTCACTTTGTAATTTTCAAATATTTGAATTTTAAATGGGGCCTTTAATTTCTTCAGAATATTCCAAATAAGAAACTCACCTGGTATGATTGTGAAAAGACCCAAGCGATGTTGAGCCCCGGGGACATCTGTAGATGGGAAGTGTTACCCTACCTTTCACTAATGTCCCAACCTCCATGTACAGAGGAACAGGTTCTCAGATCTAGGTCCAGAAGTTGTGCTCGATAGTATTGCGTCCATCTCTACCTTTAAAGGTATTGAATGCTTAAAATAATTATCCAACCTTGGGGGACTTTGGGATTTGGGAAACGATTGAAGGACCACATCTCCTGTTGCTTGCAGCAGCTCTGTATCTGTCACATCATCTGTGAAAAGATCCTCTTGCTGCCCTTTCTTCACTCCACTGTAAATAAAATAGGTCCATTTCAAAAGATTAATGTGAAAAATATGTATTATGATGAGTATAACATACAATGCATTTGCCAGTTTGATCACTTGTGTGCAACAAAGGGTTAGGCTGACCTGAGTGGAAAACTCTGGAGAAGCCCCTAGGATCATTAAGTGCATTCATTAATAAAATCATTATATCGGACTCAAGATATTATTTGATTTTTAAGATATGTTGACAGGCAAGAGGCAATTTTCACCTGTTGTTTTCACAAAATCGCCTGTTGTTTTCAGGGATTTTTCAACTTTTCCATGTTAAATTTATGATTTCCATAAATTTTTCCTGTTTTCTTTTATTTAGCCTGTTGTGAGAAATTCTAGTGAAACCCCTGTGTTTATGTAATACTATAGAGTTCACATTAGCTTCGTCAGGTTTCAAAATAATTTTATAACATGTTTGTACATACTAGGAAACATACTGTAACAATTATTTTTATACCTCAATCAAACATTTAAACACTAATATATTCACTGTAACAGTGAATATCTTTCAGTGTTTGAATGTTTGATTTCTAAATTTTGTTATACATACGTACATGCTAGAAATAAAGTTAGAGATCCTACATATTGTGGAATGCGCAATATGGATCTATATACTTAATCAGCTTCTGGGGTCTTTTCTTGGAACCCTTTAACTTCTTCATCTCTATGGCCTCTTTGCCCTCCAGAAATGCCATAAGGTACTTGACCAGGGTTGCCTTGTTCTGGCTCAGGGATGCAGGAGTTGCACACTCTCTGTCGACAGATTCTACAATGTATGCAGCATACCCAAAGAATTCTTTACAAGCCACTTGAAGGTCTGGCCTCTGAAGGCAGCAAACTGTAACATGAAGTGGGGGAGCCAATCCCACTCTTCCTTCGCACCAGGTCCAGTTTTCTTTGCTTGTGCCAGCACCTCAGCTAGGGCCATGGGCCTCCCAACAGGCTTCCTCGCCTTATTGACTTGGGCAGCTTTTGCAGCTTTCTTGCTCAGACACAGCTTTCCACTTGATAGTCTCACGAAGAGGCTAGACATATTCTGAAACATACCCCCAGGTTATTCTTATTATTTGAGGGCTCTTAGTTCTACATTTCAAAAGTCTGAGAAAAATAAACATCAAAACTACGACTCGAAACCCGCATATATATTTTTTGAAAAAATGAAAGAATGTTTCCTGCTACAATGAAGCTGTCTATACCCTCTCAGTTCGTCATAAATCGCCGATGAGTTTTCAAACTCAAAGTACCAGTAGGTCAAAAAAAATCCGTTTTTTGAAATATTTCAAAATTCGATCGATCATTTCGTAGAGAAATACTTCGATTTTAGAGTGGAAACTTACCAATTCTCGTCTCTGGGTAGATATTCTTCAAAATATATCATGTTTTTGCTATGAAAAGCAGTTATCACGGAGTAAATCCAACTCAAAGTACGCATTTTCTTCATTTCAAACTAGTTGAAAACAAAGATGGCTGAACTATGAAGTGACAAGTTAGAGTAGAAGGGGTCTTTTGACTTTTGGTATTTTAGGCCACTGATAAAAATAACTGATTTTCATGTGTTTAACATTTACTAAGTACAAAATACCAGGTAGATCATTCTAATTAAGCACATTTTTCTATTTCTTAGCCTCATTTAACACTTATTTCGTTTGGAATGCCCTTAAACCCTGCTGAACCCTGGTCTGAGAAACAAAGATCTAAATAAGGCCAAAGAGCACCCGGGTTCACTGTTAAACCTCCTGCTCACTGTAGTATGAATCATGAATGTACTTTCACACAGGGTTTAACAGAAAGAAACAGTGAACCCTGGTCTAACGAATCCGTGTTTCCAGGGTTCGCCTAGCATGCCTTCGAGTCTTTCTCCATAATTCAGTCACTTTTGACATCGACTTGATACACACACACACACACATACAAAATGGACTTAAAGCCTACCGACGTGTAGCTTACGGAGGCACGGGGAGCTTTCGCCGGTAAGTGAGAACTAAATATTAAAAAACGGATCTCACGGACACAATCCCATTAATCACAAGCGGGAATTAACACGAAATACTTATTTTGGGAAATAACTCAATTTCAGTAAAAATGCAACGTCGTCTTGTAATTACCTATAGTAGGTTGTAGGTACAGTAGGTCATAACTCATAAAGATGGTAAGTTGAGATTTCTTCCTTTTCTTTGCACCATTCGAAAAACTCAATTTTGTAAGTGTTCAGGATTTGTACCACACGTTCCAGGCGTTTATTGCAAATAAATGCACTATGCGCATCTAAACCATTACTTTTAAAATACGTGTTTTAAAAAACGTTGATCCACATGACAAAGAATGATACTGGATATAACTGCTAATTGTTAAATAAGAAATGAAGTTGAGATAACAATAAAAGATCATAACTAATGCAACACAAAACAACGGAGAAACATGGGCAAACATGATATAGGGAATAAGAATTGCCATGTCACAATGCAGCATGCCAAACCATTCCTTTTAATTGAGCTATTCCGAGCCCGGAGACCGTGATCCAAGGCAAGCAATTGTCGCTTAGATTGGCCAAACACTGGACACAGTGGTGTTATATGCCACATTGTTGAGGTACCATATGGCTAACAATCAGTAAAACAAATCATGAAATGACAAGCAGAATAAATTCCAGATAATAGAAGAATAAGAAAAAGAACAAATATATTCTCAAGCTGATCACAATACTGTATAATACTGTACAAGCAGCAACCTATACGTCCGTCCGTCCCAAACGTTTAACCCACCTACGCGCAGTCTCAAGTCTGTGTACCCTGAAGAAAGATATTTAACATCACAATCAAATCAAGACAAAGAAAGAAGAAAACGAATGAAAACACTAATGCAGCAACAACAAACGACGTCCACCTCAAATACCGTTGGTATTTATCGTTAAGCTTACACATTTCTATACAGGCCTTATGGGATTCTGCTCGAGAGCAGACATATATTTTATTTATACTTTACATTTTATAATAAAATAGTTATATTAATAGTTGGTGTATTCTTTGCTAAGAAAAGTAAATGTCCTGTGTTTTGCAGTTAATTGTCGACTATAATTACACATATTCCGCTTGTTTAACGATAATTTGCTTCCCGCTCACTACTACAATGGTGTCTGCGAATATTATTACGACAGGGCAGTGGCGGTTCCAGGGGGGGGGGGGTACGTGTACCCTTGGGCCCAGAAAACTTGTAAAAATTTTGGGATCTTTTTGGGCAAAAATTGGCTTTTTTGGGGCTTACATTTTCAAAATTTGAGCCTAATTTTTTTCCGCGCAAGCGCCGAAATTTTTTTTCCTAAACTGAAATCCACATTGTTCGATTCTGTATCCGCCAGTGCAGGGATTCTCTTTACTCCTGTACTCATGATGTCTTGATGGGAGACTATCGTTTACTTGTTTGTAGCCTGTTGGTTTAGATATTTGTCATATTCGTGTGTTTGGACTCATGGTATCTTCATACGATGGCGGTAGGGGTAACCCGACAGTTGGGTAACAATTCCAGAACGACCTGTTGTATTGTCATTTCCTGGAATTGGACTCGATATATTGGACTGGATGTTTAATGGATAAAATTGCTGAGGTTGCACAACAGAATCATATGAGGGAGGAAGTACTATTGGATTGGAACTACCACCTGTAGGCCTATAACTATTGAATGGTAGCTCACTTGGTTGAGTGATTTGTATGCCAACTGTCTGTGTTTGTGGTGTCAAAGATGGCGTTACATAAACGTCAAATGCAGTAGTAGTGAATGTTATATCATTTGTATTGTTGTTTACTACATTACGGTCAGTAGTAGTGTTTCCAGGAACACGTTTCTGTAATCTTTTCCACCATAATATTCCAAATAACATAGAAAGTATACTAATGACAAGTAAAATTTGCCCTACAGTACATAGTGCTGTAACTGGATAACCACGATAATCGTCCCCACATCCTACACCCGTAAGTCCTCCTCCTATTATCATGAAAGGTACAGCAAACAAGATAATACATGTGCCCGTGCTTCGTTTTTCCCCTGACCCACCACTGAGTCCCATGCTTGTTTGTCTTCCAATCCTGCGTCTCCTAGTCCTCCTTTGATAATACTGGTGTAATGATCGCCATATTTGTCTCTCTCTTGCAGCCCTTGCTCTCCGTCTCCCTCGCCCACCTCTTTGTCTCCTCTCCCCAGTACCCATGGCGATAATAACAGTGAACAATACGACTAATTAAAACAGGAGCCCGTTTCTATTCGAGAACATCTTCAAAATTACGATTTGTGGATTTCTAAGATTTTTCCGTTTCTCGAAACACGATTTTATCGTGGAGGGGGACGATTTTGACGACACATCTAGGGATACTCGTCAACCATCCACGATTGATTTCCTGTGATCAGATAAGGCATTCATATTTCTGCAAGATCGTTTAATGTCGAATTACTGAATTGCAAGGTTTAACAGAAGGATGTTTTTCAATGCGCAATCCCGCCAGTTTTACGGTGGGTGATATTTGGTCTGAGTTGAGTACCGTATATTGGTGAATGCACCCTTTCCGTCACACGTATATCCGTAGCTTACCCTACTTCCCTTGTAGGTAAACACCATGTCATATTTGTGTCCCTATACATCTCACTGATATACTTTGATGATGTTATCTATACTCCCCCGGATCCATGATATCCCATGCTCTTAAAGAGGCATATCTAATGCTCAATGATCACGTTTTCAATTATTGTATGATTTGATGAAATGAGTTGCACATATATACACAATTGTTAAGTTGCCGAGTTGACGTATTCACTGTCACTTTGTGTATACAGTAAAACCTGTCTAATCTGAATTGGGGTCGGTTTAAAGCGTTCAGATTAAGAGGTGTTCACATTTCGAGGTTTTTGCATTCGCGAGATACCGGATTCTGAAGAAATGTAAACACATTCTCGGTACATATTTATAGTTCATTTGACCACATTGCTTTACGGCATTTCAGATATTTGAAAATTCGATTCAAATGATGCTGGAAAGTCTTATTATAATCAACAACATTCTTGAAGTTTTTCCAAAATTTTGATATCATGACAATATTTGAGCAATTTTGTATGACACATGTGAAATTTCATGAAAAGTGTTCAGATTAGACAGGTTAATTTTTCAAATATGTTCGGCTGTTCACTGCATGTTCACATTTCAATTTTTTTAACATGGGAGTCAATGGGAGGAAAAATGGGAACGAAAAAAGTTCAGATTGGGAGGTGTTCGGATTAGCCAGGTGTTCAGATATACAGATTCTACTGTAAATGTATAAAGCCAGGATTATCGTCAATAGGTCATCTTATTATAATTCTATAACATGTTGAATAACCAGGGCTTTATTTTGATGTAGTTATCGGTGTTTTGAAATATGGTGAATGACAGCATGTTTTTGGCAGTAACAATAATACATTGCAGTTTAATATCAGGAGTAACCCTACTTTTTATTAAGGTAACTCAGTTGGGGAGTACAATCCAACATCCACCTGTATATATCACTGGCCAGTATCAAGCGAAGGTTACGGCCGTCACCTTCGCATTTAAGATGGCGGACGGGACACACGCACCGCACCGACGGGAATTAGTGTCGATTTCGAAATTTTTAGTTTTCATCGAATTAAACTACTATAACTACTACTACTAAACTATAGTTGACGTAATGCTTTAATAATTATATGATATGGAAAGTTGGAAACTCTGAAGTATGATATATTTTTTCATATATCGTGCGTGTGAACCACGATTCAACGATATCTTCCACTGCCTAAAGGAAGGCAACTGGAATTGTATGATACGGTAACGGTCATGAAACCAAAATCCCAGTAACCTTCTCTTAAGCGGTGGAAGATATCGGTGAATTGTGGTACCTGGTATATGAACAATTGATCATATTCATGTCATATAAGCCTGGTTTAGTTCAAATATCAAAACATTTGTCAACGATAAAGTAGTTTAATTCGATGAAAACTAAAAATATCGAAATCGGCACTTCCCGTCCGCCATCTTAAATGCGAAGGTGTCGGCCATAACTTCGCTTGATACTGACAGGTGTTATGTTAAAACTTCTGCCAATATATTAAATCACTTGATAACTGCTTCGATAGTTCTTTACATTTGGCTGTTTTTTTTTTATTCTAGTCACACTTCTACAACTGCGGTGTTCATCAATCAATTAAAACAAACATTGACCTAGTTTATATATCTGATAAAAAACATTAATAATCTGTTTTAGACTAAATTACATTACTGTAATCTATGTACAAGTAAAGGATGGAAGCACTGGTCAGTCCTGAGGACCATATTGACACACACTAAAAAAGGTACCATGATCTTAAGATGAAAATCCGTATCAAGAAAGACTTCTGGGTAAATACACTTTTGGCGTTACCAGTCAGACATTTTCCACATTCATTTTTTGACTTGGACATAATTTAGGCCTTTGAATTTAAGGTAAGAGAACAAAATACTCGGAAATCCAAGATAACATTGGTTGGCTGTCGTCGGCAGTTGTTTAACTTTCCTTTGCAGTATTTTTTTTCTAGAAGTGAATATTTGGGTTTCGAGTTTTAACACAGTACAATTTTATTTTGTATTTTACATTTTCAAAAGTGTGTTGCCAAATGATCATTCAGATCATATAAACACTTATTCAGTTATCAAAACAACATGGCGCAAATGGTAGTGACTGCTTGCAGAATTTCTCTATTTTTGCACTGATTAGTTGCAAATACGAATACAGTCCATAGGAATAAGGACGATCTCCAGTCAGAATGATAGTGGTGATGGTATTCATTAATATTTTATTTACTAGAAACTTTTAACTACCTATTCCAAAATTATAATTATCACTTTACTATTTGAATTTTAGCTCTGTCAAAAATTTCAATCCCTTTTTGGCGTGCTTGAATTGTCTCTATGGTCTACTGGTTGCCTTGGTAACCATGTTTCCATGGCAGGTTGTACAAACATTACGGTAGTAATGCAAACAGCAGTACTAAACACAAAAACTAAGACAACCATAATGGCAATCACATGGAACGTCCAGTCTTCCTTTTGCACATGTACAGACAACCAAATCATCATTAAATATATCAAGAATGCAAAACAAAGATTTACATAATGTTTTAAAGTTGATTTTGGGTTGTCTGCCAGTTTTCTTTGTGAATGACTCCCATATGGCTGCAGTTTCATCAGAGTTCGTAGAATCAGCCATGTTAGAGGCACGAACATATAATAGGTGGCAGCAATGCGCGTTACTTCCGGCATGCGCACCCACACCTGTCCCTTTTCATTTGGAATCCAGCTGTATGAGTAGATGATGAGCGTAAGAACACTTAGGAATGGTACAAGTCTCAACAACAATGGGAGACGCCTCAGAGCTCCTATTGTGAAAATCTGCAACATAATCAGAGATACGTACATGTATTTGTAGGAATTGTGTAGCAATCAAAGAGCATATTTTAATATTCAATATGAACGCTATTCTAGATCCGGGATTCTAGAATGTCGATTCAATTAACGATGGCTCAGGAGCAGCAAAATGTACAGACAAACGCCCATCAACATCAACACGAGACAAAGACAATTCAGCACTTTGATCATTAGTTCGAATCAATCTCTGAATCTGTAAACCTAACCTTTTAGGTCAAAAACATAAAATACAATTGACACATTTTTGGCTCTGTAGCACAATTTTAATTTTTGTGATAAGACCGGTTTTCCTATGGCCAGGCTCAATTATTGAACAAACTTCAATTAAATCTTTGGGTCCGGCGTCGACGTGCGAGAGAGCTAATCAGTTCATGAGTTAAAAAATTGAAGTTTGCCCAGGTAAAATCATTTTATCAGTGTCTTGACAATGCCCTTTGTAGTGCTATGGTCGTCAAGATAAAACAAAACTGTTACATCGGTAAGGAAGGTAAAACGTACTTGTGTGACAGTAATCATTATGAGGAAACCAAAGGCAAACATTGGCCACATGGTTGTGCCGAGCAGAGCTGGTCCCCCTGTTTGAATTGCTACTTGGTAGCCATGGACCGCAACCCAAGCCTCCAAGAATAGCCTCCAATACTTGTTTGTATGCATATGGGTGTACATAAGACTTCCTACAAATATGGAATAAGGTGTTGATACAATGATTATCGTTGGGATATCAACCTCTGAACCACATGCTGAACGGATGCAAGGTTCCAGACACCGCCAACTCTGTTCCTTGTTGAGAAGATGATGAGTCCTGCATTTGGTGAATGTAAGAAAGGAACGGAGTGGGTGATGTCTGCACGCGTGCGTTCAAAGGATAGCTAAATATAGACTAGACAGTAAGTGAATACAGACAGTGGTCAAAAATGTGTACAAGGTATAGTTCTTTAATTACGATGACCGATAGGATGGGTGAAAGGAAGAAGTCATATCGGATGACCAGTCGTGGCCAAACCTACCTTGTAAAAGAATTATCCAAGTGTAAAATATTCCAGTTACATGACCGAGGGTGTTTTCCATCGGATGATACCAGAATGTGTAAGTAGAAGCCCATGCGAAGGGGTATGCGTGGTACTTTCTTATCAGGTCTATGGGCTTGTAGTCCAGTCTCAGGGTCTTGCTCAAGGTGCCAGTATCCCTTAGAGTGGGCCAGCCGAAGAATAACCCCCTTTCTTTGTATTCAATTACGAAGACAAATATCGCCATCATAATCACAGAAGCTGAATAATGGAACAGATGGGTCATGCATTCATTGGGCATTCGAAATAACATTGGTAATTTTTCAAAAGTTGATTTTTAATAGAGTTTATGATAATATAAATAACTTCAAGTTCTCGTTGCATTTAAATAAATTTTCACACAATGTTTTCATAGTAAAAGAAAAATGACATGTCTGATATTGCTTCACAACTCCCCCATTAAAAAATTGTCCTCGTACTCGAAACTGCCACTTACATTGAGAACTTGCGACGGATACATCTTGCGCAGTTGCATCATACGTCACGTGGGTCTGTAGTAGGTGCAAGATGTGGAACAGTACATTGATGGTTACTGCTTTCTTGTTGAAGTTCATCACATTACTGCTATATTTAGTCATGCCTGGGTCCATACTCTAATTATTAAGAAATGCATATTTACCCTTCTTTAAATATAGTTTGACTATGCATCTCCAATACAGAGTAGTTTGTCCACAATCTTAATGTCGGGTTTTGGGCCCATGTTTATGAATGAAGCATGGCGTAGAATAATGGAAATAGCATCATGAATCCTGAGACAATGAATCTCGGATCCAAGTTCGTCATTAATTAATGGTCGAAAATCAAAAATTGACAAATTTATAACCTAAAAGGCCGAAAGATTATGCGGCAAATATTGAAACAGGAGTTGTCAGCATATTGTGTTAGCTTTGATCTCTTAGAATCCGTTGAATCCTAAGCGATCGGAGTTGTTTAGATCACTTAACGAATGATATGAAATGAGGATTTGAATTTTTTCAAAGTTTATAATGGCGGCCAATGGGGGATTTTAGCAAAACATCCCGAAAATTAAATCATTAAAAGGCCGAAAGATCTATGGATGAATTTTGCTTATTTATATATCAAAACGAACACTTCGTTGGGTGTAACAAAGATCCGTCGAATCCTAAAAAAAAAATGATTTGCTAAAAAGTTATTAAAATTTTAAATTTTGATGAAGACTGCTCTCCATTGAAATCTTTGGACCATGAAATGTCGATTTACGCGCATGCGTTGTGACGTTATTTCCATTATTCTGACGCCATCTTTTTGAGAGGCGAAATCAAATGAATTGAGACAAAGGGTAGTATTGGATAGGTCATTGTATATGATCGTATAAAAGACCAAGAAGTATTAATTACGGAGATTAAGCTTATGGTAGTTTATGAATAAATACGCAATGCCAAAGAATAAATAAAGGGTACCATAAATATAAGGTAAATTGGGTTGTACCTTGGAGAGTTGAGCCTGGTAAATCACCCACCAAATAAGTATTTGATGGCCAGCATAACACAACCAGACAGACAGCCTTGTCACCACAGTGGCCTGATCTGGTGGGAGTTTCCAATAATACCATCGTCCATCTGCATTGGCACCATGCCTGAAGACATGTAGCAATGATTTCAAGCATTTACCGTGTAACAATGAATTGAATGATTACTTGATCTCAGTTAGTCAGTTGCTGAAAAATATGGATTCTAATGTCGTGTATGTTTTCCTCCAAGAATTACTTATTAAATATTAGATAAATTCCGTACGGTATATGCCAAGATATATCAAGACATAAAGTCACAATGTGATGTCTTTTGATAATGGCTAAAATAACCTACCTTCCTTTGACCCCAGGCTCCTCTATGAATGGTTCTGGTAAAAACCTATCCTTTGATGTGGCACTTGTATTGTGTGTGAAGCCGGATGTTGCATCCCAATGTCGCAGATGACCTGTCATGGAATAGTATAATAAAATATGAATTTGTATACGTACATGATTCTATACGTAGACAGAGCAGATATAGTTCGCCAAGGGTGCTGGTCAGAAAGTAGTCTAGTTACAAGGTCATGTGACCCCCCTTCCACTACTCGACTACACAGGTATGAAAACTTCTCACACAGTGGCAGGCCTGTCAACTGTCCCGCAATTTGCGTATTTGTCACGCATTTGCTGAAGAATTTGAAGTCACGCCAGTTATTTTTGCGTGACAGAAAATGTCACGCAAATACGCATTTTACCTGGTAATTGTCAAGTCACTCATGTTAGGTGTTCCCAAGTTGACAGGCCTGCAGTGGGGAGATGTTGTTGTAGGGGGTAAAGGCTTGTAGTTACTAGACTAGTCCGAAAGATGGCAGTGAGATCGATTTGAGCTAATCTATGAGGTTTTCAAATTGGTAAGTGAGTATGAGCACAGATCCAGGAGCCCAGGAGTAACTTACTCCACCTCATTGTTACTCCCTGTAGAGCACATTTGCTTTAATCAAATAAAAGATATCATAATGCCTTAATGGAGATATAATCAGATATGAATGAATAACATGATGTACAGTATATAGCTTAACACAGTCACTTACTACCCTGCGTGCAGAGTCTAGTTAAACTACAACTGAAGACGAAGCTCTCTTTTAAGAAGTGAAGTCAAACGAATGCAAAGGGTAGTCACTTACCAGCTACATATATTGATGCATTGAATCCAAGGATAAAGATAATCCCAAATAACCAATACTGAACATCTTCCCGCTGAAAGACAGAAACCTGTTCTTTACTGTTCTCTCTGCTTTGCTTAACCATTCTTAGTATTTGCTTCCACGCTTATCATTCGATATTTGATCAGCAGTATTAATACGAAAGAATCGGCGTGCAAATATATCCCTTCCAAAGACTCATATGTTAACTTAGCAGTGCCTTCCAACTAGGCTCACCAGTCCTGCTTAATCACTGGTGATCCACTCGATTACGCTGGTTACCAAAACGAACCGTTTTGGTAACAAAATGTCGGAACGTCGAAGGCACGATTTTTCTTTTTTCCTTATTTCACGCGTTGTAGGCAGAATCCCCATGACGTTTTTTATCACAACGTGCATCAGTATCATATGTTTTAAAAAACTTTATGTTTGCGAAAAAATAACTCAGAGGACAACAGAATCGTCGATTTACTTCCTCACTTAAGTTACATAAACGGTTTTTCGAAAAACAGTTAAGATCTGCACTTTTAACCCGAACCGTTTATGTAACTTAAGTGAGGAAGTAAATCGACCATTCTGTTGTCGTCTGAACTATTTGTTCGCAAATATGTACACTCTCTTAAACATATGATACTGATACACGTTTGTGTTAAAAAATGTCGTGGGAATTCTACCTACAACGTGTAGAATAAGGAAACGAGAAAAATCGTACCTTCCGGATGCTCCGACATTTTGTTACCAAAACGAACCGTTTTGGTAACCAGCGTAATCGAGTGGATCACCAGTGTTAATCAAATGTCTCAAGGGTATTTACTAATATCAGATCAGTACTCGTAATACACTTGTTTTAACCTTCATTATGGTTGTATAACTTACATCTGTGATAAATTGCAATCAAAGTACTTGTTGTTTTAAACTTTACACCAGCTCAGTCCTGCTATATGCTATAGGCTGCTATAGGCATTGTGATTAGCACAGCATTCCTGGTCACCCCAAACCTCCTTTGTCTTGCACTTTCCAAATGGGTCCAACGCAAGTAGCACGCAGATACATGTTCGTTAAGAAGGGGTCATGTTAACCATGGTTAACAGGTTATTTATCTGATACTCGATATAAACATAACTATTGTGGCTGAATCTGAACTTTAATCACATCCGGAACCGGTTTGTTTGTAGTGAAACGTACACTACAGAGGAATGAGGCCCACGAATAAGATATAAAATATTTTAAGTGTTGGTAAGTGTACTGTAGTGTACTAAATGATTAACTACAGTACATGTATTTGCATAGCACCCAAGTACCCCTAGACATGAATTAAACTAAAACGATGGACAAATAATAGCTTCAATGTCAAAAATAGACACCTTGCCTTGTTTTCTCAAAACCTTGAAATGTGGCATTAAAAGTGCAATGAAAGGGAATCATTGAGAATAACAAGCCAAAATAGTTATTCACACTGCATATTATCATTATTGACACTTAAGGTGACTATTTACGTTGTATATAATGACATTATTACTACCACTTGTCATGTATGTGCATGCAATATTTGCAAACTAAATCACAGTATTGACACGTTTTGTCGGAATTATTTACATTGCTTATCATCGTGCAATTTGTGCAACTATGTACATTGTGTTACGCGGTAAACACGATACAAAAATATGTCATATTCCGCAACGAATATGGCATATTCACTTGCGGTGTATGACAGATTCACCTGCGGTATATGGCATACAAACTAACCAATGAGAACGTGATACGGAAGTACGCAATTGTCAATTGAATCGATTGAACGAAATAGTAAAACGTTATTAATTATTGTAATGATTACTGAATCAACAGTACTGTGTATCGAATATATCAACTTAGCAGAAGTATCAGTCACCAATCTCGCGTAATAAACTTACTCAATCAATCCAGGATTCACATATTAGTACTCGACGCACTAACTATAATGGTAATCCAGCGTAGTTTTACATTTAGAGTCGATTCTCGCAACCAATCAAATCAAGGCTTTCTGTATCACGTTTTCACCTGCGGTATATGTCATATTCACCTGCGGTATATGGCATATTCTGCAAGTGAGTATGACATATTCCGCAGGTGAGTATCGGGTATTCACTGAAATCAATGTATCGCATATTCACTGCGGAATATCGCATACTCACCTGCGGAATATGCCATATACCGCAGGTGAGTATGGCATATTCACCCGTATCATAAATACCGCGCAACCATGAATGTATGCCATATACCGCGTAACACATTGCATATCATTGTTGACACGTTATATGACTATTTACAAAGTAAATCACAGTATTGACACCTTTAGCAAGTATTTACACTGCGTATCATTGATGCATTTGTGCAACTTTTTGCATTGCATTTCATTTTTGACACGTTATAACTTATATGACTATTTACATAGTAAATCACAGTATTGACACGTTTAGCAATCATTTACACTGCATATCATTGCTACAATTTGTGCAACTATTTACATTGCATTTCAATTTTGACACGTTATGTGACTATTTACAAAGTAAATCACAGTAATGACACGTTTAGCAATCATTTACACTGCATATCATTGCTACAATTTGTGCAACTATTTACATTGCATTTCAATTTTGACACGTTATGTGACTATTTTCAAAGTAAATCACGGTATTGACACGTTCAACAATCATTTACACTGCATATCATTGCTACAATTTGTGCAACTATTTACATTGCATTTCAATTTTGACACGTTATGTGACTATTTTCAAAGTAAATCACGGTATTGACACGTTCAACAATCATTTACACTGCATATCATTGCTACAATTTGTGCAACTATTTCCATTGCAGTTTCAATTTTGACACGTAATGTGACTTTTTACAAAGTAAATCACGGTATTGACACGTTCAACAATCATTTACACTGCATATCATTACAACAATTTGTGCAACTATTTCCATTGCAGTTTCAATTTTGACACGTAATGTGACTTTTTACAAAGTAAATCACGGTATTGACACGTTTAGCAATCATTTACACTGCATATCATTGCTACAATTTGTGCAACTATTTACATTGCATTTCAATTTTGACACGTAATGTGACTTTTTACAAAGTAAATCACGGTATTGACACGTTTAGCAATCATTTACACTGCATATCATTGCTACAATTTGTGCAACTATTTACATTGCATTTCAATTTTGACACGTAATGTGACTTTTTACAAAGTAAATCACGGTATTGACACGTTTAGCAATCATTTACACTGCATATCATTGCTACAATTTGTGCAACTATTTACATTGCATTTCAATTTTGACACGTAATGTGACTTTTTACAAAGTAAATCACGGTATTGACACGTTTAGCAATCATTTACACTGCATATCATTGCTACAATTTGTGCAACTATTTACATTGCATTTCAATTTTGACACGTAATGTGACTTTTTACAAAGTAAATCACGGTATTGACACGTTTAGCAATCATTTACACTGCATATCATTGCTACAATTTGTGCAACTATTTACATTGCATTTCAATTTTGACACGTAATGTGACTTTTTACAAAGTAAATCACGGTATTGACACGTTTAGCAATCATTTACACTGCATATCATTGCTACAATTTGTGCAACTATTTCCATTGCAGTTTCAATTTTGACACGTAATGTGACTTTTTACAAAGTAAATCACGGTATTGACACGTTTAGCAATCATTTACACTGCATATCATTGCTACAATTTGTGCAACTATTTACATTGCATTTCAATTTTGACACGTAATGTGACTTTTTACAAAGTAAATCACGGTATTGACACGTTTAGCAATCATTTACACTGCATATCATTGCTACAATTTGTGCAACTATTTACATTGCATTTCAATTTTGACACGTAATGTGACTTTTTACAAAGTAAATCACGGTATTGACACGTTTAGCAATCATTTACACTGCATATCATTGCTACAATTTGTGCAACTATTTACATTGCATTTCAATTTTGACACGTAATGTGACTTTTTACAAAGTAAATCACGGTATTGACACGTTTAGCAATCATTTACACTGCATATCATTGCTACAATTTGTGCAACTATTTACATTGCATTTCAATTTTGACACGTAATGTGACTTTTTACAAAGTAAATCACGGTATTGACACGTTTAGCAATCATTTACACTGCATATCATTGCTACAATTTGTGCAACTATTTACATTGCATTTCAATTTTGACACGTAATGTGACTTTTTACAAAGTAAATCACGGTATTGACACGTTTAGCAATCATTTACACTGCATATCATTGCTACAATTTGTGCAACTATTTACATTGCATTTCAATTTTGACACGTAATGTGACTTTTTACAAAGTAAATCACGGTATTGACACGTTCAACAATCATTTACACTGCATATCATTGCTACAATTTGTGCAACTATTTACATTGCATTTCAATTTTGACACGTAATGTGACTTTTTACAAAGTAAATCACGGTATTGACACGTTCAACAATCATTTACACTGCATATCATTGCTACAATTTGTGCAACTATTTACATTGCATTTCAATTTTGACATGTTATGTGACTTTTTACAAAGTAAATCACAGTATTGACACGTTTGGCAATCATTTACACTGCATATCATTGCTACAATTTGTGCAACTATTTACATTGCATTTCAATTTTGACACGTAATGTGACTTTTTACAAAGTAAATCACGGTATTGACACGTTTAGCAATCATTTACACTGCATATCATTGCTACAATTTGTGCAACTATTTACATTGCATTTCAATTTTGACACGTAATGTGACTTTTTACAAAGTAAATCACGGTATTGACACGTTCAACAATCATTTACACTGCATATCATTGCTACAATTTGTGCAACTATTTACATTGCATTTCAATTTTGACACGTAATGTGACTTTTTACAAAGTAAATCACGGTATTGACACGTTCAACAATCATTTACACTGCATATCATTGCTACAATTTGTGCAACTATTTACATTGCATTTCAATTTTGACACGTAATGTGACTTTTTACAAAGTAAATCACGGTATTGACACGTTTAGCAATCATTTACACTGCATATCATTGCTACAATTTGTGCAACTATTTACATTGCATTTCAATTTTGACACGTAATGTGACTTTTTACAAAGTAAATCACGGTATTGACACGTTCAACAATCATTTACACTGCATATCATTGCTACAATTTGTGCAACTATTTACATTGCATTTCAATTTTGACACGTAATGTGACTTTTTACAAAGTAAATCACGGTATTGACACGTTCAGCAATCATTTACACTGCATATCATTGCTACAATTTGTGCAACTATTTACATTGCATTTCAATTTTGACACGTAATGTGACTTTTTACAAAGTAAATCACGGTATTGACACGTTCAGCAATCATTTACATTGCATATCATTGCTGCAATTTGTGCAACTATTTACATTGCATTTCAATTTTGACACGTAATGTGACTTTTTACAAAGTAAATCACGGTATTGACACGTTCAACAATCATTTACACTGCATATCATTGCTACAATTTGTGCAACTATTTACATTGCATTTCAATTTTGACATGTTATGTGACTTTTTACAAAGTAAATCACAGTATTGACACGTTTGGCAATCATTTACACTGCATATCATTGCTACAATTTGTGCAACTATTTACATTGCATTTCAATTTTGACACGTAATGTGACTTTTTACAAAGTAAATCACGGTATTGACACGTTTAGCAATCATTTACACTGCATATCATTGCTACAATTTGTGCAACTATTTACATTGCATTTCAATTTTGACACGTAATGTGACTTTTTACAAAGTAAATCACGGTATTGACACGTTCAACAATCATTTACACTGCATATCATTGCTACAATTTGTGCAACTATTTACATTGCATTTCAATTTTGACACGTAATGTGACTTTTTACAAAGTAAATCACGGTATTGACACGTTCAACAATCATTTACACTGCATATCATTGCTACAATTTGTGCAACTATTTACATTGCATTTCAATTTTGACACGTAATGTGACTTTTTACAAAGTAAATCACGGTATTGACACGTTTAGCAATCATTTACACTGCATATCATTGCTACAATTTGTGCAACTATTTACATTGCATTTCAATTTTGACACGTAATGTGACTTTTTACAAAGTAAATCACGGTATTGACACGTTCAACAATCATTTACACTGCATATCATTGCTACAATTTGTGCAACTATTTACATTGCATTTCAATTTTGACACGTAATGTGACTTTTTACAAAGTAAATCACGGTATTGACACGTTCAGCAATCATTTACACTGCATATCATTGCTACAATTTGTGCAACTATTTACATTGCATTTCAATTTTGACACGTAATGTGACTTTTTACAAAGTAAATCACGGTATTGACACGTTCAGCAATCATTTACATTGCATATCATTGCTGCAATTTATATACATATATACAATACTGTGATTTACTTTGTAAATAGTCACATGACGTGTCAAAATTGAAGTGCAATTTGAATTGTTGCACAAATTGCAGCAATGATATGCTATATATGTCAAGATTTAGGGACAAAAATTTATGTCATTTTAAAGGAATATGGCCAATGTAAAGCTTTTTGAAAATGCCTGCATTAAAAGTTCACAACTTTGCTTCGTGAAATATTCTAAGTCCAAGAATGTAAAGGAATATGGCCAATGTAAAGCTTTTTGAAAATGCATGCTGTAAAAGTTCACCTCTCCAGATCGTAAAATATTCTAAGTCTAAGAATGTAAGGGAAAATGGCCAATGTAAAGCTTTTTGAAAATGCATGCCATAAATTACACTTCTATATATCATAAAATATTCTAAGTCCAAGAATGTAAAGGAATATGGCCAATGTAAAGCTTTTTGAAAATGCCTGCATTAAAAGTTCACAACGTTGCTTCGTGAAATATTCTAAGTCCAAGAATGTAAAGGAATATGGCCAATGTAAAGCTTTTTGAAAATGCCTGCATTAAAAGTTCACAACTTTCAATCGTAAAATAATCAAAGTCCAAGAATGTAATGGAATATCGCCAATGTAAAGCTTTTTGAAAATACATGCCTTAAAAGTTCAAAAGTTCAGTAAGTGGGATGTTTCTAAATTTCTCATCTCGTCATTGTAAAGAAAAAAAGTTTTACTTAAAAATGACATAAATTTTTGTCCCTAAATCTTGACACTGATGCAGAATTGACACGTTTGGCAATCATTTACACTGCATATCATTGCTATTTGTGCAACTATTTACATTGCATTTCTATTTTGACACGTTATATGACTATTTACAAAGTAAATCACGGTATTGACACTTTTTGCAACTAATTACACAGCATATCACTGCTGCAATATTTATATTGCATTTTCATTCTAAATAATATTTATAATTTGGATATCATCATAATTAGCACTTTATGTGACTATTTACAGGGGCCCCCCTTTACACTGCATGGCATCATCATTGGCACTTTTGCAACCATTGATTCTGCTGCATTTCATTATTGACACTTACGTAATGTGACTATTTGATTCGGCTTAACTGACCTATATTGATATCATCTTATTTACCAGTTTACATCACAGACACGGGAACAAGAGTTCATCCCCCTCCCACTCACTATTACATTAGCTATACAGTGACTGTGGGGGGGATTTAAATCTTCCTGGGCCTGTGATTTACATTATCATTGCACTATCTTATGTATGTGACTTTTTAGACTGCAAATGCCAAGTCTGTATTTTTACTACTGCTGCCATCTTTATATCAGCTTATCAATAGTTACAGGTTTGAGATAAATAATAATTTCGTTTCATTGTAAAGTTTGCCATGTAAAACGAAAACTGGTCAATAAAGTGGAATGCCAAAAATTTCTACACATTTTACTATTTTCCTTCTAAGTAGGACCACTGATCTACAAATTTAAGCTTCCTAGTTGCAGACGTAACTACAGAGAATATAACTGATGTGCTGAGAGGACCTCAAAACTAGACCTTCTCCTGTTTGGTAAGCATTTTGACCACCTGTAAAATCAAAAATGATTCATTTTTTATTTTATGAAATTGAAACAGGAAATTGAAAGTCAGGTATGATGAATTATGATCTGTAATAAATCGAAGGCAATATAAGGCTGGAAAGTTATGAACATGTATTCCTTTGGAAACTCAAGTTTTCATGTAAGCCACGGTTATCCCTACTATAGACTAGTCCTGAGAACGTCTCAATTTACTTCCTGCGAAAGCTATTTGGATTTTGATATAATAGCTTTCCCACGGAGCATTTGGACAGCTCAATGATCGTGACCTTTGAAATCGAATTAAGTCGATCCGCGGCTTACTTTTGGTCTCTAACTGTGTCTTACATCAGTATCATCAATCCGTGTAAGCATGGGCTTTCAACTAGTTGAAAGCCCATGGTGTAAGTATTGGAGCGCTGGAGTACTTCTTTTTCGATCAAGACTTGTAATTGTTAGTCAAGTGAATCGTTTTACTGCCAAATTCCAATATGGCGGTTTCTGCTCGGACATTTTCGTAAATCTCCGGAGGTTGTCCAAACCTAACTAATTCTCAAAATTCATTTCGTTCGTTGCGTATCTCGCACCTAGCAAACCGCCATATTGGAAATAGGTCTGTAAAACTTTAACTCGATGAACAATTAACAAGTCTTGATCGAAAAAGAAGTACTCCAGCGCTCCAATACTTACACGGATTGATGATACTGATGTAAGACACAGTTAGAGACCAAAAGTAAGCCGCGGATCGACTTAATTCAATTTCAAAGGTCACTATTGATCAGCTGTTCACTTCTCCGTTTGAGAGCCATAAGTTTCAAAATCTAACATGGCTCTCGAAGTGAGTAAGTCTCAATCTTTTGCCTATACGATTACAACATGGGAGAATTTTCTACGCCTTACATTTAAGATACCTACTTCATTAGATTCCTCAGGTATTTTAGCATTCTTTTCATGTAGTTGAATCCACAATTGTCTTATCGGCAGAACGAAGAAATTTTCGTTTTTGATCGCAATATTTGCGTGTAATATTTAACTTATTTCAACCGTCAAATTCCTCCATTTATTGGTACTTCCGGGCCAGCCAAACGAGGAATCCCCTTTTAAATCCAACCGCCATCTTGAAAAGTGATGGAATCTCTCTCGCTGAAAAAGAAAAATGTTCCCATTCTGCCGATATACCCAGATAATTGTGGATTCAAAAATCATGATAAAGATGTTATAATCCATTTGAAAAACATCAATATTTTTCATTGCACTCTTTGTGCAAAACTGAGAGTTATAGTGAGTTAAACACAATGTGGAGAAAGTGAGATTTCTATTTGGGAAATAACATTAACATGTGTTGGAAGGCTACGTGTATTTGCACCTGCATTATTTCTGAGACCTAGACATAGAGATTTCGTATATATTTTCAGAGCAATCACAATGGCGGGAAAAGTGAAGGGATTAGAAACATGGTGCCGCAAGCAGACGACAGGGTACAAAGATGTCCACATCACCAATATGACATCCTCGTGGAGGGATGGACTTGCGTTCTGTGCCCTTATACATAAATATAGACCTGATCTCATGTAAGATTACAATTTTTCTAAGTGTTGTGACTCGCCTACAGGGCACAAGGTTAAGACTAGAAAGCATCTGGTCAAAAAGGCATTACGGATCAGTTTCAATGTTATTTTCCTATATAATACCTCATGTCATTGTCAATCTATCAAAACCAATTTGTCAAGCAAAAGCAATCTTAGCTCAAGCTCTGCCTATAGTAGGAAGTTAGTTTCACAAGATATGAATTTTATGATTCAGGGTTTTCTCTACCCATCATAAATATGTAACGTTTCATCATATCAAAAATCGGGAAAAACTGTTACAGTTATTAAGTTATCCATAACTTTAAAATTTTTATAGAAATTAACTCCAAGTGAGTTGGTTATTTCTCTTATTACTCCAAGCATACGCAGTTCCTCATTCCCAATTTATACCTCTCTGTGATTAAAGACTGTAATAAAGCAGTCAATTAAATCAATTATTCAATATCCCCAATATTTAAGGCTATATAATATCATGCAATCATATAATTCATACTAATAAATATGTAAGTGATGTAATATACACTATAATCTAGTACTATACACATGGACGACATGGCCTCATTTGCACACGGTCAAAAACTTAAGTCTTAAATTCTATCCATATTCCATGGTCATTGTAAAAAGCATACTGTTTGATCAGTATTCAGTCTGCTTGTTTCATTCTTGATTTATGTTATCTGGGGATTACAAACTTAAGTTTTCTATTGTCAAGAAAGAATAATTGTATAATTTTTCCTGAGGATTTGAGGATTTGTTTTTAGGTTAAGGAAATTACATTCTGAGGATTTCCCATTGTTCTAACTAGATTAATGAAGTACATTTATGAAAATAACATCTATGAATAGACAGATATAATGTATTTTGCAAATGATTGATAAGACATGTTGACCTGAGAATTGAGATAAATGATTACTATGTAAATGAGTCATATATGTTTAAATATTAGGTTAGTTGACTTAAAACACACAAACAGGAAATGTGAATTTGGACCCACCCCACATCATTATAATGAAAGAAGGAGTTGTATTTTTAGACATTTTAAAGTTGTTTTGACTCTACCCCCAACCTTTCACCCTGAAAACAAATTTTCCTAGGATACAAGAATGCTGTCATAAGATACAAGAAAATTGACTTTCATCCCCTGGCTCTCTCCCCTTCAGAGAAAAACAAGAATACTGTCAAATAGACTCTCAGCTCACTCCCCACCCCCAGAGAAAACTAAGGAATTATAGACCTAATATTCATTAGACATGAAGTACATTTTGTCAAAACCCTCTGTGCCTTCTTTGAGTGCAATTTAAAGTACATATACACCATAGGCGTAGTCTGGGGGTGCGATGGGTGCACCCCCCATAACCAATAACAATAAAACCATGAGAAAGAAGAAGAAAAGAGCTTTAAAATTCAAAATTAATATTTTTTGGCTTGTTTATTCCAAATTCATACCCCCCTGACTGGAAAAAGTATTTTTTGCGATCGCACCCCCTCTGACTGAAAGCTGGCCCCTGTACACTGTACAGTAAATGTATACTTAACCTATGGAACGCACATTAAAATGATGTTACAAACAATGTACGCCAAAAACAATGGTACATACTGAACATTTGAGGTATTTTATTCATCTCCTAAAGGTCATTGGAATAATGAATCATGTCTCCTTTACTCATTTCATGATCTCCTATTCTCCAGACACATTGTTTTTATGTCACATATTGTTATGGTCTCCGTTTTTTTTTGTTATGGTCTCCGTTTTTTTTGTGACGGCGGTTGGTGGTTGGAGGTTGGCGTCCGGCGTCCGGCGTCCGGCGTCTGTAACAATTTCTTACAACTTCCTATAACTTTACAAATACTGTTTAGACTGACTTCAATTTTTTCTAAATCATCTACATGTTCTCAGAAGTTCAAATCTGACTTTAGATTTGACATTTGACCTTCAATGACCTTCTCAAGGTCAAAAAGGTCTTTTTTCAACTTGCTTCACATTGACTAAATTTTTTTCAAAATCATCTACATGTTCTCAGAAATTCAAATCTGACTTTAGATTTGACTTTAGATTTGACATTTGACCTTCAAATCTGACTTTAGATTTGACATTTGACCTTCAATGACCTTCTCAAGGTCAAAAAAGGTCAAAAAGGTCTGTTTTCAACTTGCTTCAAATTGACTAAATTTTTTTTTCAAAATCATCTACGTGTTCTCAGAAATTCAAATCTGACTTAAGATTTGACTTAAGATTTGACATTTGACCTTCAATGACCTTCTCAAGGTCAAAAAAGGTCAAAAAGGTCTGTTTTCAACTTGCTTCAAATTGACTAAATTTTTTTTTCAAAATCATCTACGTGTTCTCAGAAATTCAAATCTGACTTTAGATTTGACTTGAGATTTGACATTGGACCTTCAATGACCTTCTCAAAGTCAAAAAAGGTCAATAAGGTCTTTTTTCAACTTGCTTCAAATTGACTAATTTTTTTTTTCAAAATCATCTACATGTTCTCAGATATTCAAATCTGACTTTAGATTTGACATTTGACCTTCAATGACCTTCTCAATGTCAAAAAAGGTCAAAAAGGTATTTTTTCATCTTGCTTCAAATTGACTAAATTTTTTTCTCAAAATCATCTACATGTTCTCAGAAATTCAAATATGACTTTAGATTTGACATTTTACCTTCAATGACCTTCTCAAGGTCAAAAAGGTCTTTTTTCAACTTGCTTCAAATTGACTAATTTTTTTTTTCAAAATCATCTACATGTTCTCAGAAATTCAAATCTGACTCTAGATTTGACATTTCACCTTTAATGACCTTCTCAAGGTCAAAAAAGGTCAAAAAGGTCTGTTTTCAACTTGCTTCAAATTGACCTTTAGGTGGTGACATTTTGTCATGTTAATGCCTTGTACTATTCATGAATTCAGTAAGTAAAATTGATGTTTTCCTTCGCAATAATTTCTTGCAGTTGTTAATTAGTAGTCCCTAAGCAAAATGTCATTTCAAAGAATATAATAAGTAGTAGAAATACCACCAGGAAAGATTGTAAATCCAGAATTGATTGAATTTATGAGAAAATCGCTCATTCCATTCCCATGCTGTTGAAAACATCAAGGTGTCTCCATGACAACCAGCCTTAATTTTTGTATAGATGTCAAAGATAGGTCACCTTGACCTGAGGTATGAAGGATGAATATGAAGCTTCCTAATTTAAAAGAATGTGAAACTAATAATTAAAGCCATCCCTTGAATATATTCATCATATTAGGCCATGGTAATCAAATACTATGTTTAGCTTCATTTGTAATTTTGAAAACTGAAATGATGGGCTTTTTAACAGTTACACTTTCATCAATGTTTGACTAATTCTAAAATAAAATACATTTTTGCTATTTAAAAGTATCAGAATGCTAGAATCGGCTAATTTTTCCATAAATGCTCCATACAATGCCCGACTTGAGAGTCATCTGGTCAATTGTTCTAAGAAACAATTTAGATTAAAATATAAGAAGTAGGAGACAGTATGTTAAATATTTCAATTATTTATCCTAGCCTTGGTTGATAATAATAGGCCAACTCTGGCCTAGGGTCTATCTATGCATAGTTCATGGTTGTAAAAAATAATCTGCAAATTAGATTTATTACCCTTTATTTAATAAATGTCCTCACCCCAAAATGCCTCAGTGTAGATCTAAGAGCTATTTTGTAAAGTTACCTTTCTTTCTTAAGCTAAATCATTTTAAAGTGCACCATTCCATTCTTTGAAAAAAAACATTTCCAAAAGTTTATTTCGGCTTAGTGTAAGTAGAAGGTGACATATTTTGGTTCCTTTGGTATATGAGCACTTGACCCTTAAGTATCCAACAGGTGATATAGATAATATATATAAACTCACAGGTTTAACCATGTTATTCCTGCAATAGAAATAAGTACAAGGGGAACATTGGGAATATACCTGTTTGAAGTCACTGAAAAATAAAATTGCTTACATTTGGATTTTCTTATAGTATATTGTATAAGGGTTACATACTGGGAAGTGTGTAACCCTTGGATGTTTGTTTAATTTGAGGGAAATATACTATAAAAGAATCTAGAGGGATAAATCCTCACTGAAAACTAACTGGTGTATCTTATACTTGAAGGGGCTAAGGAAATAACACAGTGTGTCTCATCTGTTTCGGTAGAAGATATATTGTCTATTCTGTATTTTAGGTATCTTCCAATGGAAAATTCAAACACTCTGCTAGTGGTGTGACCTTTAACGTAAATTATAGTGAGATAAGGGCTATATTTATGGGCAAAGTCAGACAGTAGATACACTCTAAGGCTTTAAGATGCTTAGAATGTAATTTACAAGAAATATTCAATACAACAGAAATCATAAATTATCTTTTTGCATCTTTTTATAGATTTGTACATGTATATTTGTTGGTATTAACGATGTCATTACAAATCATCATTTTGAGATAACCTATATTAAGTAGTATTTACGTCCACTGGCAAATTCAAGTCATAGTCTTAAAAAAAATATTTGGTTCACTGTAGGCTATATTTAGGTCCAGTGCCTCAGATTATCCAAGATTGTCAAAAAGTTGCTGATAAAATGCAAACTGGTGTCAGTGACCATGGGGTTAAACCCCCTATTAATGTTATACTTCGTATTGATACATGTTTGATATTTGAAATATTGACAAGGTTGTATCATAACTTAGAAACTTAAATTATCTGCAAAGGAGAAGTTGAAGAGCTAATCCATTTCCACTTCAGATTTAAGAGTAAGAGCGGTTGAACATCAAGATGAATCTATGGATTTCCACTTCGTCTATTATTCTTGCTTCGTTTAATTGTTTGGACAGTCAAATAAAGTATTGGATTCTCTGTAATTGAAATTGTATTATTTCTGGAACCAATATTAATATACCCATACCAGGCCTGTAGCCAGGATTTGCCAAGGGGGGTTCAGTTTTCAAAAGTTTCCAGGGGGGGGCTACGGGCCTGCATACCATAAATTAAATCTAATGAAACTCATCATGGACCCAACCCAACACCTTCCAAAATTGCACCAAGTAAAATTATTTGAGCTTGGGACAAAACTGGTATAGTTTTGGCTAAACTTGCTCAAGTTGGTCACAATTGGCATTTTGCTAAAATGATAGCCTTCTGAAAATGAGAGCATAGCTGGCTACAAGTCTGCTCAGCTTTGTAATATGAAGTGCTTGAATGTAAAGTACAATATGGAACATTCAGACTGAAAAAAACATCGAAGTTGAATGAATGTTCAGAATAACCTCTTCAATGTGATCTGGGAATACTGCATGGTTAGATTCAATGATTGAATTCATTACCATTCTTACTGTTAACAGGACTTGTACTATACTTTGGCAATTTGTATAATAATGTTCGTGATTTTATTTTATTGATTATTGGGATTTTAACGTTACTACTTAATTTTTTAAAATGCACCTTATTGATGTGTTGAAATTGAAAACAGCGATACAATCAAATGCAATTCCGATATATCACATTAAATTCTAAACATACACTGCATCTATCATCACCAGCGTTTAGTTTGCCCTGAGGCTGATTTGTAACTACTAGGCATAGTCAAAATACCAATTTATGAATATACCGTATTCTCTGTAATTACCGCCCACTCTCTAATAAGCGCCCACCCCGCTTCACAAAGTTCAAGAAACATCGAGGAATCATAATAATCCATAATGAATGAAGGAATTGTTCTTTATCGGCATTCAGAAATTTCAAAAGCTACTGCGCAGATGTTCTGCGCATGTCAAGGTCGTGAACTTTCTGGTTTCTTTTTAATGTTTCTCGACTTTTACACGACTTTTGCACGAATAATGATGATCTCTCATCAAATTAGAAATAATGTATAACTTTAGATCGATATCCAGCAGTCTCTAGTGGAAATATTGAAGGTAATCGGCGATAATGACAAAGTGGGCGTGCCGGAAATAAATTAGACATAGACGGGTCTTCAACCACTGTCAATATTGTCTAAGCGATCTTTACCGTATTCTCTCCAATAACAGCACTTGTCATATTATTATAAAAATATGTTGAAGAAAATGCATTCTTGTCAAGAAAAATTGCCATACATGAAATTCCTCGGGATTTCTGATTTCTTTCATACATGGGCGCTTATTAGAATGGTCTAAATAATGTATTTTCAATTTTCTAAACGCCCTGGGCGCTAATTACAGAGAATACGGTAGTATTAATTGTGTGTATTACTTCAAAAATATAATTGGTCATTAAAGTGATTGATTGATTATAGATAAAACAATAATATTGATTTCATTGTATAATAATTACAAATCATTTGAGCGCTAATTGACAAAAAATTGATGATGAAATAATGTTATTGCTTATTGATGTTTCAGAGACTTTGACAGCCTTTCTAAAGGGAATGTATTGGAAAATAATCAGCTGGTAAGTCATAAAAGATATAAATGTTATTATACATTAGGGGTTAAATTATCATCGCTCAACACTCAGCGGGCGATTTGCTTCATTTTTCCAAAATCTATAGTCATTTTGAAATTATAGTTTCTTTTGTCATTTATTTTTTACTTCAGACAAAAATATGTAAAAGCAAAATTATAATTTTTTTTTTGATAATTTTGCCAGTTGTTGTCGTTCATTTTGCCATTAATTACAAATTCTAACGATTCCCCTGTATTAAATAAATACATTAAGAATACAGTTTATTTTTGTTGAATAGCTTTACACAGTTTAGGGGTCTTGTCCAAATGACGAAAAACAAAGTTTATTGATATACATTTCAAGGACAAAAATCAGTCTCTAAACAATTATATACACGAGCAAAATCCTTATATGCCTCATCCCTTACTAAAATGTATATTGTTCATCTACAGCTGTTGAAATGGATATCCATTTTAAACCAGATGCTTATAAGCACTTTAAGCATTTTCAATTCAGTCTTTCTATACTGGAAACATAGCATCTGTTATTTCATTGTATTTTGAAGATAAGTGAAAAAGCACGTAATATTGATTTGGGGGATTAAGTATACCCCTCAAAGATTGCAAATGTCAGAGATACCATATGTTATTACGAATTGAGAATTCAAAGCAACTTTTATCATAATGAATAATTTTTCTTGGGAATACTGTCAATCAGGCAATGGCTTAGATTATTTCCATTTGAGACCTAGATTAAATGATGGAATATCTGCAATGGGATAATTTTTCAACAGCTATATTTTTGATTGAATATCACACTGTCTGTGATGAATTATTCTCATTTGTTGTCTGCCGATGGAACTCAATCATGAAATGACTATTGCTAAATATTTAACCTTCATGAAGAAGCATTTGCTCATTTCAGGCATTCAAGGTAGCCAATGAGCAGTTGAACATCCCTGCTTTATTAGATGCTGAAGACATGGTTCGCCTGAAGACCCCTGACAGACTTAGTATTGTGACTTATGTCTCACAATATTACAACTGCTTTAAAGACAAGAAGCCAGGTATGCAAAATTCGCTGAAATTTTGACTTTTATTGCCAAATCAATCAGAGTGTACCTATTTACCTCTAAGGAGGGGTCAGTTCAAATACCAATACTCTCAATTTTTCCATAGTTTATTTCGTTTAAGAGGGAATGGGAGAGTGAGCACTTACATGGTGTTTTACGGCTGGATTTGAATGTTGACTTTTAATGTTCATAAGTCTGATCAAAGCAAGATAAGAGAATATAATTTCCTTAACCCACTTTGTTAAATTACTTTCACAGAAATGTTTTCACACATACCCTTAGCAAAAATCTATGCTTAATAATCCTCTTAAAAATCAATCTATATTACAAGGTAGGATTCTATTGATTTTGAACCAGGCAAACCTCTCATTATTCCACACACTGTCGTGATTTATCATAGTGGCATCATTGAGAGCTAGCGCTTAATATTTCAAATACAATATACAGTTAAACCTGTCTTAGCTAACGTCTCTCTCTACATCTAGTAACCAACTAACCACCTGTCTCTAGCAGACACCCTTTTTCCACACATACTCTACTGACTTTGTATGAATCACACTCTCTGTAGTGAACACCTACCAACACTAGACTTTTTTCTCAGCAATAAAATGTTCGATAAATACAGGTTTTGCTGTATTGCAGAGTTGTAAATCAGGTTCTTAGCGCTGTCTATTCACATTGCATAACTACTTAAGTATATTTGAAAGCCAGGAAAAAGTGCTTCTGGCCGCTGAGTAGGTGGAACGAATCTCCAGGGATAAATCTCTATTCAGTTTCTTAATTATTTCATATTGGTTGATCTTGATGCATCAGATGCACAAAAAACTTGGGGAAAATATCTTTGTTCGAATAACTTTAATTTAAGAAGACATGGCAGGTGAGTCTAGAATTTGAAAGCTTAGTGATCAGAACAAGATTTTATTTTCTCGGCTGTGCACTCTTTAGATCTTTCCAGGCAATATCTAGCATCTGCAAATTTTTTGTAAAAATATGATATTTCTTTGTAGAAGGGGGACCTCTGATAAAGAAGAAGTTTGGAAATGAGTCAGCTGTAAAGAAACAGGTGTCGGCAGCCCCTGCCCCTGGTAGCAAACGACCCCCGGGGCCAGCGGGACAGGTCAGTCGTGCTTATTATGTAGAATTCTCACACTTTGTCAAACATGAATTTTTCAGCAACTAAGTACATAGTTATACATTGAATTATATGTCATTTAGATTTAAGAGTTTAGACTTGAAGCTTTGAAAGGAATCATATCAATTATGATCCTTTAATATATTCAGACTTGAATTTTATTTATATAACCATGTATAAAATTATGCTAAGCAGCATGCACAATGACTAAAGATCCAGGGGGTATGTACATCTACTGGAATAGCATCAACTGTTAGCAAATATTCATTTTGCAAAATGTTCTATGATCAATAAAGCATTAAACATTGACATCCGAATGTTCAATTTAGAAAATACATAAAGTCAGCTACAGTGACGGGTGTTCCAACTTCCAAAAGTAACAGGACTGGCGCTGGTACCAGTCCTGTTACTTTTGGAACACCCTGTATATTTGGGAAAATAACTTTATATAAATAGAACAATTTGCGAAATGAATTGTAAAATATAAGGAATTGGAGTTCTCACTTGACTGTGTTTTGTTGATCAAAATTGAATTTATTTGTTTTTGTTTATTCTTGTTCTGGGAAATACTGAAAATCAATTACTAGTTTTCTATAGGGTAAAAGGGAACTGACTATCACAGATAAATATCGTCATTCAATCTATAGATGTTTTGGCCATTCACATTCACATTATGGTTTTTCTTTTCATCCAACTTGATTAATTTCCCTAATTTCCCAATATTCTCTATCCTGGAAAATCTTGGTTTTCAAAATACAATTAGAATTAATGACTATCTAATTAGATATCATTGAAATAGACCTAGCTTATTGAGATGATTATATTGTATATTTCAAATATTCATTGATTCTATTGGGGGTTAGTGTGTTTTCATCCTTCCCTCAGTATATTTCTCGAAACTGAAGGGAAAGATGAAATAAATAAATGAATAAAAAAAAATAGAATGGAATATTTGTTTTATTATTCATTGTTATATTTCTTACTTACATAAACATAATGGGGAATATATTTGGTGAAATATACAGAATTGTTGATTGTTGAAAATGAGGCTCAGGCTCATAATACAGTACATGAATAAACGCAAGGAGCTCACGTGTCTTGAACTCACGGCTTAGCGTGTTCAGTGCTCTAGACTGCTCTGCCATCTCGACAACCAAAAAAGGTTGTTTCATCAGCTATACCTATTTACTTTGCATGGTATACACAGTTGAAAATGAAACTCAGGCAATTATACAGAACTTTCTATCATGATGGTATTTACCTTGCATGGTATACACAGTTGAAATGAAACTCAGGCAATTATACAGAACTTTCTATCATGATGGTATTTACCTTGCATGGTATACACAGTTGAAAATGAAGCTATGGATGGAGAGTAAAGGTGAACATGCAAATGTATTTCTAATTGCGTGATTTATTCTTAGTCAATTAGAGAGAAAACATTCCATTAATGTATGTTTCAGAGATAGTCATTAGAAATGTATTCATGCAAGTCTTTAAGAGTGTAATTGGGGCAAATATTTCCATATATACGACAAACAGTTTATCGACCAATAACTTAATATGTCGACATCTTAATTGAAGTAGCTTAGATTCATAACCCATATTTGTACTGTTGTATCTCCAGGCAAGACCAGCAGCCAAGCGGAGCACTCTTGGAGACACTTGCGCCATCTGTAAAACCAAGGTGTATCTCATTGAACGCCACATATTGGCCAATACGCTATACCATCGTAGCTGCTTCAGAGACTTCCAATCAGGAAAACCTCCACAGGCTCCTAAAGCACAACCCCTAAGAGAGCCCCAGAAACCCAAGGAGTCCCCAAAAGAGCCCCTGAAACCTGTAGCAAGGAACCTTGCCAACTCAAATGACAGTTTAAACTCTGATACACGTGCTAAAGCCAAATCTAAATTTTACACATCAGAGGATAGTTCTACAGAGAGTCTAACAAAGATTGATAAATCATTGAAATCCAGGTCTAAGTTTTATTCTGAAGATGTTTCAAAATCAACTGAAAATGTGACTCAATCTCATAGCTCTACCCCAGCTAAAAGAGATAATAATCTGAAAGCAAAATTCTTCGCCAGTGCAGAAACTCTTTCATCCAATGCAACATTAAACGAGAAAAAATCTCAAGAGAGTTTACACAAATTGGACACAGTAAAAACAAAACCTCATGAACATGAAGTAAAATTAGCTGTTAAAGAAACAGCACGTAAAGATAGTAAGAAAGTTGATAAGCCTATTCCCTCCCCAAGAACCAAATCTCCAGTACAAGTTGAAACAAATAAATCCAGCGATGATATCTGGCAAGTCATGCCTAATGATAAGAAAGACCCTGTTAAGGATGTTAATGACAAGGTAGACATCCCCCAAAAAGCACCAAGACCCGAAACTCGTCCTAAAAGCGTGGTCACATTGAGGCCTAAGTTACCTGATTTTAATGACAAGAAAGAGCATGATGTAATTCCTCATGACAAAACAGATCCCTCTCAAAAAGCTCAAAAACCAGAAACACGACCAAAGAGTGTAACATCAAGGCCTAAATTACCAGACATTGTACAAAAACCAGACAAAGTAACTAGAGCTACATCGGAAATCATTTCAACAGAAAGTAAAAAGGTTCAAGAAATAAATGTCAAAGAAAATACTAAAATAGAAGAAACCAAAGATAATCTGAAAAATGAACCAGAAAGTAAGAAGACAACAGATCTAATAAAAGAGAAACCCAAAGAAGCAATTCCAGAAGAAAAGGCATCATATGATGATGACCTTAACCCATTTGGATCAGATTCAGATGATGATCTAACTGAAGCGATTAATAGTAACACTCCCTATGTTAAGTTAGAAGTTAAAGAAAATGATTTGGAGCTGTCAAAGTTTAATGAGAACATTAAAGATACTGAGGAGAAAGTGCCTGAGAGTATTAAAGAAGTTGTCGATATTGCTGAGAAAACTGCAGTAGAAGTCACTCCTAAAGATAGCATTATAAAAGACAATGACACTGAAAACATTCCAAAAGAAATTAAAACAAAACCAGCAGAAAATGAACACAATATTCCAACAGTTGAAACTGAAGCTAAAGTAGATACTAGTGAAGACATATCTTCAACAAATGTGGTGCAGCCAAGTGCTGCAGAGCCAGAAACAACTGTGGTGCCAAAAACAGTGGTGCCACCAAAAACTGTGATGCTGTCGACATCTCAGTCTGACATTGAAGAGGATACAGAATCTGAATTCCCATCTGACACCAAGTCAGAATTGGAAAAACTAAATGAAATGAGAAAAGCTTCAAAGCTTGCTGAAAGTCCTAGGATTGAATCTGATGAAGAACAAGACAATACTGATCCTCCTAAAGCTGAAGAAAAAAGCAAATCCCCTCCTGTGGCTACCGTAGCCCCTATGACCAAACCTGGTTCCCCTAAGCCCAAACCACGTCAAAAGAAAGTCCAAAAGGGTGATCTCTCACCCCCTCCACAAAGTGGTGGTAATTTTATTGATGTTGATCAATTGAAGCAAAGCATTGATCCATTTGCCAGTGATGATGAAATGGATGTCCATCAACAGCAAACCAAACACTATGACACTTCATTGAACCCATTTGACTGTAGTGAGGATGACCTGCATATAGAAATAACACCTGAAATGGAACAAGAGGCCAAAGATCACATTGAAAACAATGTTATCCCTGAGGGGAATGGTGATAGTTATGATGACTCGCTTAACCCATTTGGAGATGATGACGATGAAGACTATGATAATTCTATGAATCCATTTGCTGGTGAACCTGATGATAATTCGCTTAAAAAGAAGAAAAAGAGAGCGCCTTTACCCCCTACTTCTAGTACACCAATGAAATCAAAGCGTTCTGCACCCACACCCCCTAGGCCAGTAGATGGCCCTAAGAAGTCACCCCCTATAAGACCATCCAGGCCCCCCAGTCTGACTCCCAAGAAGGAAGGTGAAGTTAATAGGAGAAAGAAGAGTCCTGCCCCTCCCAGGCCACCTCCACCTAAGAGAGAGGTAAGATTATACACTGTATGAGCAATATCCACACAAATAATATATTGTATATACAAAGACAAATATTTCATACTATTTAGGTGTTCATATTTGACTGATTCTAGCAAGGTGAATTCATGAAGCCTGAAGAAACAATTCTGTTTAAGGATATCTTGATATAAATCTTCTCTCTGGGGGTGTTCATATTTGAATGACTCTAGCAAGGTGTATTTCTGAAGCCTGGAGAAACAATTCTGTTTAGTTATACAGTTATATCATGATACAAATCTTCTTTGGGAAGGTGCTGTTTTTATAGCTTATCCATTCTATCAGATGAACAGTCATTAGCAATTCTATTTACTCTCTGCTTACTGCAGGTTGCAGCTGAAGAAAAGGTTTCCATAGAGGAAATTGAGAAGGAACTACATGAGCTCGATGAAAGACAGACACATCTTGAAAATAAAGGTCGTGAACTGGAGGATAAGTTAAGACAAGGTATACTTTCTGCACTTTTCAGAGTGACGTGTAATGTACAGTTAAACCTGTAAAGTGGAACACCTCTCTATGTGGAAAACCTCCATAAGTGGAACAGTATTCAGAGTCTAATGACAGATTGAATCGCTGTGAGTGGAACACCTCGCAAGTGGTTCCACTTACACAGGTTTTCCTCTTTATGTATATGATTCATTTTAGTAAATAAAAAGCCGAGAAATTAAACAAAGCCGAGAAATGTAAATAGAAACATCATTTCCAGGAATTGGTATTAGTCCATGGAAGCTGGTTTTGATTTGATAATGAGGTGTAATGTACACATTTGAGTAAAATTTTTTGAATGAACATTTTTTCGGTTTATGTTGTATTCAAGGTGCATGTACATCTTTTAGCTATTATTGGTTTATTTTGATTAGCTGTGTATCACAAAATAATTACGTGTTTATTGAAATTATATTTTGGAGAATAATGTTGATCAAATTGTTTTTATGTGTAATTGTATAGCCAATCAGGAGCAAGAAGAGGAGTTGATGATCGAGTGGTTTGTTCTGGTGAATGAAAAGAACGACTGCATACGGGCTGAATCTGAACTCATGTATCAGTAAGTAATATAGGATTACCTGTAGAGGTCAAATAGGTCAACTTGGAAAAATGTACACCCTTGTGGGTCAAGATTTTGCTTCTGCAAGATCAAAAAATAATAATAGTTCTTTTTGTCACCACCCCTTTGATGACATATTGTTATGGTCTCCAACTTTTTCATGGACAGTGGTCAACTGTTGGTGACGGCAGTTGGCATTCAAATGGCAGGTGTTTTTTTTTTTTTTTATATCTTGGTTACCGCCATATTTGGTGAGCAATACCTCATGTGTGCTCAGATACACAAACATACAGGTACACACCACAGCCTTTTATACGGGTCGTGAACCACTCAGTCAAACACCCAGAATTACATAACGCACAAACAAACTTGTCTGAACCGGGAATCGAACCCGGGGCCAAGCGATATTGGTAATCTTGACTCTGCCACTGAGCCATAGCGTGTGGTGCCATTTTGCATATCAATGCCCTGTCTCTGAGGTTTTAGTTTGCCATGGTGATCATTGGTCAATCCATAATAAATAGATCAAATTATAAATATCTGTGTTTTGATTCCAGGCAGAAACAGCAAGACCTGGAGACAAAGCATGAAGATATTGAGTTTGAACTGAGAACTATTATGATGAAGCCAGGTAGGTAAAACAACCAATATTCAATAGTGTTGTTAAACATAAAGTTTAACGTTAAAAGAACAGTAAAATCTGCCTAATCCAAACCCGACTGTGACTGGCCAACTGTTCAGATTAGCAGGTGTTATTATTTTGAGTTTTTAACATGGTAACCTATGGCAGATTAAACTAAGAAAAAGCTTTCACAATATTCCTACCCTACCCTATCTCAGCGATCATGACCATCCTACTGATAAGAGTAGAGGTGGAAGTTCAAACTTGAACCAAATCACTAGAAGTGCTCAAAATGTTATTATGTGGTTTTACTGTATTTTTAGATCGCACAAGGACAGATAAGGATTTTGTATTCATTAGTGTTCACCATTATACGTGGTTTTACCATATTTCCAGATCACACAAGAACTGATAAAGATCGTGCTAGGGAGGCTGAGTTAATGGAGAAACTGGTAGAGATTGTTGAGAAACGTAATAGCATTGTGGAGAGCATGGATGAGGACAGAATCAGGTAAAGTGCCAAACATTTCTTTGATTTTAATGTCTTTAGTGTTATTAACAGATTGCATTAATAATGTCTTTTGAGCTATTAATGGAAATATCAATGTAAACATTTCAAACTGAAATTCCATGTGCAGGGACACTTTAAATTCAAACTTCTTTCTCTGTCTTGACTCATTGAATAAAGTACGTTTTATATGAAAAGATGATGAGTTGAGGTTAACAAAGACAGTTACACAGAAAAACCTGTCTAATCCAAATACCACTTTGGATTGGTAGGTGTTCTCATTTCATGTTTTTTTAGCTCATATGGTGAGCTTTTGCAATTGATCACTTGTTATACATTGAAGTCTATGGCATGGCTGATTATAAAATTGGGACCGAAAAAAATGTTCCTATTGAGAGACATTGAGAAGAGAGTTGCTCAGATATACAGGTTTTACTGTATAATTTGAATAATCTCTGCTACATGTGCTACATACATTGATATTTGGTATTGTTGAATGTTTCAGATTCCAAGAGGCAGATGAAGCTATTCACAAAATGATGTCCACCAAAGGTAGGTAAACAATATCAATGTAAACATGTACAATGTAAACATACTTGCAAATTCAATGTAAATACTATACTGAAGTAAAAAAGGTAGGTTCTTACTGAATTTAATATGAGTTTGTATTCATGCTGCGTAAAATTCAGAATTCTGCAGTTTTATGTGTACATAAATGATTGTTAATTCCTTGAGTAAGGGATTTTGTTTTCAAATGCTAAAATCTGTCAGGGAAGCATTGTCATTCAGCAAAAACATTTTTTATTTATTTATTTAGGTGCCACACACCTTAATCGGCACCCAGCCTTATCAGGCTTTTGAAGCACTATACATACTGTATAACATGTATTAAATACGGGTGCTTTATTTTCCGAATTGGATTAAAATTGTTACAAATACACACATGTACATAAAATTACAGTATGTTGTTTATACAATTTTTTTGACGCTTTTCAAGAGCTGATATTATACATTTTGCTGCTAGTTTTCCAACAATTATGTACCTTGACTTCACTGGTGTAACGTCATTAAATTTCATATCTTATATGATATTATGTACCTACTTATAACCTACTGCCAACAATGTTTATGTTCAAACCTAGGCGGTATAACATGTATAACTTACCATAAACTTAATTTATGAAATAAATGATTAAAAAAAACAAAAAAAAAACTGCCTCTCTGTAATCTTTATCTATAATGTTGTCATAACTTGCAATTTATCCACAGGTGCCACTGAGAGTTCTGAGCTGGGCATCGTCGTCGTGAACCCTGAGAAAATTCCCAAGAAAGAGAAGAAGGAAAAGAAAAGTATGTTCTATATGAGTTTGCCAAACTTGAAACTGCTGAAAAGTTAGAGAACAAGTAGGCGAAAATTCCATGTATCTCAGTATTTATATTCTATTTATGTATCAAGAACTGGGGGCCATTTCATAATTTGCATTTTAGAATAAATAAATGATGGATATGTGGTGTGGAGTTTATGAAATGGGCCCATGGCTTTGCTGTATAGCTTGTTGCTGTACTCTACATGCTGCTGTTCTGTAGTGTGATCAAATGCTGCTGTTCTGTAGCGTGATCAAATGGTGCTGTTCTGTAGCATGATCAAATGCTGCTGTTCTGTAGCGTGATCAAATGCTGCTGTTCTGTAGCGTGATCAAATGCTGCTGTTCTGTAGCATGATCAAATGCTGCTGTTCTGTAGTGTGATCAAATGCTGCTGTTCTGTATCATGATCAAATGCTGCTGTTCTGTGGTGTGATCGAATGCTGCTGTTCTGTAGCGTGATCAAATGCTGCTGTTCTGTAGTGTGATCAAATGCTGCTGTTCTGTAGCGTGATCAAATGCTGCTGTTCTGTAGTGTGATCAAATGGACCAATGCAAGATCTTTTTATCTCAAATTATTTTTCTATGTTAAATATATGAATATTTTCAATTTAGTTTGGAAATTCGATGTGCAATATTACATGTTGAAAATCTCATGAAAAAACTGTTGATCATTTCCTTGAGTATAAAAATACTAATATGAGAAAATACTAATATTTTCTTTATTTATTATTTTAATAAGTGGATTTTCTACTGAGTTTTATCTTGGAACATTGACTCAATCTAAATACCATTATGCACTTCATTAAATTAATTGTGATCAGGGGTCAGTTTCTCGCTTCAACATTCTTGTTCATAAATGCTAATGCATCTCTGTGTATTTTACAGTGCTGTATCATAATTGATTAATCTTATGCATTCTGTATTTTAATAACTAAAGAGGAACATGAGTTTATCTGAAAGATTTATTTAATTCGGTTTGGCAAGAAATGCACATTATCAATAAACTTGGTAAGGATTTCACAATCCATCATAGGGAAAGGTAATTGCTTCCATAACTTAAAATTACCCTTTATTTGCAATACCTTATTAACTAATTAAATTTTATAGCTATCTGTGCCATTCCCTTTCTTAATTGCACTTTCTAGTTAAGGTAGGACCAATAAAGATATTTTAGGTGTAAGGTTGCATACTTACATCTGTACACATGTATACAATTTCTCTTACTAGTCTCACCTTAACCATAATTAATAATTCTACAAACACCTTAACAAAACACCAAAGCATGTATACTTACTTCTGTACTTAGTCCTGTAGCTTAAAAGTGACTAATATAACATGTTATCTTAAGTTCTTTAAACTAATCTAAAGCTTACAAATTAAAGATTATTAATATTAATTAACAAACATGATCGTTATTTTATCCCAATTACTAATAATGCATAATCTTGCTTAATATGTGTTTAATTATTTTGGAATTTTTCAGTTATGCATGTATGTTGTACATTAGATTAAAATCTGATATGACAGTTATCACTTATTATATAGTAGTCATTCATTCATTGAAAAAAATCATAAATATGTCATTGTGACCTTAAATGTCATAATGACCTTAATGATTCAATAATAGAGAGCCTAAATAAGTTCATATAATATACGAAGCAAAATACAGAAGTATGATGGCCATTGTCTAAAAATAAGGTGATATGTCTCTTTAATGTGTCATTCTCCTGAATTCTCCTTTTCCAGATATACACCTGCTTTCTTTTCATGTGATACTATCAGCTTACTTCAGAAAAATTTAGAGAAACAAAATTAAAGAAAAAACAACTAGAATACATTATTTAAAGTACATACATAGTTTTCTCTCTTTCTCTCTGATCTAATCTATGTAAGAATGACTACTTTATATCACGTAAGGAATATTTTGCTGTCTTCTGTCTTAGCTTTAATATACATGTACAGTGTATGTTCTTACTAGCAGGTAACCACAAATATTTACAAATACCAGTGTTTGAATAAATCTTAAAGGTTTATCCCAAATGAATGATGGAATGACCTTTAACATGGAATTTTCTTTTTCATTTGGCATTAGTCTTTGAATATTATTTCGAGGATTTCAAAGTATTTGTAAATTGAGTGTTTGCCATGCTGAGTGCTCACAATGTGCTTTTAGGATCTGAAAGTGATACAAACGAGAATTATTTATGAGTTCTATCTTTTTTCAACCTAACTTAATTTCGAAAAAAATCTTAAAACAAAAACAGGCTTTAACAGGGAATTGGAATTACCAGACTTTTGGAGGGGATTGTATTTCTCTTTTGTCTCCTGAAAGCACAAACTTTCTCTGTGTTTGCTCAAGTTTCACCCGTCGTTTTTGTTTTCCCCCTAGATCCGTTCTCTTGTATACCATTGTGTGGATCTACAAAAGAGGAGTAGCACACAATTTTCTTGTCATGATGTGTTGAGAATTAACCAGCATTTGCCTTGTCATGATGGATTGTGGAATTGTGAATTAGCCAGCAATTGCCTTGTCATGGCGGGTTGAGATAGTCCTAATTCAGCCTGTCATGGAGAGCTTATAGCGCACAGCTGGGAATAGTGGGCTTAGAATGCAATATTGTGATGGCTCCAGTTGTTAACAGCCTGTACACCTACATGTATTATTTCTAAATGATTCAATGCAATATCTTTTATATATTTTATAAGTATTATTTAACCATTGTGTATTGATTGCGCATGATTAACTCCAAAAGTACTTAAGAAAACAAATATCTTTATTCTTGCAGAAATTGTTATGAGAAAAATCAAACATAATTCTTAAGAGGTTAACCATTCTACAATGTATTCATTTTGTGATTTTGTTTCTATATTTTCTTAACCTACTTCATGAATTTTAATGAATTGTCTAAGGATCTTGCCATGATTTGTGTTCAAAATTGGAGACAGTTTTTCACCAATTCTCTTGAGACTTTGGGAGTGAATTCCTCAAATATTATGATATATAAAATGCATATCAATTATATATGTATATCTATATTTAATGTTTGCTTTCATTATGGTGCTAGGGAGCTACATTATGTATTTTATTAATTAGAGGTTTCAATGGTTATAATGAATCAAATAGGAATACAGATACATGTATGTTTTGTTGGTATGAATCCCAAGATACACAGAAAACATCTTCAGCAAATATCAGATAGTAAATCACATCAGTAAATATCAGAAATGTTTTGAATTGGAATACCATGACTTATTTACACGAATTACCCCATAACAACCTGTTTTGGTTATAATCTTTCTGAAGAACTTTTTATCTCTGTCAAATGCCTTCTTACTTTATTCCACTTACTTTATGAACTGTTAAATAAATAAAAAATTTTCAAATTGTATTTTATCAACTATTGTGTGTCAAATCATTAGCCAAACACGAATTTATAATATTGAATCAATCTGATTATGTATCTTGGGATGCTTAATAATTTAGACTTGCAAATTGTAATTATCTGTAACCCTGGCTCAAGTACTTGTCAATAAAACGTACTAATGGGAAAAAGATGTTTCTGAAGCATACTTCGAATGTAATCAGACACCATTAACATATGTTTGGCTCATGGATTTTATGTACACTCAATGTATGAATTTTTGGGTAAGAAACTTCAAGTGAACCCACATTCATGATGAGCCAAAAATGCCACTTTTTTTTAATAAAAAGGTTATTGTGGCATTGTTTGGCCCACTCTGTATTAATTAGTTCTTTCATTTTATGATTATAAATGTTCAGCAATGAGTGAAAACTATATAAAACAGTATAACAACAAGTACATGGTGTTGATAACTTGTATATTTTTCAAGCAGTTTTCTTGCTTGAGAAATTTTGTGAAACTATTTGGGTGTAAAATCACTGTTATTGATTTATTATGTTTTACGATTTTACGGATATGTTATTAATTTATAAATTAATGTTTGTAATAATAATCCAAGTGGATTGTGCTGTATACATGTATGGGTAAAGTCACACTGAGACATTCATCTGATGGAGCTGTCTGTCACATTAGGCTGTGTGGGCTCACTGTTGTCAATACCTTGTGAATACTTAGGGGTAGACAGAGGGGCATGCCATGGTCAATCTATTATGGGCTCACTGTTGTGAATACCTTGTGTATACTTTGGGGTAGACAGAGGGGCATGCCATGGTCAATCTATTATGGGCTCACTGTTGTGAATACCTTGTGAATACTTAGGGGTAGACAGAGGGGCATGCCATGGTCAATCTATTATGGGCTCACTGTTGTGAATACCTTGTGAATACTTAGGGGTAGACAGAGGGGCATGCCATGGTCAATCTATTATGGGCTCACTGTTGTGAATACCTTGTGAATACTTAGGGGTAGACAGAGGGGCATGCCATGGTCAATCTATTATGGGCTCACTGTTGTGAATACCTTGTGTATACTTTGGGGTAGACAGAGGGGCATGCCATGGTCAATCTATTATGGGCTCACTGTTGTGAATACCTTGTGAATACTTAGGGGTAGACAGAGGGGCATGCCATGGTCAATCTATTATGGGCTTACTATTGTCAGTACCTTGTGAATACTTAGGGGTAGACAGAGGGGCATGCCATGGTCAATCTATGGTGGGCTTACTATTGTCAGTACCTTGTGAATACTTAGGGGTAGACAGAGGGGCATGCTATGGCCAATCCATGGGCAAAACAAATAGTTTTATAGCAAGATATCCCCCATCACACCAAATTCAAAACTTGATTATTTCCTAGAATTATTCAAGCAATGGCGAACAGTGAGCCCATATGGTTTATGTGACAGCTACTTTAGTCTGTATGTAGGTTTTGGAGTTTCAAAATGGCTGATATGATTATATGAAATCAAATCGTTCATGCCATTCCTTAATCATTCAAAATGTAGAAATATCAAAAGTTGAAATCAGCTCAAAAATGCACGAAGGTGAACGAAGAGAAATAGCCTACTAATTTTAAAATTTGGTAACTCCACAGAGAAGCAAATTCCACTGAACAAATAGGTTTTTTTCAAAACATGGAATCCATACACCACTCGGGTGTCCTTTTCATATCACTTGTAAATAATATTGTATGAAAACTAGAATTGAATAATAAATTGAATTGAAATTGAATGTTTTGAAATGAAATGAAGACAGTTTAAATGAACATTAAAAGTGATTCAGTTTGCTAATTCTCTGAGTTAATATTACCTGTTTAAATTATGTTAACTTATTATTTTGTACTTTTAAATTAATAATACTTTGTACAAATATTCCATAATTATGGTTAGTGGACATAACTATTTCTTTGGAAAAAATATTTTATTTATATGCTTGCATTAAGTAGATAATTATATTTACTGGTAAATGTGGGTATAAGACAGCCCCACTATAATATCCCTGACAAAAGATGTCACAGGAGGCATTGAATATTTTAAAAACTTCACATTTTTGTGGTGTAACAGCTACTCATGTGTTTTCATAATTCGTAAAATTCACATGCAAATAATAAATGTATCCAAGATGCACTGATTAAAATAAATTGTACATGCACATGTTAAAACATTAATAAACATGCTTTTGTAACTTCATTAAAATAAGAGTGCTCTTCTGTTCTTTGGTGTACTTATGTACTTGGTAATTGGACATTGCTTTATGCAGTTTGTGTGTCTGTAAATACTTGTTGGACACTTGTAGATACAGTTTGTGTGTCCGTTAACATCTTGGACACTTGCACAAACACAAACAGTTTGTGTGTCTGGTAACGTCTTAGGCACTTGTAGATACAGATTGTGTGTCTGGTAACATGTTGGTTCCTGATCTGTGTGTCTGGTAACATAGTTCATGTATCTTGAAGCATGATGGACACTTGTTCATACAATTAATGTATCTGGCAACATGTTTCATGTGTCCGGTAACATGGTTCATGTATTTGGTAACATGTTCAAGTTGATGAGATGTCTCATAGTTGGCCGTCCATGGGGACAATTCTGGAAATAAAAGATATAGAACAAATCACAACGATGCATTAACATATCTTCATTTGACCAGAGTATGAATATTCTAACATCACTATAAACATACATTGTGTGAATTTTAAGTCAATCTTATCTGATCTTCTTCAGCTATTAAAGCTCACTACTTGTCAAAAAATTAATGCTACAGATTATTGCCAAATTGTATTGAGATTAACAAAAAGTTCAAACCATTGTGCTCATAAACCAACATGTGCCTCTTTAAATATTTTTGTTTATTTATTCCAAGCTACTTTTCCATTCATAGTCAACTCACCCATGGTTGCTCTATCTCTCCCATATGTCTTAGCACCTGTAACACAAGATACAAAATTCACATAAATATTGCCAAAGGCTTGCAAAATAGCTCAAAAGCAGAAAATAATATTTTTTGATGCAAAATTCTTTGGACAGATTGCTCAAGAACAGGATGGATTGAACTATTGAATTATCGTAGGTGAAAACTTGGAGTAATAGACCACTCAGGTTAGATTGTCTAGCAATGAAATGTCTTGAAAAAATTTTGTTTTCGATAGATTGCTCAAGAACATGGATAAATTGAACTATAGCATATTTTCAAAGAGTGAATTATCGTAGGTGATAACTTGGGGAGTAATAGACCACTCAGATTAGATTGTCTAGCAATGAAATATCTTGTAATAATTCATACTTCAATCTCTGATAATTTCAACTTCATTCTTAGATAAATGTGAAAACAAGGCATTAACATGCAAAATGTCAGAACCTCTCGTATGACACACTACACTTTACATTGACATGGGTAAACGCTATATACCTGTTTCATGTGACTCTTTGAAAGGGCAGTACCAATCATGATAGACTTCCTGCATGCCCTTGATGCAAACATTTGACGAACCTTACTTGGTCGACACATCACTCCCTGCAAAACACAAAGTGAGAATATGTTTAATTGTAAAATTGCTTTTTGTATTGATGTATTTGTTAAATGAAAAAAAATTGCACCCCAAAGTTTTTTTTAGTATAAGTGTCTATAAAGTGAGAATATGTTTTTAACGTAAAAATGTAACGGAGTCTAGAATCAAATCACAAGGCAAAATGTCACCACCTGCCATTTGTTACAGATGCTTACCACCAAACACTGCCAGATGCCAAACACCAACAGCTTACTGTCAAACACTGTCCACAAAAAGTTGCAGATAATACAACAATGTCACCATTTCAGGTGGTGACATAAAAGTGCATTTTTTATTTGCATATTTGTCAAAATGAAAAATAATCTTATACCCCCAATTTTTTTTATAGACCTACAGAAGACAAGTACATACACCTCTAGGCTCTCCCATCAAATGTGGAAAATATAAGATGAATTGTTCAAATTACCAAACAGTCTTTGATTAATGATCCTAGAGGGGACTTCAAGTTGCAAAACTTCTGAAGAAATGTGTATAATGTTTGTGGGAGTAAAGACCTTGAATAAAGACCTTGTCCTTGGTACATGTGTATCTGACATATTTATGCATCCAAGGCCACATGTGTGGCGGTAACCACGTTTCAACACTCCACTACAGGGTGCCCAATAATTTAGGTTAATAAGATTATCTGCCATTTCATTAATATTGCTTCAAAAGTCATGGAACTTGGTAATCTTTAAATCAGACATTGATAATAGACATTCACTGTTGACTGGTTGAATACAATTGCTATCATTCCATTGGTTCCAGTTTTCATCACCATGGCAATTTGGGTTTGTGACACTTACTGATTGAACACCCTGTACACGTGCTTTCACATTATCCATCTTTAACATGCTCACTATCTATTAGATATCTTTGGTATGACTTTTTGACAATTCAACAAATACATCACTATGGCTGTTATAATATCGATGCTTCTTATGATTCTGATGTCAAGTCTGAGTGTATGGGGAAAGCCAGTAATAGAAGATAATGGTAAGTGAATTTGTTGTATCATCAAAAAGTCATACCAAAGATATCTAATAGATAGTGAGCATGTTAAAGATGGATAATGTGAAAGCCAAATGGGAAAACACCAAAAACTACTTCAAATCATATTTAGAAATAGGAACATTGAGAGGCAATGATAAAATCGAACATCTCAAAACAAAAATCTAATGTAAACAGAAAGTTTCCAAGGACCTGACTCCTGGATGACTTTTCAAGAACCATAACCACTACATTAGATTTCTTGACTCGACAAAATACATATTCTTCAAAAAATATAATATAAAATTGTTATGGTATCTCTCATTTATGAAGTGTTTATATCTTTTACAGATGTAATGGATAATTTAGAGTTCACAGTTTTTACAAGGTAAGACATAGACAACATAAGTTTTTTGTTTCTCTAGGTCATAAAATTGGCCTTCTACATTTCATGCCTTCTCTCGAAAACCCAAGTGACATGTTGCTACAAACATGTACATTGATGGAATTCTGTTTGTTCATATGTATGAAGACACATGACTGACATAATATTTTTTCATTTTAAAGTTCCTCGAAAATGGTATTTAACATTTCTTTTAAAATGTTAATTAATAATGATCTGTTAATGCAGATCAAACAAAGACAAGGGGCACGTTGTACCATACAACAGCACAAAAGAACTTAAGGCATCAAACTTTGATGCAGACACACAGACAACTATTCTAGTACATGGCTGGATGGGAAATCCCTTTGTATTTGCTTGGGTGGAAAGTGCCAAGGATGCCCTTTTGGAAAAGGTGAGGAAACCCTGCAATGGCATGCCATTGGCCATCAGCCATCACTTCTTTTACAAAAAACAATGCTTCATTGAATCATTTATCCTTAAAGACAAAATCATCATGTATATTACCAAGTGTAGTAGAAAAGTTCAGTAAAGTAATGGTTAGATCAAATGAACATAGTTCTCGGGAAGTACATTTATGGCTCAAGTAATTGAAAGGTGCCCATGCAAGTTGGAATATGAGATTTAACTAAGGTTATCCAAGTAAAAAAGCAACTTTGATTGGTTTGACATTTGACATATTTACTGCCATGTGTACTCAGACAATCTCTAACAGAACTGTACAGTGCCATTTTAGCTCCGTTACCACACTGTTCTGTTAATATGGTACAATATGGTACAGTAGACTAAAATGGTACCGTACTGTACCATGAAGACTGTACAACACAATACTCGAATGGTACCATATGCTAGCATACTCTTACTGCATCGTAGGCACAAATCAAAATGTTATCTTTCAGAATATATGACCATGTATGCATATCTTATTTCAGTATGACCAAAATGTTATATATGTCGACTGGGGTCACTACGCTCTTGACCCAGATGCAGATTCGGCTGCTAAGTATGCAAGGAAAAGTGGTACAGCACTGGGGGAATATGTCAAATTTCTGGAAAATGCAGTAAAGGCAGATCGTCGCAATATGCAATTGGCAGGACATAGCATGGGTGGCCAAGTTGTAAGTTTTGCCGGAAAGGAACTAACAAATCCTAAGATTTCTACAATATTTGGTAAGCTTTATCAAATGTTTCTTACACTATTTAGAATTTTGTCTGACTCCATTAGCCCATTAACCTGAACAGAGATAAAGTCATATCTCTAGTTTATGTTTCTAATGTATTTGTGTTTTGTTCCATCATGGTCTTTTCTTCTTTTTGTACATATACTGTAGCACTATCTTCTTGAGCCTTGGGCTTTAGACCTCACAGAGTGCCACCTAACTGGCTATTTGCTATTGTTAACTCATACATTTTGTTGTAATAGGATTACAGATCACAGAGTGCCTCAACCATCTAACTGACCATTTGCTATTGTTAACTCATACATTTTGTTGTAATAGGATTACAGATCACAGAGTGCCTCAACCATCTAACTGACCATTTGCTATTGTTAACTCATACATTTTGTTGTCATAGGATTGGATACAGCTGAGGGTAACTTCAACTGCAGTGACCCCACAGATTGCCTCAACCCTACAGATGCAGACTTAGTAGTAGAAATCCACACAATGGTGTCCAGGACAGATAAGGGCCACATAGACTTCTGGCCACTTCATCCAAGTAAGTGAACATTTTCTATATCAATGGTAACAGAAAGTGACCTCTCAGCAATTAAGCTATGCCTATTTGACAATAGAAAACTATCGCGAACGCAGTTAAATATTGATTTGCCACAGTCTTGATATTTCACTTCAAGTAGAGTGTCATCAAATTAATCTTTAATATAAACCCATTCTTTTGTGTTCGATCTAATTTGATAACTTGACTTTCAGATGTGAACCCATTCAACTTCATAGGTGAGCACCTAAAGGGAGCCGACTACTGGGTGGAGTCCATTGCATCTGACTGCACCTTTGAGGCATACTCTTGCCCTGATGAAGACTCATTCATGGTAAAGATTAAGGTCAATGTGTACATGTTAAGATAAAAGAACATGCATCATTGGGTAGGGGTAAATCGTCTGAGGTCCATCAACTGTGTTGACAATGGGAACATTCTGTCACAAAATCTATACATTGTTTTACATTCGACATTTTCTGTACATTATATTTGGCTGTTCTTTTTGGAGTAATTTTTCTGATATTTTAAACTGGAATAAAAATGCACTATAATCATGAGAGGACAATTTTTTCATGATTGCCATATAAATCAGGTACAAAATTCCACCATTACCAGACACAGTATCTATTGTATCACTCACAATGAATAAAAAAAATATTTCAATTTTTTCTTCCTTTCAGAACGGTAAATGTTCTACAACATGTACGAAGGACAACTGCAATCATATGGGACTGAAAGCATCTAACCCTAATGTACTTCACAGAGTACGATACTTTCTAAATGTAAATGATGAACAACCATATTGTAAAAAATAAACATATTTTTATATATTTTGTAAGAAAACAAAAAACTAACAGTTTTGTTAAGAACTGATATTAGAGTTGGCAGTTTTTACACTACTGTATGAAAGCAAATGGTTTAATCTCATAGGAGTACAGATTTGTCAGTTGGCCTACGGTAAAGTTTTCAATTTATGAAGAACATATGAGAATTCTTGCTAAAAACATGATACACATCACACTAAGATGCAACCAGTGATGACGTTTCATATTTTTATAGAAAACAGTGTGATGCCATACTATTTCACAACCAAGTACGAATACAACAGTATGACGTCATTCAGAAGCGAAATTTCAGAACACACAGAAATTATAATAGTTATTGGGAGTACTGAACACAATCATAATGAGTAAATCAAAATACTTCAAAATTCTTAGACATGTGATAAAATCGTCATCACATGTTTCAGCTTATGTGATACAGGAAATATTCCACTCGGGTAACAATGTTTCATCACTCAAGCTAAGCTTTCCTGGATGATACAGTATTGCCTTTCGTGGAATATTTCCTGTATCCACATGCTGAAACTTGCCATAATATAATATATTATACACTGTACTGCTCTGTACTACATTGCATTGTATATTATGCAATACTGTGCTGTTGTTCAATATACGTATATGAGTACATAAAATATATTGTACTGTATTGTAATTTACTGTTATGCAATGTACAGTACAACACTGCAATTTCTTAGACTTTGAAGTCCAAGGACATTTATATTTACATTGCTATAGAGATATAATAATGGTATCATCTTAATCAGTTATTTGTTCAAGGTCTCATTTTCCTTCAAGTGGGTAGGTCCTATAAGAAAGGAAGCTCTTTAACTTTAAATAGTCATTGGATAATTTGAACATAAGGCAACAAGTAGGAAAAGTGGGACACAGAACTGAAAAATACATCAGTATGGCTGTCATAATGCCAATGCTTCTTATGGCTCTTATGTTAAGCCTTAGTGTATGGGGAAAGCCAGTAATGGAAGTTAATGGTAAGTCAATTTAGTTTATTGAACACAAATTGAATTTTTGATAAAATACCCTACTTGTAATCTAAATTGGAAGGTAAATGAGACTAAATCATCAAGATTACAAGAGGAGTTATAGAAAATTCACACATAGCTAGGCAAGGTGTGTCTGATTCCAGCCAATCCGAACAAGATATTTCATATAACCAACAACCCACCAAAGGTCATTTGTGAAATGGTTGTCAAGGTGACAATTTGACTACAGATTGAGATTGATACTTTGCAAACTTGACCCTTTCAAAAAGTTTCATTGACAATATGTTCTTTAAGTGATTTTGTATCTTTTAGATGATTTCGTAAAAATATTTTGCAATGTGTGAAAATAATTTAAGCCCAAGACTCAATGCATTGTGGCTGATTCATTTCAATCAGCCATTGTTTCCTTTTAGCACTCGATTTTACGAGTTTCATGCAAAGTTTTAAACAACACCTTGCTTAAATCCTTAATTAACTACATATTTCTTTTTTAATATATTTATTTCATTCGAATATTATATCAATATTGTTCACTCCCTTTCCAGATGTCATGGACCATCTAAAGTTCACAGTTTACACAAGGTAAGACATAAACAGGTTAAGGCACAAAGCACATATTTGTTGGTTCCAGTAAAATCTGTCTATTTCAAACACCACCAGAACCAGCCAAAAGTCTTCAGATTAGTAGGTGTTCACATTCCAAGGTCTCCTCATATGTGAGTCAATGGGAGATAACAAAATTGGGACCCAGAAAAAGTTCACATTGAGAGGTGTTTGGATTAGAGAAGTATTGAGATATTCAAGATTTACTATTCATTACACATATCGATGGTGTCTTTTTCATTTCATATTAACTTCTAATAGATTTTAAAATTTCTTAATCAAATCATTTCTCCTTTCTCAACAAAAGAACTTGGATACACATTTTGAAACTTTATATTCTACCATTTTGTTGCAGAGTAAACCAAGATAAAGGGCATGTTGTACCATACAACAGTACAGGAGAACTTAAAGCTTCCAACTTTGACCCTAAAAAACAGACAACTATAGTAGTCCATGGTTGGATGGGAAATCCATTCATATATACTTGGGTGGGACATGCCAAAGATGCCCTTCTTAGAATGGTAATATATTTGGAGACTAAAAGTATAAAAGGGTTAACATTGTACAGGGTGGTCCAAAAATTGTAAGTCTAGAGAAGATGAGTCTGGGATTTTAGCAGAATATGGTGTATAAAAAAAAACATTTTGAAAGCCATTTAATTTCAGTCTGAGCAGAATGTCATAATTGTCGACTGGGGACACTATGCTATGGATCCCGATGCTGTTTTAGCTGCTAAATATGCAAGGAAAACTGGTACAGCACTGGGGGAATATGTCAAGTTCTTGGAAAATGCTGTTAAGGCAGATCGTCGCAACATGCAATTGGCGGGACATAGTATGGGTGGCCAGGTCATCAGTTTTGCTGCAAAGCAACTCACAAATCCAAAGCTTCCTAAACTTTTTGGTGAGCTACCAATCTTTAATTTCATTGAGGTTTTTGATGATTTCAGCAACTACAATAACTAAGACCTTTAGCATCTAGTTTATCAAAGTTAGCTTAATGGCCCTCGATTTACATATATAACTAAAACTTTAGTGTTGAAGACATATCTAAATACCATGCACAATGTTCCACGGGGTCACATTGATTTGCATTTACTTCTATTCAATTTTAAGTTTAGAACTGACAAAAAAATTTAAAAATTTAAAGTTGGTTTACTTTTTTAAGATCATAATCTTAGGAAAAGCAAAAAGATCATCATTTATCCAGTTTGAAATATCAAGAAATTAAGTGACTTTAGTCTGTTTTCTCAATACTAGCTAATAGGATCTAGTCCAAACAGGACTTCTACTGCTATCTTTTTATCAATCCATACAGCAACTGATCTATCAATACTGTAGTTTTATTTTTTTTATTTGTTTTAATAGGTTTGGATACAGCCGAGGGTGAGTTTAACTGTAGTGACACTGCAGATTGCCTAAACCCTACGGATGCAGATTTTGTGGCAGAAATCCACACAATGGTGTCCAGGACAGATAAGGGCCACATAGACTTCTGGCCACTTCATCCACGTAAGTCACAGAACACATTCTATAAACTTCTATTACAGATATTGAAATCGAAATTTTTAGAATCGCTGTCTAATATCATATTATTTGTCAGTGTATTAATCTGTCTAATTTATGATGTATACAGTGATAAAAATTTCCCAATTCATGACGCAGAAATTGCAAGACATTAACATAACGTAGAACGAATTGTTACTACTGGTTACACACAGTATCTTAAGTAAATCAGTGAAGACAGGTAACAGAATATAGTTTAAAGCCTGAAAACCTGGGAAGCAGATACTGTATAAGTGGTAATTTTGCCTAATCATTTAATTTGCCTATTTCCTAATTTTTGCCAGGTTCGGAAGATTAAATGTCGGAAATATTGTCTTTATAATGTTATCCAATGGGAGGTTTCTTGTCATTAGGAAAATTAAAATTAGGAAAATGATGAAATTTGACCATTCGGAAAATTAACCACTTGGATTAAATACCACTTACAGTATTGCAGAAATGAAACTTGCTTCGAGATAAATTCCCTCCTCTGGGAGAATGACCTGTTGGACAGTGTGACATCATGAAGAATATGATTGTCACTCTTGAAATGAATAAACACAAGGAGCACACACGTCTCGAACTCGCAACCTCGTGGTTACGGCGCCCAATCCCCTAGCCTGAACATGCTGGCGCTCAGGCCCTCTTGGCCAACTCAAGAACCCCAAAAAAGGTTGTTTTGTTAGTCGATCTGACTAGAGACAGCTGATGTTAACGCTCGAACCACCAGAGGAAGCACAATGGACATTTTCTACACACACACACAAAGACAGATAAAACAAATATATATGTATAGTGTCCTTGAAACTGGGCAAGTAAGACATGGCTACAATGCTACATATGCAATATTGATGTGGAAGAGTCAACCAGTCATGTAACTTGGTGGTAGAGAACTCACCAGTTAACGAGGGGTCATGGGTTTGATCCCCATGGCGTGGATTGACATCAGCCCTTTGCACAGGAATTGCATTCTGAGTTTTTATCAACTATGATTGAATTATCAAAACTGATGAGCTTCTTTGAATCTGTCTCGTCTCATCTCTTTCTGCCTATCAAATATAGTATGGTATACAGGGCGTCAAATAAGTCTGTTCTTCCCCCTTAACATTTTCATTTTTAAAGTTATCATACTTTCCCATATATCATTCTAAAGCTTATGGAAAATGCTGATCACCTGTAAAAAATCAATAGTGAAGTCTTCCTAATAAAATTACTAAATTAAAAAAATTAAGGGGGAGAACAGACTTATTTGACGCCCTGTAGTATGATAACCTGCTTTCAGATGTGAACCCATTGAACTACATAGGGGAGCACCTGAAGGGGGCAGGCTACTGGGTAGAATCCATTGCATCTAACTGCACATTTGAAGCATATGCTTGCCCTGATAAAGACTCATTCAAGGTAAATACATTAAAACCTGTCAAATAGAACACCTCTATATATTTAAGTGGAATACTTCAAAGTCCAGTTAACCATTAACTTAGTAAAAGAACTTCTGTAAGTAGAACACCTCCTAAGTGGAACACTTCAAATTCTGGTTAGCCATAACTTAATGTAGAATGAACTACAGTATGTAGATTTTACATAGAATAAGTAATGTACCACAGTTGTTCCACAAATACAGGTTTTACTGTACATGTACTGAAAACATCAGTATTATTTGTACCTTCCTTATCAAAATTAATTGGTTTATATATTGTGAACCTCAACTTTTTTATCACTTTCTTGACTCGTATGATAACTTCTGTTATCCAAACAATATTTCAATTTCTCCCTTTCAGCATGACAAATGTTCTACTACATGTACAAAGAACAACTGCAATCATATGGGACTGAGGGCATCCAACCCTAATATACCTCACAGAGTACGATACTTTCTAAATGTAAATGACCATGCACCATATTGTAAAAAATAAATACATTTTATATGCTGTATTTTGTAAAAAAAAGTTTTGTTCAGAATTAATACATACATGTATGTTTAGATTTCATCACACATGATCAAACCGAGGTTTGCATGTAATAAATAAACTATTTCATGATCATGGGATATGGGATATGGCCTCATTAATATCAAGATGACCTGTTAAAATCAGTCATCAGATCATCAGCAAACTCATTATAATCCCAAAATAATCTGAAAATAGACCCGTAAACAGAAAATAAATAAAAGTTCAAGGCAAAAGACCACCAGCTGGTGATTATGCTATATCAAGGTCCAAGGAGATGCAAATAAACACATTTGAAACTTGTTTTCCCCAAACACCCTCCACTATCAGATAAAGGTATAAGGTACAAATACATAGAACTGAGGCTAACACAATTAAATTCTATGTTTTGTGATACACATTTTTGTGTAATATTCAATCACAACATGTAGCTATTCAGAATACTTATATCTGTATAAAGAGATGAAAACTGAACAAATGGGTTTGTTTGTATTATAAATGCCACATATGACCATAATTGTAAAGGAGACCGAAATAAATGAGAACAAGACATTAAAATGCAAAGTATCACGACCTGCCATTTGTTACAGATACTAACCACAAATGCAAACTGCCAAACACGTCTATAAAAAAGTTGAAGACTATAACAACTTTAACAAGGTGACATAAAAATGTGCAAACTTATTAAACTGGCATAGTAAGATCTAACATAATATGGTTAACATGCACAGGAACTTTGTGTGTATAGCACTGTACGTACATGTACTGTGTGGAAGAATACTGAAAATTCTATCACTTAAATGTGATATTTGAATATCTGCTGTCATGTAAGATTACATCCTCTGAGATTACACGTTTAATCTTTTAACAAAGACCTGAATTGAGTCCATGATTTTGGTCAATGTCAAGAAATGTGTATGAATTAAAGATACGCTCATGAGATAAGCTAAGTAGTTAACTCTTACCTCACCTAGAATACTAGGGAAATTAAGTACCCACATTAGAACTCAAAGGAATTTAAAAACTAAATATTTCATAATCCTAAAAAATAAATAAAAAGTTCTGAAGTAGGTTGAGGGTTAATACTCTGATGATTCGCAGGATAATTAAAATAAAACAATTTGCCACAAGCATTTTACCATATCGTTAATAACAAAATTGTTTTTGCGAATAAAAGATATAGAATTAAATATAAAACTTTTACTTACGGGAGCATCATTCAGCATAAACAACATCTCATCAATATCTGAAACCAAGATTTATTAACATGTACAATAAAAATCATTAACATGTACAATCAAGAGCATTTAACATGTACAATCAAGATCACTAAAAATATGTACCATCAAGAGCATTAACATGTACAATCAAGAACATTAACATGCACAATGAAGAACATTAACATGTACAATCAAGAGAATTAACATGTACAATCAAGAACATTAACATGTACAATCAAGACCATTAACATGTACGATCAAGATCATTAACATGTACAATCAAGAGCATTAACATGTCCAATCAAGACCATAAACATGTACAATCAAGAGCATTAACATGTACAATCAAGATCATTAACATGTACAATCAAGAGCATTAACATGTACAATCAAGAGCATTAACATGTACAATCAAGAGCACTGACATGTACAATCAAGATCACTTAACATGTACAATCAAGAGCATTGACATGTACAATCAAGATCATTAACCTGTACAATCAAGAGCATTAACATGTACAATCAAGATCATTAACATGTACAATCAAGAGCATTCCCATGTACAATCAAAAGGACTGACAAATACAATCAAGATCATTTAACAAAATCTTGGCCAAGGCATTACTCAATCATCTGGTTTCTCATATGTTGTAAAAAAAATTTCAAGTTTATGAGAATTGTACATTTCCTGAAACGGCTCCATATAAAAGTATAAATCAACTATCCATTTGTTCTTCAGTGTATTGATTGAAAATTTTAATTTAAAATAAAATCAATTTAAATTAAAAAAGAATACATGTACACAATATAGAAGTAAGAATTATAACATGGAAATCTTACCTTCCTTTCCAAAGGTCCAGTTGCGGCTGATAGGTGTCGCCTGCAGTTTTACCCTCTTGGTTGGCAAAGCTGTAAAACAGATTGCAAAAGGTATAATAGGAGTACCATCCAGAAAGTATGTATGTATAGTTATAGTATATGTATAGTTCCAACTTGAGCTCCCCGTAGGATTTAATCTAACCTTACATAATCGGAAAATGTTTTGTATGTACTCTTTCAATGGAAACATCAGGCCTGTCAACTGTCCCGCAATTTGCGTATTTGTCACGCATTTGCTGAAGAATTTGAAGTCACGCCAGTTATTTTTTCGTGACAGAAAATGTCACGCATTTTACCTGGTAATTGTCAAGCAAAAATATATCTGTAGAAAAATTTCCAAAAAAGATCGTCTACACAGCAAAAGTACGAACGCCGGAAAAAAAACGTACGCACTTCTGGCACAAGTCTCGTTCTCGTTCTCAAACAAAACGTGAAGAACGTGACGTCACTTCCGAATCATAGCATTCAAAATAAGTAGCGTTTAATTTCTCCCACTATTCGTAATATAACGGTGGTCTAGCGGTAGAATGCTCGCTTAGCACGCTGGAGGCCCGGGTTCGAATCCAATACTCGCATTTTTATTCTCGCAACTTTATATTAGAGCTTGAAAATGTAAAAACAATATATGTCAACATATTGCGTTTTGGGGCGATGTGCAGGTTTAAAATTCCCGGGAAGTTTACCCTTCTAAAAAATTCGACCTACTTTAAAAAATGGTCGTTAAAAATGTATTTCTTCGTGTTTCCTATGTAATTAAATTAGACATATTTTATGAGATGTCAATTACTAATGTAAGAAGAATTCATTCGTAAGATAATCATTAAATGATTCGTAATGAACCGTAGAAATAAGTAATTACTCAGGATTTTGCAAGGGACTGATCTTTAGCGATCGGTAATTGTTTATTCCTCGGTTGCTAATACTATGCAGCTCGTTGAGAATTTCTTTCGAGAAGTGACGTCATTGCAAAACCCCCCAGCTTTCGTTATCTTCATCGTCTAGTGTACGAATACCACATGTCGATGTGATGTTTTAATTGATAAAAACGAATTCCTTACACATTTCGTTATCTTATTGTGAAATAGCAAAATAAGAGATATCTTTACTCGCTAGGAATTAACATAATATTATTTGAAGCGATTTTAGAAAATTTTGAAACCGCCATCTTGGTAATATTGATGACATGATCACCATCGGTCAAGGTCAGGTCAAAAGTCATCCATCTTGCCATTTGCCCAGCGGATGCTTACCAGTCGACAAAAAACGATGAAATCACGTTAAAAATAAAATATACACTTTAAAATTCTCTCTGACTGTGACTGAGGAGGTAAGAAACGTTCACATTCAAAATTATGTGCTTGAATACAACAAATATCTTACACTCCCCAGGGACCGATTCTGAAGTTCTATAAACAGTAATATTTCCAGCAACTTCATATGGACTGAGAAATTGAAGGTCACAGGGTTTTTATAAAAATATATTCCAAAAATTCTTGACACCCTGTAAGTCATAGGTCGTAGGGTCGAAGGGTCGAAGGGTTTTTAGTACATTCCGTGCTCAAGTGATGTTTTCCTTTTTACCACATTATATATAAATGTTAATGTATGAAGTACGAGATATAGGAAATATTGTATGACAATTTTCATCTTGAAGAAGAGCTATCTCAGAATAGTAAAAACACATAGAGATTTCTTATTCAAGGATGTGTAAAATTGTACATGGATATACCATTTCGTAAACATCATTGTGTGAAGTTATAAGTAGAAGCATTTTGATCTCACACAATGAAATAAGAACCATGAAAAGAAAGAACAAGGCATTAACATTCAAAATGTCACAGCCTAGACATTGAGTTCCAAACGCTGGTGACATAATAAGTAAGAATACATGTATAATACATTACCATTTTCATCAACTAGAAACTTGAAGCCATTCTTATTGAATATCTCCATGCTGTCTAATAGTTCTTGCTCACTGACAGCAGTCAACTCTAGACTCTGGGGACTGAAATAGAGACACATAATGAGAGACACACAATGTAGACTCTAGACATCCAAATCAATTATAAAGCACACATTGTAAACATTAAAATCAGTAATAAGACACACACATTGTAGACATCCATCTCAGTGATGAGACACACATTGTAGACATCCATTTCCATATCAGTATTGAGACACACATTATAACATTCAAATCAGTAATGAGACACACATAGTAGACATCCATAATCCATATCTGAGGCACTTTACATAGATGGTAACTTGTAATGAAACCCATATAAAATTAAGAAAAGAAAGACACACACTGATGACACATACAATATGAGACACACATTGCAAACATGTGAACTTATAATTTAAGACACATGTTCTAGGGATGAGACATGCTTGTAACAAATGTGACAAACATTCAATGTAATGTGCTGATGAGCATGACACACATTCTCCAACATTAAAATGTGTAAACCAGAATAACTTTCTTGAATAACATACCAGACAAGTGTTTGGCTAGATATTGTCGTATGCCTTTGTAACATCTCAAAGTTGTACTTCTCATCTGTGGCATGCTGGTCCACTATGAACAGATCATCCCCCAGTCTGGCTATGATGAACCCAAGGTTGAACTGAAAACAATGAAGACATAAAATAATTTAAGTACAAGGGGATCTCTTCATGGTGGCAATAAGAGATCTTCCACCATTCTGGCTATGATGAATCCAAGGTTGAACTGAAAACAATGAAGACATAAAATAATTTAAGTACAAGGGGATCTCTCCAGTGGCAATAAGAGATCATCCCCCAGTCTGGCTATGATGAATCCAAGGTTGAACTGAAAACATAATGACATAAAATAATTTAAGTACAAGGGGAACTCTTCAGTGGCAATAGGAGATCATCCCCCAGTCTGACTATGATGGATCCAAGGTTGAACTGAAAACAATGAAGACATAAAATAATTTAAGTACAAGGGGATCTCTTCATGGTGGCAATAAGAGATCTTCCACCATTCTGGCTATGATGAATCCAAGGTTGAACTGAAAACAATGAAGACATAAAATAATTTAAGTACAAGGGGATCTCTCCAGTGGCAATAAGAGATCATCCCCCAGTCTGGCTATGATGAATCCAAGGTTGAACTGAAAACATAATGACATAAAATAATTTAAGTACAAGGGGAACTCTTCAGTGGCAATAGGAGATCATCCCCCAGTCTGACTATGATGGATCCAAGGTTGAACTGAAAACAATGAAAACATAAAATAATTTAAGTACAAGGGGATATCTACAGTGGCAATAAGAGATCATCCTCCAGTCTGACTATGATGAATTCAAGATTGAACTGAAAACATAATGAAGACATAAAATAATTTAAGTACAAGGGGGTCTCTTCAGTGGCAATAAGAGATCATCCCCAGTCTGGCTATGATGAATCCAAGGTTGAACTGGAAATATGATGAGGACTCAAAGGACATTAAAGTACCAAGGGGGGGGGGGTCTTTTCAGTGGCAGATAAGCAGATTACAATACAATGTATTATCAATTCTATGAGATAAAATTGGTGGAATTTCTTACTTCATTCATGTGAAATCTTCTTAGAGTGTGCAAGAATGGACTTGTATTGGCATATCTTTTGCAGACCATGGTTTAAAATGTACTTCCTTCCTTTTTCAAATTTAGTTTTATTTCAGTTAATGATATGACAGAATAATCACTTATTGTCCTATCATGTGCCACTAGTTTTTTAAAAAATACATTTTTACATAACTAAGTGTTCACTTATTATTGTAATGACACTAGGTCTCCCATTTCTACAGTTTTAAACCAATATTTCTCGATTTTGCACATATTATCTGGACATATACTCTGAATGATATTGACTTTAAAGGCCCTCAAAAAATTCAAGACCCATTGAAAAATTGAATAAATTCAGCCAAATTTGGATTTTTCCATTTCTAAACATACCTGTCCCAAGACCTGCATTTCTGCAAACATGTCCTTTCTTATCTCCTTTCTCAACTCTTCCTCTGCCCTTGTGTTCTCTGTGGGCGATATCGTTGCACGGAAATTTCGGAATAATTCCTTCCTGGGGGTCTTCTTTGGTTGGGATTGTAGCCTCTCTCGGAGTTTGTGCATTGAGAATTGCACCGTTTTTTGCTTTTTTCTGTATGTGGAAAAACTATTTATATCCTGAAAAGCAGTCTTTATTATAGCTTGGTAAAACGATGGATTGTACATGTATAAATACTGATAAATACTGAAAACCTAGTTAGTTCAGAAAATAAAAAGGAATTTCTTGAATAAACTCCCGATCTGAATTTAAAGAAAATTAATTATCATTTATATCAAATCAATTAATCTTGCATTAAAATGTATGTATTAAATTAAAATTAACGAACACTTCCACTTACATATTCATGTGATTGTGCTTGTAGAAAATTATCATCATTTACATTTTTAAGATTTTCATCACTTTTGCCATTGCCGTTAGCATCAACATCTTCTGCATCTCTTTCAATAGTTTCAGCATCTACTGATGTGTCATCTATACTTATGTTATTATGTAGTATATCAACCCAACTCTCTCTCCTGGCAGAGATAGTATCTGTATCAACTGTATCCATATTGTCAGGTGTATCCAGGTCAATAAGCAACCCTTCTTTGACATTAGAGTTCAGTTCATTGTTAGATTCACTAATGTCAATATCATTTTTAGTTATATTTTCACTTTCTTCATTTTTAATGATTTCACTACAAGGGTTCCTTTGTGGCACTGGTGTCTCCACCAGAACTGTGTGCTTAACATTGTTTAGGTCATTTATCTGTGTTCTTTCTGGTCTACCCTTTGCATCATAATCAGTCACATTGCAGCTTTTGGGTTCAATTGGGTTTGCTTCAGCAGTGTTCTCCACAGATTCACCATTAGATATAGGACATTCAATTACAAGTTGGTCAGATGGAGGATTCTGTGTTTCCATTTCTTTATTGATATCACTTGTGGATTTATCAAGACCAGTATCAATATTTGAACTTATTCCTGCCATGTTTGAATTTTGAATTGAACTATTATTTTCGTGTATCCTGGTGTTAATTGTCTCTGCTTTTCTACAGCTTTCTATGTGTGTATCATCATTACCACTTGTTAATTCTACAGTCAATTTACTTGGAGATTGTTCCTCTTTTGAAGAGTAGGGGGATGATAAACTAGAGCTATGTGAAGGAGATTGTCTTCCATGACTACTGCAAGGAACTGGAGGAGTGCTCGCAAAGAAGGAATCCAACTTTGGCTCTGAAATGACAATGTCCAACAAAATATTAATCCAAAGACTCAGCATACAAAATCAATGATATGATACATGCACAATGAAATTTGTTAACAGTATGGTAATTGAATATACCCAAGAATTCAATATTTGATTATAATTCAATAATCCCTTAGGCATATCATACTTGGTTCTATAATCCATGAAAGCAATTATCTTTCATCAGAGACATAAAAACAAATGATAAATAGTACATAGAAATGCTAAAATAGTTACGTTTGCTGGGTTGACTGTTAGCCTTTCTGTCTGAGGTATCTTGCTGTGAAAAAGCACTGGTGAATGTACGCTTCATCTTGGCAAGGAGAGAACTTGATGAACCCTGAAACACAATAACACCACATCTGTATGCATTTGTAAGTAATCCCTGAAAATTTGAAGGTGATATCTGTAGCAGTTTAGGAGAAAACTGCCGGATGCACGGATGGACGTACAGATGGACACGCCGAGGCCAACAAAATGGCCCCACACCATGTGATGGGGACATAAAAATTTCAAAACATTAAAACCGAAAAGGTAGGTCTCATCCTTGCAAAGGTGATGTCACACATTGTCACACACTATATCATCTATTTTAACAAATAGACACATGAATTGCCTGACTGTGTAAAGGTATGTTATATACAGACATTCTTAAACTAGCTGGAAACAAAGGCTCAAAGGACATACCTGAATGTTTTTGCTATCTGTAGCTGGGGACGTGCTATCAGGTGTGACAGGAGTGACACCTATTGGTTTAGTAGGTACATGCATCTGGTACATGGAGGATGTAGGCTCAAATAACTTCACTAATGATGTCTGCAAAACAAACAAGAAATGCATTTAGCAGACATGTACATGTACAGTGAGACCTTTCTAAACTGAACATCTCTCAATATGCAATATAAACACTTTTTGGTACAAATTTGAACACTGCAAATTTGAACACTTTTGACAAGTCCAAGTTGCATTCACTATGCAACTTAAGCAGTATATGATTTAATCTCTTACACTTTGAGGATTGTGTCAAAGGAAGGGAATGGAATCACATATGCCTTTATCAAGAACAATTTATAAGAAAAACACAAAGATTTTCTAACCTTTAATGTAGCCAGGAGTAGTTTCTCCTGTAGTACGAATATTTGGCGTTTGTCTGGGGTGACATTGACATCTACTGATTCTGTAAAAAGACAGCAGGATGATCAATTGAATTGAATAATATATGAACAAGACAACTACATGTAGTTGCTTTATGCATCTTCACATATAATCTTTAAAACAAAATCATTCACTTGGAGATGCTGGCTTTACCTGTTTCACCACTAGGTGGCTAATTCGGGTCAGATAACACGGAAGGCAATGAGAGATAAAGGAATAACTGTTTCTTAACTCAGATTAAGTCGATCAAATCAAGATTATTTCTACTTGCATCTAGTCAATTGCATAGCACTGAGCCTGTTACTTAGACCCCCACTACAACTTCTGAAATTTATCTGTTAATGATATCATTGGTATTAAGTGAATTGAATTAAAAATGACCTGCTTACGTTTATCAAGACTGATGTCTAGGACCACCATTGGGTACTGATGTCTGTTGTACATATGGTAGACCTCATTCACTAACTTCGTCACCTAAACAAACAAAATGTTACATTTGTACTGCATTTGATACACACTTACACAGTAATACCTGTCTAAGTGGAGCACTTTTGATACATATGTTCCACTTGGGAGGTGTTCCATTTATAGATGTTCATTTAACATTAGTCAGTTGGTCTAGGGACTCTGAAAAGTGTTTCCATAACAGAGGTGTTCCACGTACAGAGGTTTTATTTAATATAAGTCAGTTGATCTTGGGACTCTGAAAAGTGTTTCACTTTCAGAGGTGTTCCCTTCAAGAGGTGTTCCACTTTACAGGTTTCACTGTACATAGTCATCAAATAGTTATTAGTTACAGCCCAAACTTAAGAGGTCCAAGGGGGGATCAGGTTCAAGAAGTGAGTTACATGGTTGAGAGGTTCTGGGGTTAGGTTGATCCAGGAATAGGATGTTTCAGGGGTAGATTGATGCAGGGGTATAGTATGAACAACCAGGGATATGATGATCCAAGGGAAGGAGATGAACTAGGGGAATGATGATCCAGAGTTTGGCTGATCCTGGAGTATGATCTAGAGATAGGATGATTGAGCCATTGGATGAACAAAAATTCTACTGCATTTCCAGATGGACTGAGTGACATAGGACTTCATTACAGTATATCCCAACTGATTTTCATTGTTTAAAATAATGAAATGTTTCATTAATTATCATAGAGAACATAATAAAATGCATTAGAAATACATTTGTATGTCCTATTGCACATAATTACAAAATTTGCATCGTAAAATTACTTGACAATAATTGAGTCTTACAATTTTTTTACAAAACATGTTTGCCTCTTCATTAGTGCAATACCTTAGAGAAATCACATGGTCGCTTGTTTATAAAGATAAATTGTCTGTCTGCGCTGCTCCTTCCTTGTCCATGAACACACTGCGATATATAGCCACTGATTCTGAAAGACATCACACAAGAGTTTATCTCTATAGCAGCACATGTACAATGATAGCAATATGAATCATGGACTTGAAGCAATGTATTTGTGTCCACATACAATAAAATACCCAAAATACCCAGGGTTTAGAGTAGTATTTTATTTTTGAGAATCTGTAGGTTTGAAATGTGTGGATTAGTATGGAAATGTATAGGAGCCACCCCTTTTTCTTGTACCAAGTTTTGATGGATGTTCAGCTTTGTTTAAGCATCATATCATTCTTCATGTTCTAAGAAAACAGGTAATTGTTTATTACTTAGTCTTTCTTGAAAGGCTGTACATCAGCTTTGTTTAAGCACAATATCATTTTTTGGGAAATAAGTCATTGTTTGTTTAATCTTACTTGAAAGGTTGTTCATCAACTTTTTCAGGCTTAATGCCCATGTCCTGGCAGACATCGTCCTCTGGTCTGTGCTGAGAAATCTCTAGCAGACTCTGCATCTAAAAAGAACACAAAAACAGGTAAAAAATACAATAGGAAAAATAATTGGAAATTATGGTTTACAAGAAAAATTCCTCAAAAGTAACAAGTGATTTTAGTTAATACTGGCCATGAGATAAAATCACATTGCCTGCTGCTAATGAAACTGTTGCATGCATTTACTGTATCTTCTAATGTAACTGTATCAGGCCATTGACCAGAAGAAACAGTATTGTCTATCTTCTGTTTAGTAACAGATTTTCCTTTAATAGTTTATTAAGTTTTATATTCGACTTATGTTGATTTTTTACATTCAAATACATGAACAATATTCAATATACTATACATTCCCAATTAGATTTATGAAAATGTTAAGATATTTATCATTCATTTTCATATCTTTAATATTCATGGTTTCAAACTTTTTTGTGGCGGCATCCGGCAGCTGGCATTCAGTGTGTCAATGTCAGTTACAAATGGCAGGTGGTGACATTTTGCGTGTTTATGCATTATGGTAATATTATCTTATCAATGCATAGAACAGTGACAAAAGAATGTTAATTAGGACCTTACTTGTTTAGGACCAAATATATTAGTGATGCTATCTCTCATTGAAGAATTGGAGTTGGTTGACAGGACAATATTCTTCTTACTGGAAATAAAGATTTTCATAGGATTTTTACAATTTAAATTGTTTTGCACAGATATTTCACAAGACCTCTCAAGTCAAATTAAGATTCAAGAGAACAGACTCAACGTTAATTTGAAATGATTGAATTGAATCAAGATAGATGTACAGTATAAGAGTAACCTAGTGGTTTTGAGACTAATATTAATTCAGTATAGCAATGAACATTCATTCATACAGTCATTTTCTTTCACAAAACTCATACATCATCAGGGGTTTCACTTGAATTTCTCACAACAGGCTAATTAAATGAAAACAACAGGCAAAAAAATTAATGGAAATCATAAGTTTAACATGGAAAAGTCCCTAAAAACAACAGGCGATTTTTTTAAAACAGCCGGTGAAAATCGCCTGTTGCCTGCTGCTAATGAAACCCCTGCATCATCAACATGTATGTGAATGTGCCAAAGTGAAAAAATATTGAAATGTGTTATAAAACGGAGCAAGAAAATGGTGGATATTCACTTGCAAAACTCACCCAGATTCCAAGATATTTGTACATATTATCCTCACACCAGATGATATAATACAGTAAGCATTGAGGACCTGCACCATCTTACTGAACTCCCGCTTGAGATTACGCAGGAACTCCTTGTGCCTCACTGGTAGAGTGGAGAACAATTGTTGCAGTCGTACTGTTGTACCAATCTTGAATACATAAGCGTCATAATGGTTTATATTTATAAATGGTGGAGCAGAGGGTGTTTCATACTGCTTCTTTGTATGTTAGATCAGGTTAATACAACCAGAGATTTTTCATTTATAGCCTATGTTGGATGTGAATTGATTTTAATGGGTGTGCATTAAATAAAATGGATGCAAGGTAAATGAGATGGGTGCAGTGTCTGATTGGATGCACTTTGAGATAAATGAAAAAAATGTGAAGCCTTTCAGAAAGAATAAACTAGGGAAAAAACACTGGGAAAGAAGCAGTATCCTTTTGAATTGAAATTCATCAAGTCCATATTCCTATGAAATTCAATCTTGATTTGTCCAGTCGTTTTTCTTTTCCATTTTAGCAAAATCAGTTTCATTCACTTAAAACAAAGTAAAAGAGCTTCGTAACAATTTGCATAAATATACAAATAATATGCATGTTTAATTAGTCAGAATTTTAAACATTAAAATATATTATTTATTAATAAAAAATATACACATACTTGTCTTGCTAAACTTGTTTGTTTAGTGATATTGCCATGGTGATTGAAGTCTATTTGTGTTCCAACACAGGCATCCTTGTGCCTTGTAACCACAACCACATCACTGAAAAGTAAGCAATTTTTAATATTATTTCCTATCTGTTTAATAAGTAATTATGTAATTTTAAATTACCAACCTACTGAATTTCTACAAGATCCAATTACTTGCTATTTGAATCCTGTTGTATGTTTATACTTGAAATGGGTTTTAAATATGAAAATTTATTATTGTGCCAACTTTACCTTAATGCACATAGTGAACTGAGTGCCTCTCCTCTGAAGCCAAATGTCTCAACACCTTCTAGATCTGAGAATTCCCTGAGTTTAGATGTATGGTGCTTCAAAGCTGAAATATAAAACATTTAAATATTGAAATGAAATACTGTAATGATATCTAAAAATAGTTATTAAATTCTTTAAACTTCTAAAAAACTACAGCAAAACCTGTATATAGTGAACACATATGGAGCTACAAAGGTGTTCACTGTAGGTGGGTGTTTACTACAGAGAGGGAATTCTATACAGGAATCATGGAACATGTGTCTTGAAGTGGTGTTCACGAAACAAAGGTTTTCAATCGACAGGAGTGTTCACTAAGACAGATTTTACTGTAGTACAAATGGATGAATATACTTGGGTTTGGACCAAGCAAACCCCATGTTAGATTCATGTTGAGAATATTCATTGACTAAAAATAAAGCTTTATCTCGTAGAAACTTACTAAGGGCCTTAAAGTTATCTTTTTCCACTCCTGAGCCATTATCAACGACTTCGACCATAGCACTGCCATACTCCTTCAGCCTAACTTCTATACTGTTAGCTCCTGCATCAAGGCTGTTTTCAACAAGCTCTTTAACAGCAGTTGCTAAGTTGAGCACTACTTGGCCCGAGCATATTCTATGAACAGTACCCTTGTCTATGGCCTCAATATTTCCAGACATCATTATCTAGCTGTAAATAGAATTGAAACATACATGTATCTCTGTATATAATTCCTTTCTGGAGAGTAAAAAGTTCTCATCTTAAAGATTTTACTTTGTGACATACTAAACTAAAATATTTTACCACCAAAATTGATTTCAAAATGTTTTATTAAGTTTGGAGAATATATATGAAAGGGCAGAGAGCCTTAGTTGAAACCCCACCCCAATATAAATCATAGTTTAGAACTGAAAATGAACTCAATAGCAAAATTATGGCTGCCATACACTATATACAAAATGTTGCATAGCACACATGCGAGATACCTTGACAGGATCAACACATAAGTTCTGTTTTTTGAACACGTGTAAGTTCAGATTTTGAACATGAACATGATGTCTGAATTGGATCGTCGGACACCAAGGTTTTTAGAGTATACTGTAGATTGTTTTTCTTAATCTATTTCCCTCAAAGTATATATGTAGATATGGGCACTGAGATGACGGGTACGAGCACTAAGATGACCGGTGACACGCATGCATACTGATACTGAACTGTCTTGACGTTAGGGTTATGTATTTCCAGGAAAAGTATTCAGTTGACTAATAGGATAGTAGGCTGCATCTACATGTAGGCTACCTGTAAACTTAAAAGTTACAAAAAGCCGGGAAAACAAAAATGTTAAAAATTGTGCGAAAAGTAGTATTCTTTACTAAATTAATAACCATATTTGACAAAAATCAAGTAAAAGTGAACATAAATATACTAAGCTATAAAAAGAGGTGTTACCTTGGTTAAATCATCTGTCTTTTCTCCAAAAAGTCGAGTTCAAGAGAAAATTTCAATTTTCAATTTAGTGAGCCGAAGAGCACTTTTTTTCACCACATCCGCATTGAAAATAGTTCTTCGCTAAATTTTTCTTCACTGTTCATCACAATAACAGATATTGCTATTGTACATAATAACAATGAGATTAATTAATACTATTATTAATTTAATGCATTTTTAATCAAAACAACAGGTACAATTTCAAATATCAGAGTAAGTATTACGCGCATGCCGCAAGTAGTTCTCTGGCAGCCATCTTTATCGAAGAATTCTGAAGATCAGAGATCATGGATTTTCTATCAAAAGCCGGGGTTGGGCGATATCCAGCAGGTTACAATGCCAAGGTCCATGGTCCTTACAACCCAGCAGTGAATTATGGAAAACGTAAGTAGTGTTTTATCATGTCAGTAACTCTGGAATCTAATATTGTGGTGATTGCTTGAAAAATAATATTCAATCAAATCTGCATTGAAATTGCAGCTAATTTTACATCTTTCAAAGACTGCCTGACTGGTCTCATACATAAGATAGTCTTTGTTCACACACTATAGACCGCTAGAGAATCTTGACGACTGAAATTGAAATGCTCAGCTGCTTTCTTTACTCCTCCGTTTACGTTTATGCGTTTACGTTTCAATTTCCACAGTCAGAGAGAATGTTCTGGCTTCAATGATTATCAGGCAGTGTTTTTAAACATTGGAGAAAATACTAGGCTATAGGGGAAATGGTCCTATCACCGCACGGGTACTCTGGAAAACTACTGATGATTTCATATATGATAACTTCAACTTACTTTGAGAATATGAGACGAAAGATCAACCTTTCTTCTAAAATTTAAGTAGTTTGACATTTCTCAATCTCTGAACACTAACACTTTAAGACCCCTTAGACTCGCATGTCAGTGTTCCAAATGGTAGTAAAAACTGGTGCCGTTATTACTAGTGTTGTCGCGATTAAACGATACATCGCGATATACACCGCCAAAGCTGGTTCTGGCGATGCATCGATGTCTGAAACAAAACATCGATGTTTTTAAACAATTTTAATTTGCTAAAAATCGCCCTTATTTTGACGCAAATTGCTTACCTTTTTTCATGTCTTATTTCATTTTCAAATGTTTTCTGATATTCTTTCGCTTTAAAACTGTTTTAGCTAGTCAAATGAACCATTAATCTAAAAAAATTACTTTACTATTATTTCACCGTTACTATGTTCCCGGATGTACCAGCGTACTCTTATTAATTTACTCTGTCCGATATTTTAGTGCATTAGCGTTCGGTATTTCAGTGCACTTTTCTCGAACTTTTTCTCGATGTACATCGCGAGTGCATCGATGTTTACTACTGAAAATTGCTGATGTACGATTATGGCACATCGCGACAACACTAGTTATTACCGCAATTAAATACCTTACCGAATACCGCAGTTTTGGGTCTGTGACCGAGTTTAGATTTTGCAAGTTTTTGGTGGTGAATTTGGTCCTTTTCATACAAACAACAACATATAGTCATGATTTATCAATGTCTTTCCTGATTATCGATAATTCCTGCATTGAATTAAGACATCTACAGCCAGCTATTTAATGTAGTCATTCCTCAAATTGAAAAAAAAGAAAAACAAGTTCTTCCACTCGCCAGGTGGCACCCCTAAGGCCAAAGGACTTGGATTATTGGTTTTGCGTCCGCGTGCGTGTACAGTTTGACCAAAAGTAAAAAAAACAAACACAAACATTTTTACCCTAAAACATCTAAAATTCCCGGGGAAATTCCCACAAATACAACATTTCGTTCAGTGCAGTACTAAAACCAAGATGGCAGCCTCCATGTCACATTTGGTTTGTGTGAAAATCAATGGAATAATTGACTATTTTGCCATGGGATTGGGTGGGAAGACCACTGTTAGTACAATATTTGAAGGAATGGTCATTTCCTCTAGACAGTCGACTATAGATTGTACTACAGGCCCGCCGATCAAAAGATTTAAAAGGAAAATTAATGAAAACGGTAAATTTTTCAATTTTGTTTTATTTTTGTGTTTGTTTTTCACCTTGCTTGCATGATGATATTCAATTTTAAAAGGACGCAAAACCAATAATCCAAGTCCTTTGGCCTAACTCTTCAAAAAGGAAACAAAAACAAAATGAAAATATTTCCAATGTGAGAAGATTACTTTTCTTCGCTTTTTATCGATCTGTCGATGTTAAGCACTTAATCTTGCGTTAGACCAGAATGCCACCGTAACAGTACTTCCGGCAATACTGCAGATCACTATTGCATGTGCGGTGGTCCTAATTATCGCACAGTTGTGTTTCAGATGTCATTTCACGATACTGTATACATTTCTCTGTAAAGATACATACATATGCTATGATCATTTTTCTATCAGTCTTAGTGTAAAATATCAACAAAACTCTGTCTTTATTTGGAGGGGGTCTAATTTTGTCAGACCAATTTCACTTCTTGAGCAATAGCATTTATGACAAAAGCGGAAGTAAACAATTCTTAAAAAATGAAGAGATATTTCTAAATATGAATAAATCATGAAGATTGGGAGTAATGGTGTTGAACTGTTTTTCGTAACACTGGTTTAAAAGATGGTGGGTGCATTATGCACTGCATATTTTAGCCATTTAGGACAATTGTACAATAATTAGGACCATTTCCCCTATGTGTTGCACACTTATATGACCTTCTTCAATACATTCCTGAGTATATTTGAATTCTAATATGTATGTTCATCGGCAGAACACAAAGATTTTCATTTTACATCAGAAATATCTTCGCAATACAGTATATGCATAATACAGTATTTGTGTTTTTCCAGCTGATGCTGCCCTGAGTGAAGTGAAACTGGGACAACTCGGAAGCTGGCTGTCAAGACGTAGCTTTGGTCCGGGGGCTATTGTCAGAGCATGTAGCAGAGGTGAGAAGCCAATGAGTAAAAATATATTGGGTGTATTTGAGTGAGAAATCTAGAGATTCTTGTGGCACTGCCAGAAGTAGTAACATACAGTATTGTTATAGCCTCGAACTATTTTGTGGACCATGTTCGGCAGTCAGCATCTGTAACAAATGGCAGGTGGTGACATTTTGCATTTAAATATCTTGCATTGAGCTGACATTATCCAGAGCTATATGATCAAGTTTCATTGAAACATCATAATTCTCTTATTAGTTTGATGTCTTCCAAGTTCCAACATTGAAAGACATACATGTAACACTGATTTGCAGTGTGCCATCTATACAAGAAAACTTATAACATTTATAATGGTATTTTGTTCCCATTCCAGGGTGGCATCGATATGCCCAGAAATGGATCCTAGTTAAAAAGCCAGGTGTAGCCCCAGTTGCCCAACTTGTAGGAGGTCTTTGTTTCTTGTACTTCCTTGGAGGCATGAAGTCTAGATGTAAGAACAGATTTCTAAATAATGATTTATATTTTATAGTAGCAATACAGTAAAACTTGTCTAATTTGAAGACTACTGGGACTGGTTAAAAGTGTTTGGATTACCAGGTGTTCATATTTCAAGGTTTTATAAACATGTAAGTCAATGGAAGTAATAATAATTCTGGGACCAAGAAAAAGTGTTCATATAAACATAGAAAAATGTTCAGATATGCAGGTTTCATTGTACTGTATAAAGTTACCAAAATAAAAGTGGGCACCAAATTGAAATATATATGCAATATATGTCCCACTTCCTATGAAATAAATATGTCGTCTAAAATAAATGTCTTCTATTTTCAGCATACCATCGTCATGCCAAGTACCATTAACCTGCACACAACTTAGGATAATTTATAGAAAGAATACCAGCCAAATCAGTAGTAGCAAGGACTGTAGTAGTGTGATGATTCTCCTTATATAATGTCGCATTGTGTGGCTTTTCGAAACTTATTTACAACAAAGGACAAATATGCAACATATTTGGTGATTTTACAGACAGAATTAAGGTTTACATTTGAAACTGTGTACTGCTACAGAGAATAAATAACTGTTTGTTTTAATATTATAAATATATGTTTTCATCGTTATTTTAATGACACCTTAAAAATGAAAAAGTCATGTATAGGTCCAAGACGGTCAAGGTCAAAATATCTAGCCATTTATGTACGATGCCATATTAGAATTTCCTACTCAAATAGAAGTCATATGGATCAAATCTTAGAACCAATATTTGTGTTATCAGGAAATGTTTCTTCTGAAAAATGGTGGCCATTTTAAATTCTATTGCCATTTTAAAAATGCTTTCTTGAGCCGTGTCCTCTGACCACAAGGCATCAGCTAATTATTTCTGAACCAAATCTGACAACTGGTATTTCAGAAATTCCTTCTTGATCAGAGGTACTTCGTATTCCCACTAAGCTCGTAACAGGACCAATTATGGTATGTATCAAAAGTGTATTTTTCATTTTAAATTCAGTGGCTATCTTTGTCCCCAACATAATAATAATTAAGTTAGAACCAAATCCTTCCAATAGTAGTCAATGATTAATTTTTTACAAGAATACCAGCCATCTCGAAATGAGTGGTCATTTTGTCATCTGTTCTTGAGTAAGGTTATACACCCATAACGTCACCACCTCTAAGAATATTAACCAAATCTGTAGGGCAATTCATTTTTGAAACTGTGTTCAAGTTAGCCTCCCAGTTTATCCATTGCTTTGCTGTACTAGGACACCTAACATTAAACTTGATGAAAAAAGGTCCTAAAAATGAACATTCTACAATCTGTCAACGCTGACAGATGACTTCTCTATTTTCTGCCACTTTAGAAAATAAAAAAATGGATGTGATTTTTTGTAACAAAATGATTTCATACAATAGACCAATCCAGTAAATCCTGCCATCTATTCGTTATGATGTCATTCTTACAATTTCAGTGCAGAAATAGGATTAAAATATTGCTAATTTTCAAAAACTTCTTTCAATTTTGTTTGCAAACATTACTACCTGTTAAGTATGACATCATAAATCTAGTCAATATACCCTAGTTTGAAGTTTCCTTGGTTCACAAATAGAGGTCAGGATTTATTGGAAAGGTCCATTACTCTTTACAGCGACATGGCTTTTTACAATGCAGGGCACCCGAAATTATTTGTAAAGCTAGGAAATGGGCCAAAGTGAGTTCTGCGAGACAAAAATGGTGACCATTTTGAAAAAAGGCGAGCTTTTGAACCAGGAGCCATAGGGGAGTTTTCTGTATTGATGTTGAACAAAAATAAGCTATTGACAGAGGTTTTAAGGCAAATGGTCCAGAAGTAAACTTAACGATAGATGGACAAATCAACTTTTTTACTGATTTTTTGTAACAAAATTATTTCATACAACTATTCTTTACATGGACATGGTTTTTTACAATGCAGACACCTGAAATTATTTGTAAAGCCAGGAAATGGGCCAAAAGTGAATTTCACGAGACAAAAATGGCGACCATTTTGAAAATAGTCAAACTTTTGAACCAGAAGTCCTATATTGATGTTGAACAAAAAAAACTTAAAGTGTGCGCCAAAGTTTAAAACTGCGCAGGCGCACCGCTCTCGCTAAACTATATAAAGAGATTACCGGGTACACGATTCAGAGGTAAGCCAGGAAGGCGAACGATCTTCGTCTCGTGATGATTTCCCATATAATCGTAACCAGGGAAGCTTCACCATTGAAATTGAAAATTACTATTAGATATACTTTGTAGATGTTATTTATGAAGCTATTTAGTGTTTGCATCAATCAAATGGCTCATTTTGAACATATAAAAAGTATTTGTGTTTTGTTTCCCAGGGAATTGTATTGTATGTAGTACACACATAAATAGTGTACATTATACAGTACTTGAATAGCCTGGTTTACATAATATTGAAGGGCATGCTGATTACATGCACACGAGTACATGAATGAAGGCCTAATATTGATATACGTAGCTTGCATACCTAAATAAAAAATAAACTCTTCTAATCCCCTAATGTAAACACGGCGGTATACGTAGCCCGATTTATCGGGGACTTTAAGACAGGAATCCTATCGACACCCGTTTTAAAACTGGCCAATTACCCAAATGCGAGTAAGTAGTTACCAGTTTCACCACCAGGTGGCTGATTCGGGTCAATTAACATGGCAGGTATATAAGAAAGTTCCCTTAAACTTGAATATTATCAATTTAAGTGGCTCAATTTTCATATAACCCTTATGTGTCTGATACTTATACAAATGAAAATATGTCCAGTAAAGCAAAATATTATCTGTCCACTAAAAAAGATATTTCATTTTTGTGATTTTATAGCATGGGATCTATGGGGAATCTCCCCGAGCTAGAAGTCACATTTTCAAAGAAAATTAATTTTTCAAAGTTGATAAACACTTATTTCTAGATGTAATTTTACATGTGGATTTCAAATATGATATTACTTTGACTGAATTTTGAATGACGTAAATCAAGATAATTTCTACTCGCATCTGGGTTATTGTTGAGTGATTGCAATAGCTCACCATGTGAGCTAAAAAATTAAAGAAGCTTCAATCAATAACTACAAATGATTCTTCCTGTTCCAACCAATCTGGCCTCAAATAACATTAACTAATTATATCTTATTCACAAGTGCTCATTTATTAGGTGGTTTAGATTTACAATTTATATCAGAATGTCTATTGTATTTTGGCAAGTAATCTTGTTGCCATAGGAACCAGCCTAATATGAGGGAGGGTTGAGTTTAATCTTCATCGTCATCTCCAGCATCATCACCTCCCTTGTTTCCCTTCTTCATGTTCTTCCTCTTTACACGTCCTGAAAACAGAAAGAACGGGTTACAACATGCAGTTTCATGAAGATGCTGTTGCTCAGGTATTTTTGATTAACTAATTTTTTTTGAAGATGCACACTTGATTCCATTCTTCTAATAACAAAGCAAATCATTGGTACAGGGAGACCAAAATAACAGAACCCGCAAATCTGTTCTGCTGAATAAATGGCTCTGATCTTTTGGGATCACCATGTATTGTACATCTGAGAATTACTGGTTGGTAGCATGATGAAACTGGACTTAGTCTCATGTAAATCAGAATTAACAATACATTATGCAGACTAACAACTCCCAAGTCTTGTTGATTTCAACAGCCTATGGACATGATAAACATAAGCATGTAAAGGAAGAATAATCAAGTTTTGTATGCAATGTTTCCACTCTTACAGTCACAATTTCAATACTGCAAGAAGGATTAATTACATTTAATGTAGCACCAAAGCGAAACACTAACAGATACAAATCAGATCTATAATGCATTAGAAGGTGCAGTCCGTAACGTCAATCATGTAATGAGAAATCATTTACTATTAAAAAAGTTGTTGATTTTCTTTCTCAGAGTTATTTTTCTTTTGACGTTTCGTAGGATGTCCATCCTACTTCTTCAGAGATAAAATCGTCTTGTTACGTCTGGTTACAGTTAAAAAACGACTTCAGAATGAATGTCAAAACAAAGCGATCCTATATTTATGGTGTACACGGGGAAGAGTGGTGAAGTAATGCCTTATGATTGGTTGATTTCCCCAAATGGCCAAAATATCAATGATCGATTTGACTTGACCAATCACAGGTCTGTTTTCACACGATTACTTTCTTAGCGCAGGTGTCATAATTCATGAGTCCCACGAATTGAAATGTTGTAAACTTCTGACCCTCTAAGGCCAAAGTAATATATTTTGTAATATAAGGCCAGAGTAAAAAGTAGGTTTTATTTATATTCTCCGATTATGGTAACTACCATATATCAAGAGGTTTTAAGGCAAATGGTCCAAAAATGGATTCTGCCAGAGATGGACAAATCAACTAAAATGGCTAAAAAAAATGGATAAATTTTTTTTATAAGTCCTATATTGATGTTGAACAAAATTAACTTAAAACAGGAATCCAATCAACACCTGTTTTAAAACTGGCCAATTGTTGAGTGATTGCAATAGCGCACCATGTGAGCTAAAAAAAATTAAAGAAGCTTTAATCGATAACTACAAATGATTCTTTCGATGGGATAGTAATACATCATGCAAACTAAACAAATTGAAACCTCCAACAACTCCTGGGTCTTGTTGATTTCAACAGCCTTTGGACATGATAAACATAGGCATGAAAAGGAAGAATAATCAAGTTTTGTATGCAATGTTTCCACTCTTACAGTCACAATTTCAATACTGCAAGAAGGATTAATTACATTTAATGTAGCACCAAAGCGAAACATTAACAGATACAAATCAGATCTATAATGCATTAGAAGGTGCTCATCGATCATGTAATGAGAAATCATTTGTTTCCACATGACAAACATATCATACCTGGTCGGCCTCCAACAATTGGTGAGGTCATTGTGAAGTCAATGTGCTTCTGGGAGTCCAATCTTACAACAAATGATGGTATGTTCACCACCTGCTTGCGCACACTGAAAATAATTCACATCTTGTTTAAATGGTGAGTTTTCCATTGAACGACTGTAAGTAATCATGTCTTATGAAGTTTTACTGAGGCCTGATACAATAACTTCCCAATCAACATTCTATACTACAAGTTGATCAGCAAACTAAGTAGAATACAGATACAAATCAGAGCTATAATGCTTTAAAAGGTCCCCTTATATGTTATTTATTTATTTCAATACAAGATGATAACATTTTGCATGCATGTCTAATTTTTACCTGCAGGCAGCATTCAATTGATGATAATAGACATAGGGGATAACCCTAGTGGCCTATTTGAACTAATAACTCTCAGATAGAGCTTGCTTTTTGATAGACATGGGGCAAAGCCCTAGTGGCCTATATGATAAACATTTACAATGGTCATCCAATAGACATAGGACTACTGTCCAAGTGGCCTATTTGACAAGATATCTCAAGGTGCCTGTGATTTGCCTTCATTTCCCTGTACACTGTAGAGCAACAAGAATCGGCAAATCATAAACTATCCTCATATAAATACATGTTATTAAAGCTATGATAATTTGAATATTTCCTACATGTATTTTCATATTAAAACATGTAACACTTAAAATTAAGCTTTTACTATATATTAAACTGGTATTTTAATGCATTTCTTCCTAAATACTCACCGGATATGTCTTTGTCTGATGAGGACACGAGCATGGTGAATACTTTTGGCAAGCCCAAGCTTGAAGACCTGTGTCTGCAGACGACGTTCCAAGAAATCTTCCAATCTCAGACCAAGTACGTAATCAAGCTTCATCTTTCCCTCATCAAGTACTCCAATACGTACAAGACGACGTAGAAGAGCATTTCCTAAAAGTGAATAATCATAATTTACAGATTATTATCATTACACATGGTAATTGGAAACAAAATGGTGTATTTGATTATTAACACAAGAGCAACAGACAATACCATACATCAAAGGTGAAGGAATGGTGGCATTGAGAATCTGTACATACCTTCAAACAGCCTACGTGGATCTTTCTCTTCAAGGGTAAGCAATTCTCTGGCAGCTTTACGTATTTTAGCGAGGGCATATTTGATTCGCCAAACTTCACGTTTGTTACGAAGACCATACTCTCCAATCAGTTTCAACTCCTGATCGAGACGTTCCTTCTCGAACGAGCGTCGTGTAGGTCTTGCCCATCACAAGTGGGATTCGCGGCATCTTGGCTTTTTAGTGTTGCACTGAAAAATACAAGATAAGATGAACTAAACCTGAGGCCTCATTATCCGGTCGACGCACCGCAAATCGCAATCGCAACGTAAATATTTAGCGAATCGTACGCAAAACGATATTATGAGGTCATCTCAAAGGCACTCTAGCGCAAATTCATTGCCGTTTTGCGTCTTTAGCGCAAATCGCAGTTTTCTTATTACACGGTAGACGCATCGCTATTTTCATTTCGCATCGCAAATACACTGCTAATCGCACGCAAATTGGTATTATGCAGTCATCGCACAGTTGCGTCCACGTAAATCAGTTGATTTTTATGTCGCAAACTCCACTTTATTTGCGGCATCCCTGACCCTGCCGCAATATAAATCGCAAACATATCATCAAGAATCTTGATAGTTTTCCTATTTAAATTAACATTATCGTTGTAGAAATCTAGGAAGTGCCCTTTGAGACATCCAACTAAAAATAGGTTGAAAAACATTAGAGACACAAATAACCAAAACTTATCAAAATCAAGTCTGAAAGTGCACGATTATGCTACCTTGGTTTTGTGAAATCTATAATAAATATCGCAATTCCATTTCGCAAATATCGTCTGCTAGAATTAAAATATTAGGGTTCGATCAAGCTAGAAAATGTGGCGCATATTATTCCAAGATGTTCACAATAGAAGAGGTTTACGCTTATTCAGAGACAGGAGTCAGCCGTTAGAGATGACTGACGATGAGATATTAAACAGATATCGCATGCCGAGGCCACTCATTCTTGAGTTGATTAATATATTAGATGGGGATCTAGCGTCAAGAACAAGGAATCCTCAGGCAATTCCATGTCAGCTAAAAGTATTCATTTCATTACGATTTTATGCTACAGGTTGTATGCAAATGATAAATGGAGATATATTCGGGGTATCCCAACCTACTGTTTCGAACATTGTTGCTGAGGTATCGGCGGTTTTCTCTAGGTAGGCTATATCAGTCGGACTAATTACAAAGACACCGTGTCTTGTTTTCAAGATGGGCTACCTTCCAGTGACAGATCTATATTTTCGCAAGATATATATAGGTTATGTAGTGGGAGGGCTTCAATATGGGTTTTATTATGATGGACAATATGATATTTACCGAGAGCCCGGAGGGTCAGAGGGAAATACCAAATTGTCCCTCACAATATGTGAAATATCAAATTGTCATGAGGAATAAACCCATATTTAATCCCGACCAGTAAATTAGCTTTTTATTCCATGATATTCATAACTGTCTTCATAAAATCATTAGTTAGATTTTTCTATGAAAAAATGGTATATTTAATCAAGAAAATATGACTTAGCTTTATGATCTTTTTAAATATAAAAAAATTATTGTACATGTGTAACATAAACACATCAACATCAAAACATTCAGCAATACGTAAGCATTTTTGTCTGTGTCAGAGCGATGATGATAAAACTGGAATTCGTTTTTCACATAAGAACATCATTTTAGCATGCTATATCGACCCAACTGATTGAAAGTTTGGCAAAAATTTTCAATACGATTTTTTCTCAATATCAAAAATATTCCCGGTTATTCATCGGGAATTAGTAGTATCATGGGATAAATAGAGATTATCCTATATGAGGTTCAGGATATTGAACTATAGGATGATCTGTTTATCCCATACCAATCTTGGTCATTTTGTTCACGCTGTTCAATTGGCCGGAGTTCCAGAAAATGTCCAACAAACCGTAAGAATTCATTAAGAATAGCCTGATTTTCAGATATTCATCCACATTTATTTAATCCCAATATCATGAACCGACTATGGGATGATCTGTTTATCCCATACCAATCTTGGTCATTTTGTTCACGCTGTTCAATTGGCCGGAGTTCAGAAAATGTCCAACTAACCGTAAGAATTCATTTAGAATAGCCTGATTTTCAGATATTCATCCACATTTATTTCTGAAATCCTTGTTTAACAGGGATACGCTCATTTCCTTCCTTCAAACAGATCGCGATTGTCTGCCTTTTCTCCATTAACGTTTACAGTAATTATGCGCATGTTACAAAAATGAACCAATATGCGAACGGCGATTATGACGTCAGCGGGCAGATATACTATATCTCCCCGCTCAGAGCGGGACGTATAGCTATATCTGACCGCTGATGAAAATATATAGAGGTTATTTAATGGGAGGTTTTTGATACAGGGTATATCTGAGGGAAATACAATATATCAACCCGAGGGACCGTAGGGACCGAGGACCCTGTATCAAAAATCAAGCATTTAATAACTGATTTATTCTATACTTAGTAGATTGTGAGGAATAATAGCAAAGTCCCCTGGCTCAGTATCTACTCCCTGAATTTATGACGTCGTAGATCTGCTGAGCGGGAGATATATATATCTCCCGCTCACGTCACATATCAGTTATATTCCCGCATGTTATATACCTATAACACTACTAAGTATGGAATAAAAGTTTTTACAAACTAGCTTTATGTACCTATAACACGTCCAAGTATGGGATAAATATTTTTACATCCTTGAGATTTAAATGGATAAAACTAATTATACCATACTTGGGCGTGTTTCAGCGTGTTTCTGACGGGCTAATATATTAAGTCAAGTATACACCAATGGGGAAAAAATCCCACTTGCCCCATTGAGTTCCAACTTTCCCATCGAATAACGACGGTGTTCCATGGGAACTTGATGACTTTGCCCCATTGAGTCCCCATCATGCCCAATCAAGCCCTACGGAGTCCCATCAAATCCCACCTTGGCCCATTGGAATACGTCGAATTTTGCCCCATCGAATCCCACCTGGTCCCACGCGGTACCTCATGTGACCTCATGGGACTCCATGAGGCAAGATGGGGCAAAATCAGAGTCCAATGAAGCCCCACGGACCTCATGGAGCAAAATCCCAATAGGTCTATTTTGAGCTCTAAGTTTAAATTTCCCGCGTTTCCAATTTATTTGCGATTAGCATACGGTTGCGTCTGCGTTGCGTCTGCGTGAAGCGCGTAATACGACGCAAACCATGATTTGCGCTTGCGAATAATGTTGATTCGCAAGCGCAACGCAAATCGCAACGCTAATTTAGCGCTGACCGGATAATGAGGGCTCTGGACTCCATCCTAATGGAAATGGACTTGTGTGGTCAGAAAAAGAATTAGACCCTACGGGAAAATTCATTACAAGTAGGTTAGGTCAGACTGCACTTTCCAACATTTTGATGACCATGTGCTTTTTCCAGATGATTGCAACTCATTCCAATCTTTCATTCTAGCAGAGATTAGGCCTTGACTAATAGGCTAATTGAGCGAAAAAAGTGAGCAGTCTTCTCTTCGAAATTGCAAAAAATTCTCATGCAGATGGGCCTTATCAAATCAGTTATACAACGTGGAGTTAGTTCCCATAGAAGAACAAACGGATGGGCAAAAAACAGATCTTATAACCAACTACTTATAACACATCATGATTGAAGACTAGGCCTAGATCTAATGCTAAATAGGCTAAATGAAAATGGCGGACGATGAGAACGGGATGAAAATCTATCTTGAACTTGCCTACATTTACCCTTCTAATCAAAAAGTGGAATGGTAAAATACAGTAGCAAAAACTATCAAAATATATGTTTGTCCTGCATAGAATGTATGATCTATGACCCTTACTATGCCCAACCTGGTAGGAAATAGGAAAGATATTGCGCTCACCGATTACACACGTGTTGGCCGAGTAAAATGGCGCATGGAAAAGAAAGAATGTAGGTCCGACCAAATCTCTACGCGATTTTCTGTTCATCTATGATATTGGTAATAATTGTTAGAATGGTTTTTCAACCGATTTTATATTATGTGGTATGGAAAAGGTATGGAAAATATACATCTATCTGTCTTTATATTGATTATACGTTCGAACTACATTCTATGTGCATCGAAATAGCGAACAAAATGTTCGGAAAAACTTCAAAAGTTTTCAAAACATTGACTACGTTACGACTCATTTGGAATCAACATAATTTCAGCATTAGTTGCAATTGATATATATGATTGAGTCCAATCAATAATCTGAGATGATAATTAGCCAATCGAAAACGAACTGAAACTGAATATCAGGCAATCGGAAGTTGCTTCTTTATTGTGCAACAAAATTTGGCGCCATTTTTGTTCTAAAATCGAAAAAGTTTTGTTTTTCCAACTTTTGTGATAATTCTAAGCGATTTGAGGAAAATGAGCTAAGGCAAGGGGATCCTGCGAAAGATAATGTAAGTTGAATAAACACACGATGTGCCTATTACTTCAAACCAGTATGATTTTCAAAAAGCGAGAGGTTCAGTTTTTTTGTTTCTCATGAATTTTGATCACAACACATGAATATTTCCTGTAGGCCTAGGCTACATGTATATTGGCCTAATGTTCTCATCTCATGATTCAATCTCAGTCTTACTCTCAGACTGAGTGACCCAGCCCTGTCAACCCTCACGCATTAGGCGTGATTGCAGTGCGTGAAATAAGGATTTTTTTAACCTAGTCATTTTGGCAGGCCAGCCAGATTTTAACCAGCCATATCATTTTTTCTCAGGCCAATTTTTTGCAGCCTGTTTCTTACTTCTCTGGCCAAAAATTTCATTTTCCATATTTCTCCACAACCACTCTAAAATGAGATTTAGTTTAGTACAATATTAACAAAGTAAAACTAATTCCATTGCATGTCATGTATCATTCACTATACTGTACTTGATGACTTAACCAACAGCCTGGGTGTGTTGATTCCCCCCTAGATTCACCTTACTTCCTGAGGAACATGTACATATTGATCAAACTAAATTGTACTGATTTTGGTCGGTTTAGAATTGCTCTCAGAAGCTTCAAGGTATTCAAAAACACATACTATGTACACAGACTCCACTAACAGACTAAAATTCAAGGTATATATTGGAGGTGTCACGGTCCAAATAAATTTCGGTACGGTACGGAACGGTACAAATGGTCTCGGGACACGATACTTTCGAGACAGGACGGGACAGAACATTAAAAATGATACAATGTCTGATGATGACAGTTTCACTTTCAGTTTCACTTTTCAAAATCATATTCAGAAATACGTCAATTAAAATCGAATATAAAGCATCTGCCGTGAATGTGATCGGCATTTCACATAGTCTGCATGGTGAACTATCACCAATTCGTTTACCTTGTGATATCGGAGTCCCAAAATACTTCCAAACTGCCGACTTTTTGGACTTAGATGCCGGCTCGATTTTTCAATTTCTTTTCTACATCCGGCATACTGATAATGCACTCGATTTGCGAACGACGATGAAGAAATGAGTCATCCATAGCCAATCAAAATCACCGTAATTTCAACAAACAACAACAACCAATCAAAAGTCACGTTATATCTTGGGCTTCAGTATGAAAACAAAAATATTTGAAATTTTTTTAAATCTTCAACAAAAGTCATGGAATAAGCCGAAATCCTGGGGAATTCGGAGGATTTCCGGACTGAAATGTAGGTTCTATTCATGGGCAATCTAACGAATGCCACAAATGTCTGGCAGGCCAAAATGTCTGGGTGTTTTTATCAAAACAAGCCATCTATAATTTTGTCAGGCCAATGGCCGATGTCGGACGTCTATTTCGCGCACTGTGATTGTCACGCATTTGCTGGAAAAGAATCAATTTAGCGTGTATGATCAAATATCATGCAAATCACACATTATGTTGATATTTTTAGAAAAAGTTTTTATTATGAAATGCTGATGCGGTAAAAATCCAAAATGGCGAATAAAAGCAAACGCATTCCGTTTGATCCTTGCACGCGATTGCCATTCATGTCACGCATTTGGTCCGAAATATGTGTATATACACTCATTCGTTTCAAAAATATTCACACATACACCCAATGTTACTGAAAACTAGACTGAACTGGCATTTGACATTTTTTTGTGTAAAAAAACGGGTGGCAGGGTAACCGGGTATTGTCCCGGATCGTAAAATTAAACTACCAGCGAAACGAAATTGTTGTCAAATAGATTGATAATTATTATCGCGATTACTCGGGATAAAAAGATCAATTTTGAGGATAACAGGTATCTTTGATTAATTTATATAGCGCGTATATACACGCAAAATAGTTATTAATTGCAAACCAACTGTTCGTTAATGCAGTGCCGTGATGACGGTTAATTCCTGAAACGATTTGCGATTTCGATGTTACCGAAACTGACCGACATTTTCGTCATATTCCAAACCTGTCTCCAATAATTTTGTAATTATGCATCAATAGGGTCTAAGGGGGATACGGGACGGGGTGTATGTGTTTGTTAGGTATATATGCATGCTTGAATCACATTCTTTGTGTAATATTGCCATGTTTTCAGGGTTCAATTAGTTCCGCTTGTCGAAACCTGCTGAACGATTAAATTAACGCATCAAAGGCAAAATGGCCATGGAGGTTAGACCTAGCCGGGCCATAACACATGTCAGATAAGAAACGAGGCCCGGGCTAGGTCTAATGTTGTTGGACTAGGTATTTAAGGTGCTATGGAAGTTAACAGGAAATGACAAAACAGGAAGTGACAAATTTTTTTGCATTTTTGGACATTTTTTGAACAAAGATAACAGAGTTCTGGTTTGACCTTCAGTCAATTTAACTAGTTCCAAATACCATTTACAGGACAAGCATCACAATGTTCATGGTCAGAATGACCCTAAACATGATGAAATAACCTTTTTAGCCCTTTGAAAATGTGACTGAAAAATAGCTAAAAGTAGGAGCGTAGGGAAGGTCACTGAACAGAATCTTTTGAATTTTTCAGAAAATATGCCCAATATATTGCTCTAAATAATACAATCTTTGAAAATTTGATATCATTCATAGAAAAAGAAAAAAAATGAAAAAACTGATTTGAAAAGCGATCTATTTTCCTTTTTATGACCGCCATTTTTGTTTAAGACAATTTTCTAAAATTTCAAAGATTGTATCAGTTCGAGCATTATATTGGGCACATTTTCTGAAAAATTCAAAAGATTCTGTTCAGTGACCTTCCCTACGCTCCTACTTTTAGCTTTTTTGCAGTCATACTTTCAAAGGGCTAAAAAGGTTATTTCATCATGTTTAGGGTCATTCTGACCATGCACATTGTGATCCTGGTCATGTAAATGATATGTGGCAATAGTAAATTGACTGGAGGTCAAACCAGAACTCTGTTATCTTTGTTCAAAAAATGTCCAAAAATGCAAAATTTTTTGTCACTTCCTGTTTCGTCATTTCCTGTTAACTTCCATAGCACCTTAACGTTCCGTGCAGGGTTCCCAACTTTCAAAGTTGCACATTTGTAGACTACCCTTCAATATTTTTACGTTATCATTTTACCAAGTACCTGTAAGAGACTGAATTTCGGAAGTCTTAGGTAGTTATTTACATAGTTTACACGTACTATGACGTTAGTTGCTTGATTTATTGTAACCTGATTGTTTTCTATGATGGCGATTTCTACTATAAATTAAACAAATCTGGAAGATTTACGTACGCGTAAATTGAAATACAACGTTAGTTGCTTGATTTATTGCCTCACTGATTGATTGGGGTCTCGAAAATTTTGAAATTTGGTTGTATTTGGAGTGATCTGATCATCTGACGCAATCTAAGACATTAATGATATAATTTGAAAGCAGAATTTTATTGATGGGAACTGAACTGTAAGAAATGACAGACAGTCTTAAAATCCGGAAATTACACTGAACGGAAATGTAGAGCATTAAAATTGTACTTCCGGTAAAGTTTTTTAATAAATTGCTTGAGAACCTGGATTTGAATCATTTACTGTGGGTATGACATTCTAGTGATTTGGTGAATTGAGTTAGGTCAGAATATTGATCTTCAAGACTACTCTCCTATAGCTAGATAAGATGGGACCAATTCTTCATTTTGCCTAAATCTATAGACAAAACTTCTATTCTGCTACTCGACAATTTCTGCCTTAGACATGAACTATTCTGAGCTAATAACACAGAATGAAATCATCTGCATGTAAGTGTATGAAAACTAGAGTTTAATTTTTATAGTTGTAGAGTGGGAGTCGAAACGTGTATACCTCTAAAGATGGATGAAACTGCTAATGTTGAGGAGTCTGACATACCTCAAAAGGACACTTCCCAGCGGAGCATAACAGACTTTTTTACATCCCCAAAGCAGAAGACACAAAAGCCAAAGTCAAGTACAATTGATGGATACTTCACTTCATTGTCAAAGAAAAAATTGAGGTCTGTATCTCTTAGGGCTAAAGACCAGCTAAAAATTATTGTCTGAAGAATTATCAAAACTCTCTTTTGCAAGATTCGTTTCAACTCAGGTGTATGCAAACTTACTTTACAACTGTTAGTATGATAAGTAGTTTAGAATTCTCTAGATCTTATTTGCAACTTAATTTACATGCATCATGGACAGTGTATATATGATAGTTAATTACATGTTGGTATTTGTGAATGTACAATACATTGTACATGTACTGAGTTGTATTGTATTTTGTGATTCATAAGTATTACTATTCAGATGACAAAGACGTTAGAATTTACAGTTCATATGTTTTGTAATACTGCATGTTTGACATTTCTAAAAACATCCAAAATGATGAATTTGCTTATTCATTTTCAGTACTGGGGATGATCTGGAAACTAAAGGCCAACAAAATCAGAGTGAAAAGGGGAAAAGTGAAACATTGAATAACAAATCTCTGAAAAAGAAAATAGAAGGACAAGATGGTATAACAACTGAAAGTGTTGTAAAAAAGAGTAAAACAAACTCAGATAAGAAGCCAAATAAAAGTAAAAAGGATAAAACTGACCAAGATGATGCCACTATCAAGAAAGAGGGTATTGATATCAAGAAAGATGATACCAAAACTAAGAAGGTTAAAGGGAAGGCAAACAAGTTGTCAACAAAACAAAAAAGGAAAGATGATATCAATGAGGAGAAACCAGTTAACAATCACTTGACTGATGACTCCAAGGCTGATGACAACACAAATATCGATAAAACCTTAGTAAATAAATCCAATGATCTAGATTTAACACATGATAAAAGTATGATTGAAATTATTGATATTCCAGATGTACTTGAAGATGATAGTATTAAGAAAAATGACATAACAAATAATTGTAGTACTGATGTTGGAGATACATCCATGGAAATGAGTTATGAGGAGTTTCTAAAGACTCCAACCAGAAAACCAAAAAATAAAAAGACTTTGGAAAAGACTGAACCTAGTGCTGATAATGATTGCAGAATGTTTGAAGAAAAGACTGGATCAGGTGACCAAAACTCGAAAAATTTCAAAAATGTAAAAACTGAAACAGGTTTCCGTTTGAAATCTGATACACAGTTAAACCTAGGGAATGCTAACCTCAAGGATCCATTAAATTATGGGGAGAGTGATCTTGATCCCGATTTGATAAGATTAATAGAAAAAGATGATCATAAAACTCCAAGCATTAAGAACTTCTTTAAAAAGGTCTCACAGAAACCAACTGAGAAAGTAGAATCTCGAAGTGGAACTCCCAATACAGTCACTACCAAAGCGGTTGTCCATACTTCACCAACAAACTCTCCAGAATCACGTCCCCAATCCCGAATGAGTTTGGATCGTCCTCTCAGCCCAGAATCAGTCCATTCAAATGTCTCAGTCGGGAGAAGCAAAATAGACTTGAGTATCACCCAGCTCGGGTCTGAGATAATTAACGCTGCTAATGTAAAAGATGAGGAAACAAGCCCATCGGGAAAGAAATTGATTGAAAATATGGATGATTACAATGAGGAGGAACTATCATGTGATGATCAAGTCCGTTTATTTAACAATAAATTCAATGGGGAAAACACTGAAGATGTCAAACCGAAGAAATTATCTGACTTTTTCACATGCGGAATAAATAAAGATGTGAAACCAAAAGTAGAGGAAATTGAGAAAGTGACAGCACCAAGTAAAACTAAGCAAGCAACATTAGGATTCAGAAAAGATGGTGGATTTGAAGTAAAGAAAGCAGAAACAACAAAACTGAAAAAGAAAACTGACAATTCAGACAGATCTGAAAAGGATACTATAGAAAATAAACCAAAGAAAAGAGGAAGGCCAAAGAAAATCAAAGAAGAAAACTCAGGTAGTGAAGTGTCCAAAAGTAAAGAAAATATTGAGACTGAAAAACCTCAAATATCAGGCAAACGGAAATCAAAACGGATACTTGAGAAGGAAAGTGAAAGTAGCCAAGAAAGGAGTGACATTGAGGAGTTCAGTACACTATCTAAGAGTAAAAAGAGACGGAAAACATACAAGATGTGTTACATAGATGACCCCAACAGGACACCTCTTAGAGTGAGAATTTCCAGGTAAGTTTTGAAACTGATTCATAACCTTTAGTTTTGAGACGTGTATATACCAGTGATCTCCCCAGCATTAAAGCAAGTGGGCGCAGCACCCACCTGAGATTTTAAAAAAAAGGCTTGCACCCACCTGAAAATCCATTTGCACCCACTTGAAAATGAGAAAAAATCATGAAAAATGGGCATATTTTGACTGATTTCGGTCTGAATTTTGCACCCACTTGAGGAAAAATCCTGGGGAAAACACTGTGTACATATACGAGAAATGCACTGTAAACTGAAAATGAAATACACTCCAGTCTCTGGTAGTGATGGGGTAAGACTTGTAGGAGTGCGAGTATGCACTTTAGCATAATTTTATTTGTTTCGGAAAACCTTTACAGCTGGATAATTTATATCCTCCTCTTGAGACTTCAACCTTATATTTTACATATTATTAGAAGAATAAGTCCTGTCTTTGATAACACAGTTACCTGCAATTTAAAAAGGTAACTGACAAATACCTTTTAAAATGTTTGACTAATATGTTTATTCAAAAGTACTCTTTACCTTACTGATACGTGATAATCTAATATCGATCCTTCCAAAAGTCATTCCTATTGACCAACATAGTGACCAGAATCACTGAATCCCAAATTCTGTGAATGTATTCCAGGCTTAACAAGAGCTCGTCTCAAGATGAGGCTGATGCTAAACCAGTACAACAAACCAGTCAACAAAAGAAAGCTAACAAACTGCTACAGAAGGCAAAGTCAAGCAAGCAGAGCAAGTTAAAAGTGAAGCACACATCAAAAAATAAGAAGTAAGGAGTTTCATTGTCTTATTGCATATGAATGCTCAGTGTACTTGACTTGTGAAATCGTTCTTTTATTTAACCACTGTGTATTCTTGTCTATGTCTATGTCAATAATCTGCAAAAGGCTAATAAGCCCATATAAAGCAGATATATAATTTAACAGTGATACAATTTGAATAGAATATAATTTAAAACCTTAACATTTAAAAATAGATCTATGGTTTACAACTCATTTTAAAATTTAAACTAAAGGAACCTTCCTGTTTGGCGCCTGTACCCCCCTAGGAAGTCCCTTAATGTTGAAATACCATTGACATCACCCCTCTTTACCAGTAGTGTAGGCTTGTTGATGTGCACTGAGGACCATTTACATTAAAACATAGATCTATATTAAAAACACTTAAAAACACTTGCACACAAGAAATAAGAATTATTCAATGTGGAATTAGAGTTTCATCTGTCTTTTCATCACTTTTCCTGCTACTGTTGCTCTCCAAACAAGTGATTGTCATGTTTCTTAAGTTGCATATGTTTAAATAAAACATGGCTATAATTCATAATACATTACGTAGAATTTCATAGTTATATTTCAATGATCAGATGACTGAATTATGCACATACAGTACATGTAGTAGTAAAAGTAGTAAAATAGTATATTAACATTACATTACATACATTGCATACATTTAAAACTCTCCAAGTTTTAGACCTGGAATTTTATATTATTGCTATTTCGGCTGTTATTTATATAAAATAAAAACAATTGAAATCCCCAACTAAAACGCATTCCATATTTTAGGACTAAGGTGGAGAAAGAGGGAAAATCATCTAAATCTCAAAGAAAATCTGTAAAAACTGACATACCTCCTAATGTTCCACGAACTCCAAAACACAAGAAAGCTAATCCCAATTCTAGTACACCCAAGAGCTCTTCCAAGATGACAGCCAAAAGATCTACCCCTGCAAAGAAAGGTATGTAAAAGTAATTCAAAATTGTATGCCGATGCAACGCAGATAGAACAGTGTGGGTCATATCCACTTGACAGTAGCCCCAGGCGGATGTAAATATTTAAAATTGAAGTGCTTTGCCACATTGTCGAACATGAAACATGAAATTCGCCATTGTTGAATATTATCTAGAACAAAGTCAATTTTTAGTACTTTCAGAAACATATTACTTTCTTTTTAAAGATTTTTATTCACAAAGAAACTGGGAGTATTCATTTTGTCAATGGCAACACTTTGGTGAGTGTAATATTTCATTGGCGAGTGTGAAAACCCCCGGTGAGTGACAGAAAATCCTTGGACCCACACTGTAGGAACATGATATGTTGATTGACAGTTCTTAAGAATCTGAGAAAATAATTGGAGAAAATATATATAGACTTCTTCATACCAAGAAGATGGGGTTCGGCATCTGTAACAAATGGTAGGTGGTGACATTTTGCATGTTAATGCCTTACTTGTTACAACTTGTCAAAACTGGCATATAGCTGTTAAGATAACTAAGTTTATCATAACACATGTTTTGTGATTTTAGGAGTCAAGCTAGCTTCTATATTTTTGAAGAAGCCAAAAACTTCCCCAACGACAAATGAACTTCTCCAAATAGTTGACCCAGAAGTTGTGAAAGAGCGTCAAGCATTTCTGTTGAGTGGGGTGCCCGAGGAAATCAAGAAACAGCAAACAAGCAGTACTGTAATATCCACCACAGAGTTCCAGGCTTTTTCGATGGTTGACCATATTCAACAACGTCCCCTAGAAGGAGACTCATTATGGGATCTTTCAAGTCCAAGGCTTAATCTTAAAGCTGTCGAAGATACTAAAATCCAACCTAGTAAGACTCTCACCAAGGGGCATGTCAGCCTATCATGTTGCGATGATAATAGAGATTGCAGAGTTAACATTGTGAGTGCAAAATTTAATATATTCCGCTTTTTCAATTTATAGTGTACAATGACCATAGCCAGACAGGTATGCAAGGCAACTACCTCTAACATTTCACACAATGAACAAATTCCATTGATCGCAATATATCGTTCAAATTTTTGCCTGATCTATTGACTCTAGCCTCACAATAAAAAATGTAATATTGTAAAACCTCATATTTTCCAGAACTTTTGTGAACACCCGGCTATATCAGACAGTACCAGAGATGTGCTTTTAAGTGAAATAAAGCGTAGACAACCAGACTTACCTGTTAAACGACTTTACAAACTTTTCACTAGTAGATACAAGCAGAATGAGGACTTTGGGAATTGCAACAACACGGAGGGTAAGTTCCTTTAAATAATAAAAAGCTCAGAACAGCCTCCCTCAAAGTGGCTCAAATTGTAACAGTCTGCCATTTTCACTGACTTTGAAACGTATACCTTCTTTTCCGTAAAAAAAATTGAAGATGTGTATTCTCATTTTTGACTTGCATGGATAGCTAGCTTATGAAATCTCCCATTTGTTTCTCTCCATCTGTCTGTCAACTATATAAAAACAAATGAAAATTGCCGAACTAATGAATGCTCATCTCCGTTTTTTGGGGCTTTGCTGGTAATATACACCATTTGTCTGTGCTCCTTCTTTTGCCTCATTTTGGATGAATCCGCTTCTTTGTCATCAGAATATCACATTTTTATGTCACCACCAAAAGTGCTGACATATTGCTATGGTTTCCATTTTTTGTGATGGCGGTTGGCATCTGGCATTCGTTGTCTGTAACAAATGGCAGGTGGTGATGTAATGTTGATGCCTTGTTCCCAATATACAAGTCTATCAGTTTAGTTAAGTTTTATTGTTATTGTTACTTACAGTGGTAAGTTTAGATCAGTTAATTCAGTACAGTACAAAAGAAAAGTAATAAAATAACAGCCCAGCCCACTTAAACCAACCACTTAAAGTAGATACTTGTTTATAAATATTACATCTTTTGACACAAGTATAATTCATTTAATATTATAGATTGCATTTCTTCTTTTAAAATAGCAAACAAAATGATTAACAAAATGATTATATAGTCATACAGATATTATATGTTGCAATTGTTTGCATTTTGACCTGCTTTTGCAACTAACATACAATTTGACCTAAAATTACTGCAGTTTGAAAAAGTTCTCTATCTAACCATCTTTTGCTTCTGAGCATGCATGTGGAAGTGGATGAATATGCGGGCAGGCGAATGTCAGTAAATCTTAAAGGCAGAAAAGTGCTAAGATATGATTAGGTTTTGGGTGCTGGCTAAATGATATGGCAGTCATTTGAATTCCTCTATAAATCAACCATTTTGCATTTTAGTAAATTGAGTGCGATACTTATTACTGTATGTGTTTTGTTCATTTTAATTACTATGAGTAAATTATATAATAAGATATCTCTCATTTTAACAAAAGTTTTGGTTTAATACACAAGTACTAAATGGAAGCAAATATCTAACTGGTTGCCAAAGACAGGTAGCTATCTTAGCACTTAGCAAATAATGTTTGCCAGATAGGCAGTCAAAAGTTTATATTATTTATTTGCTGGCGCACTTTGCAGCATTCTCAATTGTTTTTGTATCAAGTCCCATAAGGCTGACTCCTCCATCTTGTATAATGTTAGCACCATTCATCATAGATGCATCATCTGACGCCAGATATGCAATAAGCTTCGCAGTCTCCTCAGGTGTACCAGTTTTCTTTAACGGGGTACAGCGTGTGAAACATTTATAAAATTCATCTTGCTCTTTCTTCGTGTTAACCATTCCAACTTTGAGGGCACTATCTGTGGCAACTATCCCAGGGCATACTGCATTCACTCTGACTCCTTCAAAACCATATTCTATTCCCGCACATTGGGTAAACTGATTCAGTGCTGCTTTTGAAACAGCAAGCATAGCAAATCCCAACAAAAAAGGTCTTGCTCCTGCAACACCTGATACATTGACAATTGTTCCTTCGTTTTTCTTAAGCTCTGGGAAACATTTCTGCGACAGAAATAAAGGCGCTTTAAGATTAACATTAATCTGTTTGTCAAATTGTTCCTCTGTGACATTCTCAAATGAGCAGGCCTCGACTGTATAGGCATTGTTCACTAGAACATCAATGCGCCCAAATGCCTCCATAGCTGTGTCATATAATCGCTGTATCAATGTCTTGTCAGTGTTAAAGTCTCCCTGAACAATAGGAAACTTGGCAGTCTGTGCACCAACTTCCCTGCATTCTTGAACAGTCTGTTCCAGTGTTTTCATGTCCCTGCCATGTATGACAACACTGGCTCCTTCTTTAGCCATCAACAGGGCAGTGGCCTTCCCAATACCACTGTTTGAACCAGTAATGATAACTCCTTTGCCAGAAAATCTCATTTTGACATTAATCTTCAGTGTACAGCAAAATGTAATGTAATGTAATACAGGCCTAGTGGATGATAATGTAGTTTTTGCTTGTTGAATTAGAAAATGGTCAGGTCGCCTTAACCTTCATCTTATGCACTCACCTATACCTTTTGCTATTAATCATAACTGTTTCAAAATATAACCTTTGTTCATGTTTTTGTGTTTCTTTTATGTATTGCCTTTACAATGTAGAAAAAGACCTAACAAGGCACATTACATGAATGAAATAAACCACCAAACAGACACACAAGGTATTAATATGACAAAATGACACTAACTGGTTGGACACATTCTTTTCAACTACATGTATATAAAAAGCTTAGAGGCTATGACAGTGTGTCACAGCTTTTGGTGTTTTTCTCCATATTTTCCTGACTATGGCAACCTTGCCATATATGGAATCGCAATAATTAGCTGCTTGTGGACTGCTAAAATCAGCTCTTGAACTTTGAAAATCCAATGCACTGTTTTCGTGGAATCACGAAGTAAAGGGCAAAATGGTCACCATGTTATTCACCCAGAATGCCAAAGACTTAATCAGATCTTGACAATAAACTGCACTTGCATCTGCAAAAATTTCAAGTTGAACGGAATTTATTACGTTTTATGAAAAAAGTTAAATGGCATATTTATCAAAGAATTCAAAATGGCCAACACATAATTTATTTAGCCAGCATACTCGAAACTAATCAGATTTTAGTGCTAGTCTTCTCTTGCATCTGTAAAATGTTGATGGCAAGAATTGATTCATGTGGCGCGTCCTGCCCACACACCCATCATTACATGACAAACTTCAAAATATAGATTTTTCAAAAGGAACAAATCATGGGAACATGTTAGTCACACAATCAATGTTAATACCTCATCTTCATCTTGGTGGAAAAACACTGAGACTAAAAGTAAATAAATCATATGATTTAGAAAGATTTGCCATTTGAGCTTTCTATCGTTTTAAATGGAAGGTGGAGCTCTTAACAATTCATTAAAAATATCACGTTGGAAAGTAAGTGATATGTAAGTGATACTTTGCTAAAGAACACTAAATAGTATCCATAGAGTCACCTTAAATATATATTTATTTTGCTTATTGAAATAAGATCATTGAAATCAATAATGAAGAAGTTTGGGCCTAAAATTGAACCCTTGAGTACACCATGTCTAACCACGTGTTAAACTGAATATGTTGATCTTAGTAATTAATTTTTTCTGTTATTAAGAGTTTTTGAACAAGCTCACAAGCTCTCCATCTAAATCTATATTGATTCAATTTTTTGCTCAATTTAGTGCTTTGTTGAGATCTAAAAGTAGAGATGCTAAATTGCTTCATATCTTTCATATGGCTTTTCATGAAGCTGGATATCTGTTTGTCAAATGATAATTGTTTACTTCATAGTCATGGAGAATTACTGAGTTATGAAAAACATACAGTTTTAGAAGCTGCGGAATAATATATGGAATTTTATAAAGATGGCAGCCCATGTTCGTACATTTGTAGTTGCTGTATAAACATTAATGGCACTTAATCAATCAAACATGGCTGTTATGTCTTGTGAACTCCCTCCCCATATGCATTCATATCAAGTAGTAGAAGATTGTTAATGATATTATTTCTTTTAAAATAAACAACGAAATAAAAATGATGGGATGAATTTAATGTTTTCTGGGTGATTTACAATTTTCTTAGTTGTAAACATGCACTTCTCATTTCAAAAGTTTTTTCTGGTTAGATGTGGTGAGCACGTTTGATGGAACAGCTAATATCGTTATTATCAGCAGCTGTTTAAGTCAGTGTGAGTAATATTCAGAAAAGACGGGGAGACCTTTAAAAAAAATTCTTATTTTTGGTATAATAAATCAAATATAGAATGTATCAAAATGTTATTTAAAATTTAAATATACAGAAATCTAATAGCAATATTTTGATACCAAACTTGGTTTATTCAATAATTTCTCCATTTTGCTGGAGTGGTTAGTGTATATATAGAATCCTAATATTGTTAAACGTGCTTTTCAATAATTCAGTTTGTATTTAATCAAAGGCCTTTCAATGTTCAGGCATACTTACCTGGCACAGGGGATACCGTGATCATCGAGGCGGTTCCCCCAGTGTGAGGCCTGTCCATTGCACTTCGGGCGGGCTGACCGCTGCGATAACCCCAAATGTGGGTTACTCGGGTGCGTAATTTCTGATAGTGGGGGACTGCGTTCGCGCTTTCCCCTGAAAAACTAATGTTAATCTCCTTCCTCCCTCTTTTCACTCTACTTCAATCTAGGGTCCACCTCCTTGATGATTGAGGAGTTCCCCACCGATTCAAATCAATGTTCACAATTTTCTCAGGTTAGTTGAAATCATATGTTGTTCTGTTGTTTTAGGGAACTTAGCAACTGTTTCCATGTCAATTTTTCCATGCTTATATATGCTCTGCTGGTATTAATTTTGCCTGATAAAAAAGATATTAGGAATAGGAAAGTAAAATATTAGTTTATTTTCTTTATATAATGTTTTTTATTGAGTTTCTAAAAACAACCAATCTGGGCTGGCCCAAAGAAGCTTGACCCACCCCTAACTCAATAAATAAACATGTCATGAACTGTCATGACTTCGGCTAGCTTCAAGTTAGCACTGTTGTTTACTAGTGTAGTATGTTTTTTTTAGATTTAGAGATGCTTTGAGAATTAAGACCTTATTTAAATTGTAAACTGTCAAACACTATTATATTATAAGATACCTTTTGTTTATCGTTATGTCACCACCAAAAGTGGTGACATATTGTTATGGTCTCCGTTTTTTTTGCGACGGCGGTTGGTGGTTGGCGGTTGGTGGTTGGAGGTTGGCGTCCGGCGTCCGGCGTCTGTAACAATTTCTTACAACTTCCTATAACTTAACAAATACTGTTTAGACTGACTTCAATTTTTTTCTAAATCATCTACATGTTCTCAGAAGTTCAAATCTGACTTTAGATTTGACATTTGACCTTCAATGACCTTCTCAAGGTCAAAAAGGTCTTTTTTCAACTTGCTTCACATTGACTAAATTTTTTTTCAAAATCATCTACATGTTCTCAGAAATTCAAATCTGACTTTAGATTTGACTTTAGATTTGACATTTGACCTTCAAATCTGACTTTAGATTTGACATTTGACCTTCAATGACCTTCTCAAGGTCAAAAAAGGTCAAATAGGTCTGTTTTCAACTTGCTTCAAATTGACTAAATTTTTTTTTCAAAATCATCTACGTGTTCTCAGAAATTCAAATCTGACTTAAGATTTGACATTTGACCTTCTCAAGGTCAAAAAAGGTCAAAAAGGTCTGTTTTCAACTTGCTTCAAATTGACTAAAAAAAAATTTCAAAATCATCTAAGTGTTCTCAGAAATTCAAATCTGACTTTAGATTTGACTTAAGATTTGACATTTGACCTTCAATGACCTTTTCAAAGTCAAAAAAGGTCAAAAAGGTCTTTTTTCAACTTGCTTCAAATTGACTAAATTTTTTTTTCAAAATCATCTACATGTTCTCAGAAATTCAAATCTGACTTTAAATTTGACATTTGACCTTCAATGACCTTCTCAAAGTCAAAAAAGGTCAAAAAGGTCTTTTTTCAACTTGCTCCAAATTGACTAAATTTTTTTTTTCAAAATCATCTACATGTTCTCAGAAATTCAAATCTGACTTTAGATTTGACATTTGACCTTCAATGACCTTCTCAAAGTCAAAAAAGGTCAAAAAGGTCTTTTTTCAACTTGCTTCAAATTGACTAAATTTATTTTTCAAAATCATCTACATGTTCTCAGAAATTCAAATCTGACTTTAGATTTGACATTTGACCTTCAATGACCTTCTCAATGTCAAAAAAGGTCAAAAAGGTCTTTTTTCATCTTGCTTCAAATTGACTAAATTTTTTTTTCAAAATCATCTACATGTTCTCAGAAATTCAAATCTGACTTTAGATTTGACATTTGACCTTCAATGACCTTCTCAAGGTCAAAAAAGGTCAAAAAGGTCTTTTTCAACTTGCTTCAAATTGACTAATTTTTTTTTCAAAATCATCTTCATGTTCTCAGAAATTCAAATCTGACTTTAGATTTGACATTTGACCTTTAATGACCTTCTCAAGGTCAAAAAAGGTCAAAAAGGTCTATTTTCAACTTGCTTCAAATTGACCAAATTTTTTTTTCAAAATCATCTACATCTTTTCAGAAGTTCAAATTTGACTTTACAAGTTCTCAGAAGTTCAAATCTGGCTTTAGATTTGACCTTTGACCTTCAATGACCTTCTCAAGGTCAAAAGGTATTTTCCAACTTGCTTTAAATTGACCAAATTGTTTTAGGTGGTGACATTTTGTCATGTTAATGCCTTGTTTTATCTTGAAATGCTTTGAGGATTAAGATCTGATTGATGTTAATTGTCAAAAACTATTATTATTAAACACTTATTTATATTGAAATGCTTTGAGGATTAAGATCTGATTGATGTTAACTGTTGAGAACTTTTATTTTAAAACACCTTTTGTTTATTGTTGTACCTAGAAGTTTGATGCTAACTGTAACATACTATTATGTGGACAGTGTTGAGCATCTGGCGGTCGGTGATTGGCATTCAGAGTTTGGTGTCTGTGACATTTTGTATGTTAATGCCTTGTTTTTTTGTAATTTTATCATAACATCTGAGATTGCCATATACATTTAACAACTGGTGTTATTGTAAAGTCTAAATGTGTCGAGAATGAGTCATGGAAAATTCAAATCAAGTTTAGAACCAACAGATGCTTCTATTTATCCCATACTTGGATGTGTTACAGGTACATAAAGCCGGTTTGTAAAAACTTTTATCCCATACTTGGATGTGTTACAGGTACATAAAGCCGGTTTGTAAAAACTTTTATCCCATACTTGGACGTGTTACAGGTACATAAAGCCAGTTTGTAAAAACTTATATTTTCGTGCAAAAATATTAATTATATTAGCCTCGGGATAATCCCAATATCCTGAACCTCATATAGGATAATCTCTATATATTTTCATTAGCGGGCAGATATAGCTTTACGATTATCCCTTGGCCAATACAATATATCTAGCCTCGGGATCTACGGCCCTTGGGCAGATATATTATATTAGCCTCGGGATAATCCTAATATCCTGAACCTCGTATAGGATAATCTCTATATATATAATTTATGTATATAAATGTATACTACATGTATGCAGTAAAAATGACAGCCCATACAAATTGACTGCTGTTTTAACCCCAGAGTTCCATGAAATAGTTCACAGCAACAATAATTTACAAACTTTCAACACTAATTTACAGCAATAATAATTACAACGCTTTATAGATTAGTATGAAAATTTATTACCAAATTCCAAAGTGTATACATGCATTTAGCTGAACCACCAATAAAAAGTTACAACACCTCAAAATTAGTGAATTTTTTTCCCAAAGTGCAAAAGGTCTAATTTTGGGGTGGGGGAGAAGGGAGCGTCGTGAGGCGCATTCAGATAACCCACCCCGGGCGGACCTCATATTTAAAAGATCAGCCTTACCCTTATATATACAGCTTTACATTTCAACTGATTATATGGTGTTCAGATCGTCAAATATGCAAATAGCTTATCTCTCATCACGTGATGAACGTCCTTATCAATTTTAATAATTAACTTGTCAACCTGGTCAATTAATTAATTTACTTACCACTCCTCACATTGATTCAATATTCAACTGAAATATATAGAGGTTATTTAATGGGAGGGATGGAATATGAAAGCAAAATATGATAATGGCCAAAGAAAATATCACGTTGACCGAGGGCTATTATACCGGAGTGTCAATATAATATTATCTGAAAACATGTTTTAATGGAATGATTTAATATATTTAAGATATTTGTATGGAATTGTGCATTTTTTAGAATTTTGGTGAACATATGATGAAATTAACATCCAATTTATAGCCTATTTGCAACTTTGTAACTCATTTGTTATTGCTAAATTCATTGTTTTAAAAGAAAGATATTTACAATGCTCTGAAGAGTATATGAATTTCATGCTTGTCTTACACAGGCTGATTTTCCTCACACCCTTGGGTGCTATATTGTCAGAAATTGATGAGCGAGCTGACGATGGGTTTATCATTTTTTGTCTGTTCGTTTCCAGATAAATTATTTGATAAATTGATTTGATTGAAATTTTCAGGAATGCTTCTTTTCGTATGAAAATTTAGAACTTAGTTGATAAACTCCTCAAAGATGTGATATTGTTCACCCGTGTGTTGTTAATTATGTCACCAACACCACAAGTGGTGACATATTGTTATAGTCTCCAACTTTTTTGTGGAAAGTGTTCTGCATTTGAGAGAAATGGCAGGGGTTGACATTTTGCATGTTAATACCTTGTTTATTCATACAAACTGTACTCATTTTACTATTTGTGTTTTTCAGATGCTTATGATGCAAAACCTGGTGAAAAGAGAAAGTTAAAAGAAGACCAGCCAATCACAAATAAACGCAAGAAACTTTCCACGTCAAAGAAAAAGTCAGGACAGGGAGGTAAGTCTCAATTATAACATTTAAGCCTCTAAGAATTACATGAATTTATCAGATGAGTCCCTCATCATATGGTTACATAAACTTCCTACACAAGGTATAGAGTACCCTATAGTACATGATGTTTTGTATATTGGTGTCATCCTGAGACCAGTACTGTAGATTGGGTTAATTTGGCGCCCGCTTTAATTTGGCGAATTTGGCGAAAATGAAAAATTCGCCAATTTAAATCTTCGCCAAAAAGGAATGAATCCCCGGGAATTATCTAGGGTATTTGGTCCAGTGTATTTAGGTCACTTCCGGTTTATCTCCAAAAATATGAAAAAATGTCTCTCATAAATTGGCTCAGAATTGGTCAGTCACTCATTAATACTCAGGGAAAAACGCAGTATGGTAGCAGCATAGATCGAGGTACAAAATGTAAAGGATGATCTTACAAAAATGTACAAACGTGGTGAATATCGCCAGTGGTCCTTAAAATGTTTTTTTTCTTTTTGCAATCCGCCAAATTAAATAGCCGCCAATATGCCAAAAATGGCAAAATCGCCAAATTAAGTATCGCCAAATTAACCCAATCTACAGTATATATGCCTCGGCTGAGCCAGAGGTCCTTAGGGCAGATACATGTATATACAAGTATTATTATATCAACCAAAGGATATCCGCTAATCCAAATAGCTTGAACAGACTACAGGGTGGTCCAAAAAAGTGAACCCCTGCAACAGGCTACAACCTTCTTAATACATGCATGAATTGGCTCATATTATCACATGTAGTAGAGAAAGGTCTAAAATTTTGGTTGATGCCATAATTTATTCTCAGTCTTAAATTTTGAAGAAATTACAAGCGTTTAACAAACATGCCTGGAAATTAGATATTGTACAAAATCTTACAAATGTGATTCACGGAAATTGTTGAAACACATTTATTATTAAACAGCTTTCAGTTAGAGATACAAGTTTAAAACCCTATCATATGACAAAAGGGACACTATTCAAGCAGAAAACACATTTCACACTTTCATTGATCATTTTGAAGCATTTTTAACTGTTCAACAGTTCAGGGGCATGTTACCTCCACCAACAGTTAGAGGGGGGACTCTTATGGAAGGAAGTTGCCCCCTGTGACCAGGAATCTGATAACCCCTTCATCAAATATCTTTAAAAAATCAAATGAAAATCCAATATTCAATGTTTTGAGCCATATATCATTAGAATTGGTCCATGATTTATGAAGATATTGACATTTCAAGATCATATAGGGGTATGTTCATGATTTCACTGGAAAATGTTTTCGTCTGTGGAAGCTTAGCACATCTCTTTGGATCACAATAACTTTGCAAATGTAGGATGCTAGGTTTAAGCCATAATGTGCAAGATTTAAAATTGAACAAAGTCAGAAAATATAAGTTCTTTAAGACTGCAGCTTAAAAAATTCTCAGGGGAAAGGTGTTAAAGGGTTGAAGAATCGCGGATATTGAAAATCACAATTTGTCCATTTTCAGTAATGTTTGGTTAGGGCTTATAATTTCTGCAAATTTCAAGACTAAGAAAAATGTATGGTACCAACATAAATTTTAGACCTTCATCTACAACATGTGAAAATAAAAAATAATTCCTGCAAGTATTAAGGGAAATATGGCCAGTTGCAGGGGTTCACTTTTTTTGGACCACCCTGTACATACAGATTCATCATATATATGATCTTTTATTTCACCAATTCTTGTTCAGAAAAAATCTTAGAAGTCCAGGGTAATAAACCCCAGGAGATGTAAAACTTAGTTTATTTATGAACAGTAATCAAGAAAATAAATTTCCTCTACTAACTAATTCTGCAAACAGTATATGGATTTGATATTTGGTTTGAAAAATCAGTATGATATATTTTGATATTTCTGAAGGCCAATAAACTAGATGCGAGTAGAAATAACCTTGATTTACGTCATTAAATATTCAAAATTCAGTCAAAGTGATGTCATATTTGAAATCTACATGTAAAAGTACATCTAGAAATATGGTTCCGAAAATTGTTTATCAACTTTGAAAATTTAATTTATTTTGAAAATGAGATTTTTAGTTCGGGTTGAATCCCCATAGACCCCATGTTACAAAGTCACAAAAAGTGAAATATCTTTTCTTATAATCGACAAATATCATTTTCCTTCACTGGACATTTTTTAATTAGCATAACTATTAGATACATGAGGGTTATATGAAAATTGAACCACCAAAACAGATGTAATTTAAGTTAAAGGGAACTTTCTACCATACCCGCCATGCTATCTGACCCGAACGAGCCACCTGGTGGTGAAATTGGTAACTACCTACTCGCATCTGCGTTATTGCCATTCTCTATTTGAATATTTTCATGAACATATTTTGAGTTATAGAGAATATCCTTATTTTATTTGCATGTCTTCAGGGTTTTATTAATTGTATATGTAGAAGAAGCTCTTCCAAGGAGAAGCAGTAGACGCAGTCTCAACAATATGGATTCTGAGGTGGTTCCCACTAAAGAGAAAGATCCTGAGAAGGCCACACAAGACAAATATGCTGTGAGCGATGCAGAAAATACAATAAAAGGTGTAACAAAGGAACCAAGTCCAGAAGAACTGAGTAAGTTACATAAATAAAGACAAAGTGCTTATCCAATAAGTTGCACAAAGTGAATCTATAAAAGTAAGATCGGTTTGATTAGCATGTAATATTGTCCATCCAATCAACACTCAATTCAATTCATAATTAAGCCCATTAAGATTTGTTCCATGCAGTAAAATAGAGTTTCTACCATAAGGAAAATGAGGAGCAGTTCACATCATAACACTGTCCGTCATGTTCCTGAAGGGTTGGGCTGACTTTTACACATATCATCCAATACAAAGGATTTCATTCTGAGTATACCAATGATATATTGTCTAGGTAAGAGAACAACACATTGGACAGAGAAGTATTAGAGCAGCACAGTCTTTGTATGACACGGTCCAATTTAAACATTTAATATTAACACTTCCAGGTAAGAGGACCATGCATTGGACAGAGAAGTATCAACCCAGTAAGGCAACTGAGATCATTGGCCAGCAACACAATGTAAAGAAACTGAGTCGATGGCTCCAAGAGTGGAAAGAACGGACTAACAAGGAGGCAAAGAAATTGAAGATTCAACTATTGAAGGAAGCGAAAAAAGCAGGGAAGAACAAGGAACAAATTAAAGGTAAGTGGTGGTCAAGTGACCCAGGAGAATTATAGAATGTATTATCTCCCTAAACTCCATTTATGTATATAAATGCAGGGTGCGAAACAAGGCATGATTGGCATGATCTGAGCCAGTTTCTTTTGGTCTCGACTAGCTTACCTTTTCATCATGTAGCAAACAGTCTCACAGCATGCTGAAATGCAGAAATATTCTGATATGTATATTGCTGCAAATAGTGACTGTACATATTATAAAGAAACTGTTGTCAGTCTGTGACATTAAATCATACAATATTTTCTACTTACTAATACCTAGTAATAATCCAGTTTTGAATATGATATATCACCCTATTATGCATTATATATTATTAAACTATATGCAGTTCGCCTTTAGAGCAGGGGTTCCATTGCTTTTATACACCCTGTACATATCATATAACAATCCATGATTCGGTCGAATTGTATTGTAGCCGAGGCTGGAGACGCTTGGGACGATGACTCAGACTTTGACATAGATGCCAGCTACAGCGAGGGAAGTGATGGGGAAGAAGAGGAAGATGATGGCCTCTGTAACACTACAGTCATCTGTGGACCACATGGCATTGGAAAGACATCAGTTGTGTATGCATTGGCACAGGATCTTGGATACAAGGTATGGAGTCAGAATCTGCCCTTACAAAGGCATTGTCAGATTTTTATATTGGTGCAGAGACATATAAGAGTTCTCTGATTGGTGTAAAATGTTGAATTATGACACACTAGCTATCTATTATGCATACATCAACGATTTCCCCAGAATTAAAGCAAGTGTGCTCTGCTCCCAACTTGAAAACACATTTGAACATGAGAATTACTTAAAACTTGGCATATTTTGGCAAAGTTGAGTTAATGAGATTTGCATCCATTCAAGTGAAAAAGAAAAAATCCTGGTTAGAACACTACATTATTATTGAAAATAAACACTTCACGTAATCATTTGAATAGATTTGTTTGAGAAGAAAATATATATACCTAAACGTTTCTTAACTCTATTTGAAGCCAATGTGTCACTCAAGGAGTTTCAGAGATGTGTTTTTAACACTTTTTGTTGTTTTTACTGGTACACATGGGGTCATATCAACCATTGAACCTTTTGATTTACAACAATTGGTTTTACTTAATCATTTGGATAGAGTTATTGAGAAGACTTATTCTTTAAGGTGTTTGAAGTGAATGCATCATCATGTCGTAACGGAAAACGTGTGATGTCACAACTACAGGAGGCGACACAATCCCACCAGGTCTCAAAGAATCATCTTGAGAAAAGTTTCAGTTTCAACAGTACCAGCGGAAAATCAAACTCACAAGGTAGAGTACTGTGCATGCTTTTTGTATATTTATTTATTTCATATGTAATACTTGGAGATATGTGGATATATGAAACTTTTATTATGAAAAACACATTGTAAAATGTAAAAACTTTTTTTGAAGGTTTCAATAGTTCTTTGAGTTAAAATTTTTTGCCCATAGATACCTCCACAAAGGCAGCGCCCCCTGCTGCAGGGACACAATCAGTGGCCAACTTCTTCACCAAGAAAATACCCAGTATTAACACTGAAAAAGCACCACCAAAGAAAAGAGGTATTAGTTTCAGTCACAATTTACAATTGACAATTATTGGTATTAACAAATATTATTTTCTCCAACTTTTTGTGGACGGTGTTTGGCTTCCTGAATTTGGCATCTGTAACAAGTTGAGTTCGACGTCTATAAATTTACAATAACTTAAGATGGTGACATTTTGTTATTGTCTCCAACCTTTTGTGAAATGTTGTTCAGCATTCAGAGTTCAGGTTCTGTAACAATTTGGTGGTGACATTGATAACAACAAGGTGGTGACATTGATAACAACAAGGTGGTGACATTGATAACAACAAGGTGGTGACATTGATAACAACAAGGTGGTGTCACGTTAATGCCTTATTCATCATTATCATTTATCATCATACATTATCATTTATCATCATACATTATCATTATCATTATGCAACTGAAATATTGTCCATTTTAGGAAGGAAACCCAAAGAAGAGAGCCCAGTGAAACAAAAGAAGGAGAAATCACATAAGAAGTCCAGTGTTGGAGGAGGACTGACTAACAAGCAGGGTCCAACATCTCTAAAAGGCCTTAATCTGTCAAGTGTTTCTTTGATTCTCTTTGAGGAGGTGATTAAACTTTTTTTGCAAATCATATATAACTGTCAAAGTACATGGTACACTCGCAGACTTGGCCTTTATTATTTATATTCGTCTGTGACACAATATTGAAAAATAGCAGAACACTCAGTTCAGACTTGCCAACATGCTTTCATGCTTATGGGGTTGCTACATAGTGCATATACACACCCGATGTCAAGGCCAAATAGGTTTCCAAGTAACTTAATACCACTTCTGTTTTATTTCATATTAAACCTCATCAATATAACAACAGTTTACTTATTTATACCTCTACTCCCTAGGTTGATGTAGTGCTGGAGGAAGACAAAGGATTCCTAGCTGCAGTCCAGCAGTTCATCGTTGGAACAAAGAGACCAATCATCATGACTACTAGCGACCCCTATTTTAGCAGCAAGCTCGACAGACGATTTGAGGAGTTGAAATTCAGACAGCCTTCTTTTGTGAGTACATATTTTACAATATAGAAACTATGGTTATTTTTCAGTTTTATGTCATCACCACAAGTGCTGACATATTGTTATAGTCGCCACCTTTTTTAAGGACAGTGTTCAGTGTCTGACATTCAAAGTCTGGCATTTGGTGGTTGGGTTTCAGAGTTTGCTGTCTGTAACAAATGACAGGTTGTGATGTTTCATGTTAATACCTTGTGAGAATCTACATATACAGTCTCTAAAGAATGAAAATAAAACCTTCATTCATACATTGTGTTGTAGCAAATTGTAAAACATTTAATCTTATTTTTTGTTTTTGACTAAATCCATTCTCATATTTTCAGTTTTGGGGAAGAGTATCTTTGTTTGACTTTGTATGATGTGTAATATTTTATATAGTTTATATAGCACTATAAACAATTTAACGAGAATAACTAATTAATATGGGTACTTTTATTTTACAGAATTTAGTCGCCAGTTACTTGCAAACATTGAGCTTAGCGGAAAATTTCCTCGTCGATAATGATGCGCTATGTTCGCTAGTGGAATTAAACAGAGGTGATATCCGGAAAAGTATACTCGCTACTCAGTTTTGGGCTGAATCAGGGGGTGCTCTTACAGACAATACACAGCCATATGTACCTTCGGCAGAGACTCATAATGCAAAAATTGTTGTAGATGAAAACAAGGAGATTGAAAAGGTGGATGACCATTTAGCAAACACTACAGAGGAGAGTGACGATGATTTCCAGTTAGCACCAAGGACTAGACGCAAACCTAGAAATTTGAAAATAATGGATGAATCCTCTTGTGATAATATCTTAGATAGTCCAGTGAAAACACCCCAGAGTTCAGATGCAAAGCCTGCACTTGGAGGTACAAATGCAGCCTCTATAAATGCCAGTATGAAAACTCTGCCTGGAGAAATGGATGCTTTAGGACATAGTTGTTGTGTGGAGAGTCTACTAGGAATGACTAGTGTATATGCGGGGAAACCTCAGTCTACTTTTAATGCCATACAGGTTGGTATTCACTTTCTACACACACAGTACAAAAAGCCTAAACAAACTCCAGTGTGTAGGATCTTTTGATTTTGTAAAATGTATCAATTAGAGTTATGTTACTTTCCTTCGTTCTTTTCATTTGTTATTTTATCTTCCATCATTGCTCGTCATTCAAATGAGTCCATTCGCATACTTTTCTTTTAAGGTATTGCAGTATAATATTCAGATCAGATATCCCTGATCATGTTAAAGCAACCTGGTGTTCCACCCAACCACTCTGTTGAAAATTACATACCACCTTGTTGAGAATAACTTAGTGCCCTGTTATGCCTTGGTCACATTTGCTCCTATTTTCACTATGGCGCCTGGGCGATTGAGTATTTTGTTCAAAATTGAATACAACTTTGAACAAAAGCCCAGCCGATGGATCGGAGCAAATGTGACCCAGGCATTAAATGGATGACATTGTGATGTTTCAATCAAAAGGGTAGACTTAGTAGTTAGCAGCATAGTCCAGAAAGAATCTAGTGAACGTTGTGCATTTTGTTTTATTTAGACCCTAATGTAATCAGGAAGCTGTGGGTTCGATTCCCACCAAGGTGGAGTGATTTTTTCACATCAGCCCTTAGCATGGGGTTTAGTCCTATGTTTCAGATTATATTAATGACAGTAAAATCTGTTGATAAAAAGACCCTAATTTGATGTTTCATTTGCAGAATCCAGACATGTTTAGCGCATCAGAGGCTTTGAATCAGATGTCAAACGTAAGAGGGAATTTAATGTACAATAATCTCTACAGTCTTCTACCTCTGCCAACCCAACTGGTGTCTAGAGACAAATACAGAATACTAGACCCTTCCCAGGTCCTACAGAGATCTAGGATTAGAGATAATAGTGATATATTTGAAAGTGATAGCGAAAATGAACAAGAGTTTGATACTTTAAAAAACAAGGGGGTTTGTGATACAGAAAAATGCAGTGACGTGAAAGAGGGTAATATTGCAGTGAAAATTGATATTAAATCAACCCCAGGTGACATACACAAGAAAAGGCTTGTATCGAACTCATTAGATTCAATATCTAAATTATTGGATACATTATCATATATGGATAGTTTCACTACGCCACCAGACACAAATAAAATACATGGGAGTAAATTATGGAATTCTGACTCTGTTATCCTACAAGGGGGACTCTTAGATGAGCTTCCTGCAATTGGGCACAGCAATGATTTAGCTAGGGATATCAATTCAACAATAGAGGTGATGAGTCTAAAGAAATGCTCAGCCACAATGATAGGAGTGTTAAAACAATGTGAGGGCAAAGATGATGTTCTAGAGAGACTAACATTGCCAGTGGTGACAGAAAACAGATTGTCATTTTCTAGTGGTTTAATCAAAGATAGGTAAACGCTACATTCTTTTCTATATCATTCGATATTAATTATTCAATGATAACTGTGATAATTTTGAAACAAAAATAAAATGTTATTCTGAATTATTTAAGGTAATAATGCAATTCTAAGCTTCGGTTAGAGTAATTTTACAATTATTATCCCATCGAACGAAGTTCGGAGGGATATAGGGAACGCCTCCGTCCGTCCGTCCGTCCGTCCGTCCGTACGTACGTCCGTCCGTCCGTACGTACGTCCGTCCGTCCGTCCGTCCGGGCAATA